TAACGTGAATTTAGTTATAATAAAATAGAAACACAAATCAGTGGTAAGAATTTGAGCAGTTTTGTTAAAAATGTTTAATTTTTTAGAATACATAGCTTTGATTAAATATATTATGCTTATTTATAACACCTTAGAACAAAGATTTGTTCGGGACAGTGAATTTTCACTGGGCAAGTTGGAAAAAAGTTAACGTTGAACCCCGATGTATATTAGTATTTATCATTGTATTGGTAAATTATGGAAGAGTAAGTGCAGCACAGTATGTGAAATTCATAGTTTTTGATATGTATTTTTAGTGTGATGATCTTTTTTGTATATATTGTGACATTTTCTGTAGTTTAAAAATTCTTGAATTTTCATATAAATTTTTGCCCACCTCTAATCTAAAGGCCATTTTTAGAGTCAGAGACATGCACTGTTTCTGTGTCTCTCCCACAAAGGAAAACATAAACTTCATTTCAAGCACCTACCGTTTGTGAACAATTAAGCCAAAAGTGGTGCGAACGGAAATGCACGTAGATAGGATGGTGACAGACTTGAATTGGACCATCTTTCCAACCTAAAGAGAGAAAATATATGCATAAAAATAAATAACATTAGTGAAAATTTGTTTTTGTCCGCAAAGAAGAGCAGCAAATATCCGCACATTAAAACTGAAATATATCGTCGCTGTCCAAAACACGTATCTCCGTTTTTTGCTATTTACTTTTCTGAATCATTTGAGCACAACAGCTGTCCTTTACATTGTGTGAACATTTCATGATGATTGGACCAATTCTGGTTGGACATGATGATCGGACAAACTTCTTCCATTAACTTACATTGAAAGCAAAGAACATTTTTGCCCTCTCCTGTAAAGTTACTATTTTGGAGATGGTTTTTTGTTGGACAGTGACAATATTTCACTTACATGACCTCTGTTGTATGGGTTTGAATAATCAATATATAAAAACTGCTTCATATTAATATGGAAAGAAGTGGATTTTTCTCATTGTTTGCTTTGGGAGGCTCAGTTGCCACACTGTGTTAAAACTAGCCCTGCGATGGAGGCTGTATTTTAGCCTGGCCAGCTCTCCCTGTGAGTTGTTTGTATGACCAAATCGGATGAAAGTGTCTATCCAAATACTGTCAAAATTAACATATGATATGTTAATGTGAGAAGGTGACCAGAAGCACATTCTATGTTAATCAAATGAGGGTTCGAACTTTATTGGCGTTGGCACTTTTTAAAGTACCATTTGATCCATACACTCTCAGAAATAAAGGTACTAAACTGTCACTGGGTCAGTCCCCTCCTGTCACCGGGGTGGTACCCTTAAGGGTTCATCTCAGTACCTTTAGTCAGGGAACATAACTGTACCATAATCCACTGAAATGATATTTATATAATAAGCTGTACTGACTCCACACACCCCGTCTCGACTCCAGGCTTTTTATTTTACTGTTCTGTTTTAAAGCATTCGGTTATGAAAAGGTACAAATACAAACTTTTCACCTGGAAAAACTTTATATAAGGTGCAAAATTGGACCTTAAAACCATTGTTGTACCGGTAACACTTTCTATGAATGTCGCCTTTGTAAGCATCTATAAACACATTCATAACGTGTTGTAATGCATTCATAAGGCATTATAAACATGGTTATAAATATTTATAAAAATGCATTACACGTTATAGCCATGTTTATTATTCATTATGAATTGTTAGCATAATACATTATAAGTACTGATCATAAATCATAAGAGCTCATAAGTCGTGTTTGTCTGCTCTAAGTAAAGTGAAGCGTACTGTACTAAAGCCTCCTCCAGTGTTCAGAGTGAGGCTTCAAGTTGAAGTATTTACTGAAGGATTTACTGAAACACTAAAACATTCACAGTAAAGCACATTACAGGCTTCAAATGTCAGAGTTTAAACTAGAGCTGCCATCAGTGTTTTACCCAATGTGGGAAAGGTAATGTTCACCACCGTTAGCTTGGTATTTGTCTTTACTTTACGCTCTCCAAGCTGGGACTGACTTCTTTGGCACTGACATTATAACATGTTATCAACACTACTTATAATGCATTATATTAACAATTCATAATGTATAATAAACATGACTATAAAGTGTAATTCATTTTTATAAATGTGTATAATCATGTTTATAATGCCATATGAATGCATTATAACATGTTATAAATGTGTTTATAGATGCTTACAAACATGACATTCATAGAAAGTGTTACCGTTGTACCTTTTGAGGGACCAGCTTCCCACATTTAAGGACAATGTGTTTATTTTGCTCGTCACATCTTTTAGTTTCTCTGTGAAATTAACCATAGCATGAATGTTTAATCCTATGGGCTTTGGTTCTGGTCTTAGATCTTTAAGTAGTTGAGACATGACAGCCCTGGAGGAGAAAGTGCATCCATGCGGAGGCTCATCGCTCACAGAGCCGTGATGCTGTAATCAAACTAGCAGTGCTTGGTGCATTTTTACCATCATACAGCTACTGATAGAGGTGCTGTTCACTTTACCAGTACGGCTCGGTTTGCCTTAACCTTATCATGGCCTGTTAGGTTAGAGGCTCGTGTGGGCTTTGTCTTCATTTCAGTGCTGTAGGTGTATTTAGAATATTATTTTAAAGGGACTTTACCCTGTTTCTGATGGTGTTCCCCGTCTCTGTTTGCTTCAGCTAATGCTGGTGCACTTGTGTGGTTTTATTTTCTGTTTAGTGGTAGAGCTGGGTATCGAAATTCAATACTTCTGTGGTACCTACTGAATTACTTCAATACTGTGTTCTCATTCAATGCTGAATTAAGTAGTTGCTCTTCCAGAATCTGAACTGCCGATTAGCTGTCTAAATTGCACTCTGTAAGCTGGTTATTAGGCTGATTGGGGCTCCGTTACTGTCCCACTAGTCGTATTGTATTAGTTTTGTGTTTATATGTGATTCCATTCAACACGTCAAGCTTGAAACATTATTTTTCATGTGGAACCATTTATGGGCTAAGAAAATATTTGTTGTGTCCCACAGCATTTAGTCAGCCTAGTTAGCTGAAGATGTTCACCCCTATGAAGTAACTGTAACTGTACTATTTGGGTGGTGGATCATTCTCAGCACTGCAGTGACACTGATGTGGTGGTGGTGTTAGTGTGTGTTGTGCTGGTATGAGCGTATCAGACACAGCAGTGCTGCTGGAGTTTTTAAACACTGTGTCCACTCACTGTCCACTCTATTAGACACTCCTCCTCCGTCAGTCCACCTTGTAGATGTAAAGTCAGAGACGATAGCTCATCTGCTGCTGCACAGTTTGTGTTGGTCATCCTCTAGTCCTTCATCAGTGGTCACAGGACGCTGCCCACAGGATGCTGTTGGCTGGATATTTTTGGTTGGTGGTCTGATCCACTCAGACCAGCGCAACACACACTAACACACCACCACCACGTCAGTGTTACTGCAGTGCTGAGAATGATCCACCACCCAAATAGTACCTGCTCTGTGAGGGTCCATGGGGGTCCTGACCACTGGAGAACAGGGTAAAAGGGGGCTAACAAAGTATCAGAGAAACAGATGGACTACAGTCTGTAACTGTAGAACTACAAAGTGCACCTATATAGTAAGTGGAGCTGATAAAATGGACAATGAGCGTAGAAACAAGGAGGTGGTCATAATGTTATGCCTGATCGGTGTATGTCACACTTTGAAGGAAAGTTCTTTAGAAAATAGTAGTTATAAGACCTCATTATCTTGACATACTAAAAAAAAACAGGCTTTGTCACATTAGTATTTTTCAAGTTGCAAATGTTCACTTTCTTCCACTTTTTCCCTCGTCTGGCCTGCTGCCACAGTGAGCAGTTGTTCTGAACTTGCTCAAATCCGATCTCTCTGACACGATGGTTCACACTCGTTTAGGTATCTGATTCAAATCTGTCATTAATGTGAACCAGCATCCTGAAATGACCCTCATGAGCTCATCCTACTCAGTAACGTCACGTGAATGAATCACGTTCATCATCAGCACAAACTAACGAGCAGAACGAGCTTCGCTGAGAAGATAATTAACTCTGATCAGCTCTCAGCTTCGTTATTAGAGCGAGACGAAGGAGAAAAAGGTGAGATGTGTTTCTTTTTCACCGTTTATAGGCTTTCGCTTCTGTTCGGCGCTGCTGCCATGGTAACGCTGAATGATGGCGCACGCACAGTGGGAAAAAAAGCACATGAATTCCGATCTGAGCGTCACATTTAAGGTCGCACGGCCTCGAATCGGATACGTATCCGATCTAGGACAACATACGAAAGTGGCTCAGGTCGGATTTGAAAAGATCAGATTTGTGTCCACACAGCCCCGAAAACATCAGATCTGAGTCACATTAAGGCAAAAAATCAGATTTGTGCCTCTTCAGCCTGGTAATGTGAACGTAGCCCTGTAGTTACTTATCAGCGAAAGGTCAGCAGTGCTCATCTGCGCAAACAGAGAGCAGCAGAATCAGATTGAAACTGGGGAGTGGAACAAAGAAACAGGCTGTTTATTTATTTTTTCTTTTCTGTTCTGCTTGCAACGTGGATGACCGCATCTCCAAAAGTCTCCGCGTGATGAGAGGTAGTATAAAGTGACACAGAACTGAATCTGTAGCTGTCTGGTCTCACAGGGGCAGCGCAGACGAGCTGTATTGATTTAGCCTACCGTTCCTGTCCTGCAGCAGAGACCAGAGGCAGCTCCTCTTCCATCAGGGCAGAGATGGGCTCTCGGGGAGAGTTCTGATGAACAGAGCTGTCAGACTTCCAGCAGCTCACGGCTGCTTGATAAGGTCTAATGAAATGAGGATATTGTCCATAACATACAATTTGATCAAGCTTGGAGTGATCCGAGAACCGCATAAAACGCCATGTAGGCTCTCTGTGTTTACCAGGTTCTTTATGTTTTCAATCAGTAAATTGCATCGAGCCCCTGGCGCCTGGAGTCGATGAGAGGAGATTTGAAAAGTAACCCTGTTTATCTCTGTGTAATGTCCCTGCAGGCCCAGCAGATGCTGTACGCATGCCTGGAGAAGGTGGACATTTCCAACACGGAGGGCTACGACCTGTTCCTCACCCAGCTCAAAGAAGGCCTGAAAAATACCTCACACGAGACGGCAGCCAATCACAAAGTGGCCAAGGTGAGTAACACCAATATATAGCAGATGTTTGATGCCTGATGTTTACAAGTTTGTGGCTGTAATAGATCTTTAAGACATATACAGTATATCAGTGTTGTCTGAAGAAAACCTCGTATCTCCATTTGTGTCGTTTTTCAGTTTTTGACATAATGTGAAAATGCCTGTTGTCCTTTACATTGTGTGTAAATTTCATGATGAATGGACCCAAAGAAACAACCCAAAATGACTTGTAAATAAGTCTGGGTTCCATTGACTTACATTGAAAGCGAAGTAGGTTTTTTCCTTCTCCTGTAAAGTTACCATTTTGGAGATATGAGGTTTTCTTATGACAACAGCGATGTGGAGGTAGATGTTAACAGGTTCAGCTTAAAGCAAGACTTCGGTCAAAAATCAAAAGCACACACTTTTCTCCTCACCTCAAACGTGGACAGTCAACCAAGGCATGTTTGGTGTCAGGAGTTTGCTTCTTCAGTTTTGCTTTGGAGCTACGAGGCTGATTTAACTAAGTAGTAGTGGAAGCCCATACCCAGCATTGAGCATCAAAATGGCAGATCGCCCAAAAAAACGCGATGTCGGCACGGCAGCACGAAAAATCACTTGCCGGATCGGGCATGTTCATGTTGGGGTGGGGGACCGCAGAGTGTAAATGAGGCCAAACTCAATTCACTTGAATATTTAACCCCCCCGCCACACAGAAGTGGTCTTATCCATTCCTGCGTCCAGTTGAAACAAACCAATGGTTTTATTTGTTGGCGAGTGACGTCAGAGCGAGGCAGGGAAATGTCAACAAAGTGCGAATGCGAAGCAAAGCGAGTCCGCAGCTTCATTCCCTCATGGAAAACTCAGTTCTCATGTGTCGATTCTGACCCTCTGTACCTGAGATGTTCTGTAAAGTTTGTAGGGAAAATCCTAACCAGGCAGATAAAAGTGGTTCTTTTAGAAAACAGTGGTTTGAGTCTCTCCGTCACGTTACGTGTGTAGCAGCGGAAAAAGCTGCTGGCTCGTCTGGGCCGCTTGACATTTACGGACGACGGATGAACAGTGGAGCCGATTCCAGACTGACCAAGTTCGTCACAATGCTTAAAAGAGAAAGACCTTCACTGACTACCCACATGACACAGACCTTCAGATTAAAATGGACTGGAACGTGGTAGCCAGTTTTGTACCGACATGATTTGCAGAGGGTAATATTTGCTAACTCATGTGTGCAAATACTAACGATAAGATTATTGATAACTTTAATGTGAATTTAGTTATAATAAAATAGAAACACAAATCAGTGGTAAGAATTTGAGCAGTTTTGTTAAACAATTATTTATCATCCACCGCAAATTTTTGGTGATAAACTGGCTTCAGCTTTATTTCTTTTTTCTTTTTTCGCCAGCTTCTCTTTCGAATTTTCCAGCTCCACCTTAAATGGAGCAGCAGTTACATTCTGGCACTTCAGGCGTCAGAACTGCTGGACTATTTAAGGTGGAACGGGAAAGTTAGCTAGCTAGCTACCGAGACGTTAGCATTTTTCATGCTTGTTATGAAGAAAACGACCATAATACACTGAAACCACATTAAACTAAGATAAAACAGTGATTATCGTAATTTTTAACAGAGAAAATTCTCACATTTGTGGGTTTCTTTGGTCTCTTGTTCTCCATCTTGCTGGTTTTTCTTTTTTTCCTCATAACTCTCTGTTTGGAGTGAGTCTCTGAGAAACCACCCCTAGACGTGAACACACAAAAAGGAGGGGTAAGTGCCAAGTGGTAGGGGCAAGGGGTGAAATGGGACTGGGCCTTGTTGTGACTTGGGGCAAGTGTGTTTTCTCTTTTGCAATACCCCCTCAGCTGTATTGATACGGTTGACCTGTAGTGTTGCCACAACAATCCACTTCTGGTTGTTATGTAGGTCAGGTCCATTAGCTATCTGCTATCGGAGTGTCCACTTGCCTACACAGGTGCTTGGGATGTTTTCTATGGTCTTCAGATAAGAAGTGAGAAAACGAGCCTGAACATGTATATTTTTAGTTTGTAGAGACGCTGAAGTTACCATGTCAGTGTTGAAATACAGTGAATGTGACTGAGGCTGTCTCTTTTGAGTTCACCAGGAGCTGCGTCTGCCTTCACACAGATACACGCAGAGTCAGGCTCTGGTGCTGCTGCCGTATTAATTATTGATGCGCAATGCTGGGATTTCACTCTGAGCTTTCAGGCCGGTAGCGATCCTCCTTTACAGCTTTGTCTTTGATTTTGGGGCGAAGTCAAAATTGCCGAGGAGCGTTTCTCGTCTCCCTCTGAAAGCCCCCCCCCATCACTGACTGTTCACATGATTGTGCGTCAGCATATTTACGGAGGCAGTGCACGTCCTCGCCCATGGTTTTGGATGTGTGTTTTAATGCTCGTGTCATCTAGTTTTAGATTTTCTTAGATTATGCGTGCAGACGCTCCCTCCTTCTGCTCATGGTGCGTTCAAACCTGACTGCAGTGCACAAACACACACACACACACACGAAACCGAAGCAGCTGCTGCAGTGCTCATTGGCATATCGGTAGGCACGAACAGTGACTGTGCAGGCACAGAGGTGCGCTCCTGTTCCCGCAGCACATCCAGAGTGACTTCACAGCAGAATGTATTGGGAAGCGCTCTAATGTGCAGCACGCACTCCCTAGGCAGCCTGACTTAGTCACGGTCATTTGAAAAGCAGAGATGCATTTCACGCTTGGAAGTGACTTTGAGTTCACAGAAAGCTGTTGGCATCTGTCATGACTGAGTGATCAGGGCCCAAAGATGTCTTACACATTAGCCTCCTTACAGCAATACTGTCTGTGCGGAAACTGGAGCGTATCGCTGCTGTCGGAAGAAAACCTCGTATCTCCATCTCCGTCGTTTTTCAGTTTTTGACATAATTTGAAAATGCTTGTTGTCCTTTACATTGTGTGTGAATTTCTTGATGAATGGACTAAAGGAAATGACCCAAAATGACTTGGAAAGAAGTCTGGTTCCATTGACTTACATTGAAAATAAAGCATGTTTTTTCCTTCTCCTGTAAAGTTACCATTTTGGAGATACGAGGTTTTCTTCTGATAACAGCGATATGGTGGATTTACCGTTGACAGTTTTGATGCGTTTCCCTGTAAGCAAAAAGAAAATCAGTTGACTTGGTAAGTAGAAGCCAGTGGGTGTGTGTTGCAGTTACCCATCGATGTCTCTTATAAGGTCAGTGGGCTTTCGGTTGTTTTATTAAGTACATCATGTAACGATAATGTTAGCCATGAGAAACTTTGGGCTTAATGTGTGTGGGAGGCTTATTAGGGTGTGATCAAACCAAATTTGTAAACCAGTCCAACACTGCGTGAAGGAGCAGTGGTGCGCTCGTCAACGCTGTGCGATAGACAGCAAGCCTGTTGTGGGTCCATAGATGTTTAAGCAGTAGAACACTCTGTCATGTGTTATCACGAAATAACATCACGGCTGTGATTTGGTCACGATAACACACACCTCTAGTGTTCTATTGCTTTTATACAACAGTTAAATAAATAAAGTAATAAATTAATAAACTGGGCCGTGAACGCGGCGTTTAATATGTTTAAATGTTCGCAGTTCCTTCACCAAATTATAGTTCCTTAACGAGCAGCTTGTTGCTACGTCAGAGTAACGAGCTCCGCCCACTCGCTGCACAGCCAGCGGTTTGTTCTCCAGCTCCTTACACTAAATTCCCAAACTGTCATCACCACTGAGCAGCTTTTCAGTCGGCAGCTGTGACAGAAGAACAGCTAAACAACCTGGAATCAGCCAGAAATGAACCCAATACTATTCGCCAAACGTGTAGTCTGATCTTCAGCGTCTGACCAAATCAGACTGAGCCATAAAACTGCCACAATATCAAGTTCAGCTCAGTTTTGTCTTTTTTTGCCAGATCAGTATTAATGTTGTTTTGTTCCAGCCAGTCTGTAAAGCATCTTACAGCCCATTTAGTTTGGCGAATGGTTTTGGAGTCATTTCTGGCTGATTCCAGGTTGTTTAGCTGTTCTTCTGTCACAGCTGCCGACTGAAAAGCTGCTCAGTGGTGATGACAGTTTGGGAATTTGGTGTCGTCTCATCTTCAGAGTCTGACCAAATCGGCTGTCGGTCAAATGTGGTATTAAAAGTGTCCGTTTTCTGTTTGTGGCAAAGTAAGAAGTAAAAACATTCAAATGGCTTGAGCGTCTCCTACAGCTGTCAAAGTCGTTGCTTAGCATCTCAGCAGAGTGATAGTGTTTGTGAAAAACCGTGATGTTGTTATGGTGAAATAACAGCTTCTCAACCAATCAGCTTGCGAGGCCGGAACTAACAGTTGTATAAAATGTAAGTTGGCTTGGCTGCAAAATCACCCCCAAAAACTCCAATTAAGCATGGCGGTGTTTGTGAACACGTTACCTCCTGTAAAGGAAAAACAGCTCTGTTAGCCAACGTTAGCGTTTTTCTAGCTAGCTTGTTTTGCTTGTGTTATCCGTTGTGCTCCGGGCGGTGAACGTTGGGCGTGGGTTCTAGAGTGGGCGTACTCTTTGCTGTGAAAGTTTGCAGTCCAGCACTAACGGTTTAACAAGTTCTCTCCAAGTGTGTGTTCTTGTTACAAAACCACGTCTGACCCCGCGAAACTACAGACGGTGAAATGCATAGAAATGACCGTCTACAGCCCAAGGCTACGTTCACATTACCAGGCTGAAGTGGCACAAATCCGATTTTTTGCCCTAATGTGACTCAGATCTGATGTTTTCAGGGCTGTGTGGACACAAATCTGATCTTTTCAAATCCGACCTGAGCCACTTTCATATGAGGTCCTGGATCGGATACGTATCCGATTTGTGGCCGTGCGACCTTAATGTGACGCTCAGATCGGAATTCATGTGCTTTTTTTCCATCATTCAGCGTTACCATGGCAACAACGCCGCACTTAAGTTAAAGCCTATAAACGGTGGAAAAGCAGCTCATCTCACCTTTTTCTCCTTCGTCTCGCTCTAATAATGAAGCTGAGAGCTGATCAGAGTTAATGATCTTCTCAGCGAAGCTCGTTCTGCTCGTTAGTTTGTGCTGATGATGCTCGTGATTCATTCATGTGACGTTACTGAGTAGGATGAGCTCACGAGGGTCATTTCAGGACGCCGATTCGTCACATTAATGACAGATTTGAGTCACTTATCTAAACGAGTGTGAACCATCGTATCAGAGAGATCGGATTTGAGCAATGAGGCTTGGAATGTGAGCGTAGCTAAACACAGTCCTATCCAACCTGCAAAAGTATTTCAGATTTCTATTAATATAAGCCTGTTTCACAGTGCGCTGCACTACAGTACCCAGCATGCACTGCAACGTAATGTGCGCTCTGACTCTCCTACCCCAACAACAGTCTATGGGACGGCAGTTATACCCTCAATTCTACACAGTTGCACACCAGACATATCGCCAGTCGGTCATCAGCCTTCATTTACACCTAATGTCAGCTCAGCAGCTCAGAAATTGAGCCCAAGTCTTAACGAACGTGCAGTAAAGAAGGGATGGCAGGTGTCCACTTCAAGCAAATAGGTAGGTTTAACAGACTGAGCTCCTGGGGATGTTTTCAAATTTTTAATATTTTCAGGTATTCATGCAATATTTCAAGGTCTGCTACACGTGTCTGTATTTTACAGTTGACGTTTTTGTGTATTTTGAATAAACAGTGGCCAGTTCTGGTTACAGCACAACATTTAATTAAAAAAATAATAATAATAAATCCTTTATGTGTTTGAGTTTGACACCCCTCGTCTACAGTAACCAACCATATGCTCCAGGAAAGAGTTCGCATTAATAAACGGTGAAGGATTCCTTTATGTCACTATACCTATAATCCACCCTGGTACTGCTGGCTCATGAACCCGTTGACCCCCTTTCACTGCTGCTGTTCAGTGGTGTGCTCAACCTATTTTTCTCTTCCTATCTCTCTTGCGCTCTTACTCTCTTTCTGTCTTGCGCTAGCATCTGAGGCTGGTCCAGAAGTCTTATGTCTCTCCGCTGTAGTCCCAAGCTCTGATGAATAAGGGCATTCTGCATTAAAACAGCAGGAGGGGGTGCTTAGCACTAGGAAGGGTGAAATAATTTGACACCCTTTAGTGACGGCATGAGTGTTCTCTTTCTTCTCTGTCATTCAACCCACTGAGAACCGGTTCTCAGCCTTGGTGGCAAAGTTATTTATTTATTTTTTTACTGATGGTGGAATTAGTGTATCCTTTGAGTATCACAAGCACCATAGTGCTGTTAATCTAGATCGGGGTGTCAAACTCAGCCACTAAAAGGGCCATATTAAAAAATCTCAACAGATCTGTGGACCAGCTGTGTTTTTATTTTAGTTTTACTTATCAAAAAATAGGCACTGAATCCTTAAATGATCAGAAAATAATTTTAAATGAAAACATTGTTTTCTATAAAAGCTCTTTAAATGTCTCTAAAAATACAGTAGGTTTTTTAAAACCAGCCATTTGCTTGAACTGGAAACCAGGCATGTTTTTTATTATTATTATTATTATTTATTTGTCTTTGTGGTGCTGTCCCATACCTCGTTGTTGGGCAGAGGGTGGGAGCACACATTACTTTGCAGTGCATGCTGGGAAGTGTAGTGCAGCGTGGTGAAATGGGCTTATATTAATAGAAAATGACATGATACACTTGCAGAAGGACGGGAAAAGTCAACGGAAAATAGGTGAATTTACAAAATTGGAGTGCTAAAAATGATTAAAAGGTTGGGGGGAAAAAGGTGCGACTGTGTGAGACATTGTAGACCACCAAAACGATCATCAGATAAACAGCATTTAAAGCGTTCGTTTTTGAGAGAGAGGAGAAAATCAAGCTGCTTCAGATCTGAAAACATCCACAGGTGTTTCTGTCCATCCTTCCACTGTGAGAAGACGACTCAGCGCTGTGGGTCTGAAAGGGTGTGTAGCTGCCGAGAAGCTCATACTTGGAATAGGAAAAAGAAGAAAATTTGCAGATCAAACAATGATGCTGTTTTTCTCAGAACAGTAGACTGACCACCCCGGAGTTCAGACCTCAAGGTCATTAAATGTGATTGCTTCGATCGTGATAAACAGAAAATGCAACCAGCTTCTAAGACTGAACTTTGGAAGCTCTAATAAAGGCAAAGGATGGACACGATGATTAATTAACTTTAGTTGTTGAGGCTTCTGTGTAGTTTTCTGCTAAATGTTTTCTCTTTTTTACAGACATGAATTAATGAATAGCTTGTGCTGAATGGCCGTTTTAACTGGAAATTAAATAAGCGAAGGATGGTCACTGTAACCTGTGTAATTAAGATTTTTTACTGCAAGCCTGTTGCTCTGTAGGCTGTAAAGTACCTCAGTAATTCTACCTTTTCTTCCTTTTAATAAGCTGTTCCCTTTTTGCTAAGCTGAAGTCAGTTGGCTTTTTTAAAAGTCTGACGTGGAGGCATTTCCCTTGAGTTTTGCTGTGTGATCATTATTAAATGTTAGAAGTGTCTAAAATTCTGAGGAGGAACGAAAGACATGAGTCACTGAGTTTGTTGATGTCTGCCTCCATAGTGACCTCAAAAATAATGTTACTTTCAGACTTCTGAAAAGGTGACCACACCAATAACCAGATTTTTTTTAAAGAATATTGGCATGTTGTACATCTTTATACCCGTTTTGTAGAGCGTAATGTTGAATATAATCCCTTTCTCATCTCACAAACAGTATTTAAGCAATAGAACACGAGAGGGAGAGTGTTATCACGAAGTAACATCACAGCTGTGATTATTGGTGATAACACACTCCTCGAGTTTTCTGTTGCTTTTATACAACAGTTAAATAAATAAAGTAATAAATTAATAAACTGGGCCGTGAACGCGGCGTTTAATGTTTTAATGTTCGCAGTTCCTTCACCAAATTATAGTTCCTTAACGAGCAGCTTGTTGCTACGTCAGAGTAACGAGCTCCGCCCACTCGCTGCACAGCCGGCAGTTCGTTCTCCAGCTCCTTACACTGAATTCCCAAACTGTCATCACCACTGAGCAGCTTTTCAGTCGGCAGCTGAGACAGAAGAACCTAAACAACCTGGAATCAGCCAGAAATGAACCCAATACCATTCGCCAAACGTGTAGTCTGATCTTCAGAGTCTGACCAAATCAGACTGAGCCATAAAACTGCCGCAATATCAAGTTCAGCTCAGTTTTGTCATTTTTTGCCAGATCAGTATTAATGTTGTTTTGTTCCAGCCAGTCTGTAAAGCATCTTACAGCCCATTTAGTTTGGCGAATGGTGTTGGGTTCATTTCTGGCTGATTCCAGGTTGTTCAGCTGTTCTTCTGTCACAGCTGCCGACTGAAAAGCTGCTCAGTGGTGATGACAGTTTGGGAATTTAGTGTCGTCTCATCTTCAGAGTCTGACCAAATCGTCTGTCGGTCAAATGTGATCTTAAAAGTGTCCATTTTCTGTTTTGGGCAAAGTAAGAAGTAAAAACGTTCAAATGTCTTGAGCGTCTCCTTCAGCTGTCAAAGTCGTTGCTTAGCAACGGCGTCTCAGCGGAGTGATACAGTGTTTGTGAAAAACTGTGATGTTATGGTGAAATGACAGCTTCTCAACCAATCAGCTTGCGAGGCTGGAACTGTTGTATAAACGTCTGCAGTTCAGACGTTTGAATGCGCACTGTTGTATCACTGAAACTTACACTCTCTCTTTCTCTCTCTTTCTCTCTCTCTCTCTCTCTCTCTCTCTCTCTCTTGCTCTTTCTCTCCCCCCCCTCCTCCTTTCCTCCCTCTAGTGGGCGACGGTAACCTTCCATCTCCCGCACCACGTGCTGAAGCTGGTTGCGAGTGCCATAGTGAACGAGCTGAAGAAGCTGAACCAGAACGTTGCTGCCTTGTCCGTCGCCTCCTCCGTCATGGACAGGCTCTCCTACCTCTTACCCAGCGCCAGGCCAGAACTGGGGGTCGGCCCCGGACGCTCCGTAGACAGGTGATTCCCACCACAAGCAAGAACTGTTAAAAACTGCATATGTGGCTGACGTTGCATCTATATTGTTTAGATCAACATAAATCAGTAAGGACAGTGTAGCAGTGCTCAGTGTTGTGCTTCCCAGTCCATGAAGCCTCCCAGGCAGTCTGCGTTTATGTTCCTGGTCTAGACACACCAAAGTGAGGCAATCAAGAGCTGCCATAGGCCAATGGTGAACAAATAATTTGGGGGAACAACAGATTGTTAAGGTCTACATTATAGTTTTAACCTCTTAACTCCTTGAGACCACCGGTGGTTCCAAAACGCACTTCGTCATATTCTTCATAACTGTCATATTTCATAAGCTACATTCTAAAGGTGGGGGTCGTATGAGAGCTGTAACCATCTTCCTTCCAGTCAAATAGATGGGTGATGTAATTTTAAACCCTTATAATAAAAGAAGCTGAACTCACAATTTTTTTTTCTACTGAAAGTCGACCCATTTTTCCACAAATTTGAGCTATAAACTATAAACAGATGGCGTCTCTTCAGTGATCTGCTCTGTAAACATTATTTTTATAAAAAAAATACAAAGAATGTCTAAGATTTTTGGTTTTCAGCAGTAAATTGTAAGCATATAGTAATATGTGTGATCATAAAACATACGTTCTGTTAATTTGAAGGGAACTTTTACAAAAAATAAATCAATAAATAAGATAAAAATTTACGTTTATTTCATGCAGTTACTGAATAATTTGCCTTAGATTTGGTCATGTAAATTCAGATGGAAAAAACAAAATGCACCCTGGAGAATAAGCCATATATTGTGGAAGAAAATCTCCAAAATAGTAACTCAACAGGAGAAGGAAAAAAACAGTATACTTTTAATGTAAGTCAATGGAACCAGAATTTTTCCCAAGTCATTTTGGGCCGTTTCTTTTGGTCCATTCTTCATGAAATTTACACACAGTGTGAAGAACCACAGGTATTTTCTCATAATGTCAAAAACTGAAAAACGACAAAAATGGAGATACAAGGTTTTTTTCTGACAGCAGTGATATATTTGTGGCATTCTGCCTCAATATGTGTGTCTAATCTCACTTTTGAGAAACATTTCATTGTGCGTTTTTTTGTGTGCATGTTTTTTGACACGTACAGTCCTGTGCAAAAGGAAGAGACCACGTTTCATTCAATTAATTCCCAAAATGGCCAAGTAATTCATATTTCTGAATCAGGAGCTTTTCAGGTTTTAGTGTATCCTCCCTTTTTACCGTCATTCTTTTCTGAAGACTTTCTTTCAGTATTTTAAAGAAATCTGCAGGGGTGTTTTTTTTCCACACTTCTAAAGTTCAGTCTTAGAAGTTGGTTGCACTTCCTGCCTCTCATTATCTGGGTAATCGCAAACACATTCAGTGACGTTGAGTTCCAGATTCTGGGGGTGATTTTTTTTCATCTAGTTTCTTTCTCAATAACAGCTTTTTGAGAGCTGCACATCTTTTCAGACTCCTTCTTACAGTGGACAGAAACACGGAGTGCGTGTACATGCACTCAATAATCCGATCATATTCTGATTTCTGCAGTTATCCGATTATTCAATTGGTCATGTAAACACCATACTTCGATCTAGAAATCTGATTAAGAAATCTGATAAAGAGGCTGGATTTTAGCTCAGTGATCAGATTTCTCAGTGCATGTTAACTCTTAGTCTGATTTCTGTCAGATTTCTCAGTCTGCGCATGTGCGAGATCAGACGCTGGATGTCGAGCAGCTTTTGGAGCAGCGCTGAAACCAAACACGAAATAAAGGATTTAAAAATTCTTCATTTTCTAAATGATGTTTGTTCATATTTACAGGTAAAGTGGTGCGATGTTTTAAAAAAACGTGTTTTACGTTACGTTTACGTCACGTCGTCTTCTGTGAGTTTATTGGCTGGTTGTAAAGGAGAAATCCGATTTCTGCCTGACTCATGTAGACCTGGAGTTTCCCATTATCTGATTACTCAAGAGCATGTAAATGTGCTGATCAAATTACTGACAAAATCTGATTTTCTGCGGTTTATATTATAAACACACTCAGACAGTCAGTTTTTAGGTCTACCAGGTCTTTCGTGATCGTTAGGAGTGAATAACTTGCTCTTAATGGCCTTTTTGACTGGGAATTAATTATATGAAGGGTGATCTCGGACTTCTGCACAGTTTTGTAGATTCACTGTTGAGCTAGACTTTGTAATGTGACGGTTACAGAGTGCACCAAATACCATCCTCATTACTCACGAAATTAGGTGCAGATGACTACAGATGGCAATGTGACTTGCCTCACAGGTTATTCCCATTACAGTGCCTGGTGAGCATGTTGTGGTGAGTAGAGCCAGGCTTTGACCTAACCACCACAAAGTCTGAAGGCTTGGAGTTACTGTTGTAAAATGGCCACAGGTCTAGAACAATTTGATCCCTCCAGAGGGAGACGTTGGGGGAGAAAAGTGAAAAATGTGAATATTTTTAATTTTGCTACAGGCAACTTTAGCAAAGACCATGGATCTACATGATATATGATGTGATCATATTGCTTAGACTTGTGTTTTGAACCATTTGCAGGTCTTTGATGTACAGTGAGGCAAATAGGAGAGAGACCTTTACATCCTGGCCTCATGCTGGCTACAGGTGGGCTCAGCCAGACCCCATGGCCCAGGCAGGCTTCTACCATCAGGTATGTTATGCAGCCGACGTCTTTTCAACCTCTTTTTGTTTGCTTGTGAACGGACTTATCTAGGGGACAACGGACTATTGGCTGACCGATAATTAGAGCATTTTTTCGATTACCGAAATCGGCACATGAACTTGCTTCCTTGTTGATGAAAGCGCCTTTTGTTATTTAGACATTCTGACCACCTCCTTGTTTCTACGCTCATTGTCCCTTTTATCAGCTCCACTTACTATATAGGTGCACTTTGTAGTTCTACAGTTTCAGACTGTAGTCCATCTGTTTCTCTGCATACTTTGTTAGCCCCCTTTTACCCTGTTCTTCAGTGGTCAGGACCCCCATGGACCCTCACAGAGCAGGTACTATTTGGGTGGTGGATTATTCTCTGCACTGCAGTAACACTGACGTGGTGGTGGTGTGTTAGTGTGTGTTGTGCTGGTCTGAGTGGATCAGACACAGCAGTGCTGCAGGGGTTTTTAAACACCTCAGTGTCGCTGCTGGACTGAGAATAGTCCACCAACCAACAATATCCAGCCAACAGTGTCCTGTGGGCAGCGTCCTGTGACCACTGATGAAGGATTAGAGGATAACCAACACAAAGTAGACCAACAAGGTAGGAGTGTCTAAAAGAGTGGACAGTGAGTGGACACAGTGTTTAAAAACCCCTGCAGCACTGCTGTGATCCACTCAGACCAGCATGGCACACACTAACACACCACCACCACGTCAGTGTTACTGCAGTGCTGAGAATGATCCACCACCCAAATAGTACCTGCTCTGTGAGGGTCCATGGGGGTCCTGATCATTGAAGAACAGGGTAACAAAGTATCAGAGAAACAGATGGACTACAGTCTGTAACTGTAGAACTACAAAGTGCACCTATATAGTAAGTGGAGCTGATAAAATGGACAATGAGCGTAGAAACAAGGAGATGGTCAGAATGTTATGCCTGATCGGTGTAATTTTGACCCAGTCGCAGTCAACAAAGTCTGGCTCGCAACATTACTGGCTTGCTTAGAAGGTGGATGAACCAACCAGCACTTCCGTAGTCTGTCTCTGTGTCCCATCTTCTGTCGAGTAAATCCGCTTAAATATGCTTTTCGGTTTTGTGGGAGATTTGGGAGGAACAAAGAAGCGCCTGCTTCGCTCCCACAACGAGAAAGAGAAAGTAAAAACGTCACAGTTAAACGACGTAGTTGCCACAAAGCTCAGTTCACTCGGTCACATGATTTCACTCACTGTAGCCAAACAAACGTGACACCTGCATGCAGCTCAAGCCCTGTCTGAAACAGCACACTGGAGAGAATGAGGTTTCTGTGTGTAGGGCTGACAGTGCGCAGACCCATACTGCTTCTGTAGGAGTTTGATTGCGCTCAGAATGCGTGCCAGCGGTGCTTCAGTGGGTGCCAACTATGCAGACAAGCCGCTAGAAAGCAGTAAATTCTGTTTAAAATGTATAGTTTTACATTTAATACACGAGTCATACATAATTTCTGGTCATTTTCATTTTCGCCCGTTTAAAGTACAGACAGCTGCGGCTCGCTACTTCCAGCAATTCCACTGCTCTGCTTAGGCTAAACAAGCTGTTTTCATTCGAATTATGCAGCACTTTCAAGAGCCAATCAGAATACATCTGATGCACTGAACGTGTCTAACCACTGCTTGTTATCATGTGAAATACATTTTTGGTTGAACGACAGATTGAAATAAACCCTTCGACATCGATACACCCTCGTTGTTGTTGCTTTTTAGAAAGTAGTGACCAGTTTGACGGTCTGATTGCTCAGATACTCACTCTGATATTTTTACTGGGGTTACATATACAGTTCTTTATCCGACAGTCAGTTCTGGCCACGCGAGCTGATTGGTTGAGAAGTGTTCTAACTGAGCTGTTATTTTGCCATAACATCACATTTCTTTCACAAACACTGCATCACTCCTCTGAGACGCCGTTGCTAAGCAACGACTCTGACAGCTGTAGGAGACGCTTAAGCCATTTGAACGTTTTTACTTCTTACTTTGCCACAAACAGAAAATGGACACTTTTAAGATCACATTTGACCGACAGCCGATTTGGTCAGACTCTGAAGATGAGACGACACTAAATTCCCAAACTGTCATCACCACTGAGCAGCTTTTCAGTCGGCAGCTGTGACAGAAGAACAGCTAAACAACCTGGAATCAGCCAGAAATGAACCCAACACCATTCGCCAAACTAAATGGGCTGTAAGATGCTTTACAGACTGGCTGGAACAAAACAACATTAATACTGATCTGGCAAAAACTGACAAAACTGAGCTAAACTTGATATTGTGGCAGTTTTATGGCTCAGTCTGTACTTCAAAAGGCGAGGCTTACATCAGACTGAGCAGCGAGTGGGCGGAGCTCGTTACTCTGACGTAGCAACAAGCTGCTCGTTAAGGAACTATAATTTGGTGAAGGAACTGCGAACATTAAAACATATTAAACGCCGCGTTCACGGCCCAGTTTATTAATTTATTGCTTTATTTATTTGACTGTTGTATAAAAGCAATAGAGCACTCGAGGAGTGTGTTATCGCCAATAACATCACGGCTGTGATGATCTACAGCGACCAAATCACAGCCGTGATGTTATTTCGCGATAACACGCTGCCTCTCGTGTTCTACTGCTTAACTGTGTTTGTTTAGTGGCTTTTAAACAGTTATTTTGAGGTATCTAGATTCTTACTTACATCCATATATTGAAAAGGCGAGCTCTGCCCCGATGTGCCCTTTCAACAGTCAGTGAAAAAAAATTTGTCTAAAGCTAATATATTGATGTAAAAAATTTTTTATTTTATTACGAATGTCACTATTGAATGGTATTGAAGGCTATTTAAGGTATTTTTTTAACCTGTTAATTATTAAGTGTTTAAGTTACTATTTTTGCAGAATAAAGTCTCTAAAACTCAAAGCACTTAATATTTTATGTTCTGGTATTCATTTAATGTAATTTGTTAGTAAAGTTTTTGGAACTTTTCACACTACAAACATCAAATTTATGGTAAGTTAATATCGGCCCCATTAATATTGATTGATCCATGTCATTTGCAGTAAGGCGGAAAAATTGTTTGAACTTTTAACCTGTTCAATTATACAGTTTCACATGGCGAAAGTGCTTTGTAACACACAAACATACATTAAGTGCAGTTGGTGAGGCACATTCCACTCCTGTTGCTCTGTGTTGTTGCAGAGGCCAAAAGTTAGACATGCTTTTTCCCGAACCTACCAAACAGGTCCATGTGAAGGTACTGCGGACCTGAGGTGACAGGCTGGACCTATAAGCCCGTAAAGGAATGAGGACGCTTTTACTTTTGCTTTTGATTTTGACAGTGACTCTGGGAATCCCCTCTGCCACTTGCCTCCTCTCTCCCTCGTGCCTTGCCTCTATGCCACCGTGCATGCCAAGGAGGCCGAGTCGTGCTGGTCACCATGGAGACGGCACTACTCCTCTCGCCCATGTGCCCTGTTGTCATGCCAACAGAGCCAGGCGAGGAGGAGAATGGTGGGCTCTGTTGTGAAAGATGAAAGGGAGATTCCTCACCGCAGAGGGCTGTTTTTGTGGATAAAAAGTGGTGCTGAATGGCGAATTGTGGTTTCTGTTGACGTCTGCCCTCGCTGGCTGCTTGTCCTTTCATCTCTTTCAGGCAATTGGAGAAAATCACTTTGAAGATTCCTTTTTTTATACACCGGTCAGGCGTAACATTATGACCACCTCCTTGTTTCTACGCTCATTGTCCATTTTATCAGCTCCACTTACTATATAGGGTCACTTTGTAGTTCTACAGTTACAGACTGTAGTCCATCTGTTTCTCTGATACTTTGTTAGCCCCCTTTTACCCTGTTCTTCAGTGGTCAGGACCCCCATGGACCCTCACAGAGCACGTACTATTTGGGTGGTGGATCATTCTCAGCACTGACGTAGTGGTGGTGTGTTAGTGTGTGTTGTGCTGGTATGAGCGGATCAGACACAGCAGTGCTGCTGGAGTTTTTAAACACTGTGTCCACTCACTGTCCACTCTATTAGACACTCCTACCTTGTTGATCCACCTTGTAGATGTAAAGTCAGAGACGATAGCTCATCTGCTGCTGCACAGTTTGTGTTGGTCATCCTCTAGTCCTTTATCAGTGGTCACAGGATGCTGTTGGCTGTATATTTTTGGTTGGTGGACTATTCTCAGTCCAGCAGTGACATTGAGCACTGCTGTGTCTGATCCACTCAGACCAGCGCAACACACACTAACACACCACCACCACGTCAGTGTTACTGCAGTGCTGAGAATGATCCACCACCCAAATAGTACCTGCTCTGTGAGGGTCCATGGGGGTCCTGACCACTGAAGAACAGGGTAACAAAGTATCAGAGAAACAGATGGACTACAGTCTGTAACTGTAGAACTACAAAGTGCACCTATATAGTAAGTGGAGCTGATAAAATGGACAATAAAACGTACGCTTTCGTGTTGTGTACCGCGGTGTCAGCGTTGGACAAATCAGAGCATATTGATACTGAACTGTCTCATATCTCATCTCTCTGTTAGAAGTGGCTTATATGGAAAAATTATCAGTGTACATAACATCAATAAACAGTTTGCATCTCAATATTTTGGTTTTTCTGATGTTTAAAAAAGAAGCAGCAGGGACACAACATGTAAGAAACACTGTTAAAAACATGCGGTTAGTTGGTCAGCGTTCTTTAAGTACTAGGGATACCCACAGTATGCTCAGATAAGCATATTGTGACATCATGTGGTTTAATTTATGACAAAAACAATAAACATATTCATATTGCCCACCCTTACTGTCTTTTAGCACACACACAGATTGAGACCTCAACAGCCTCATGAAAGTTATTGATTTCCAGACTTTTAATTTAATAGGTTTCAAATGAAAAGTCTGGACTTGTTCTGTTCAGTTGGGACTTGAAAAGCCAACATTTGACTAATCGTTTTATATGAAGGAATGTTTGTCTATATAATTCAGTTGGTTGTGATGTTTTACATCATAACGATCGAATATTTGACCGTGCTAATCTAGTTCTTTCTGCTGTTCTCTGCAGCCTGCCTCTACAGGTGATGACCGGGCCATGTGTTTCACCTGCAGCGTATGTCTGGTGTGCTGGGAACCTACAGATGAGCCATGGTGGGTAGTCTGAATGGTGCAATATCAGTGCTACATTGAAGGAGCTGTTGAGTTAAGCTTTTCTCCCTGTGAGCAATGTTAGGACCCATTTTCCTCCAAAACCTTCAGTACAGGGCTTTGAGGAAATCCTGCCATGAATGGTATTTTCTAAACCCGCTTCTCTCTTCTCTCATCATCTCCCCAGGTCGGAGCATGAGCGCCATTCACCCAACTGTCCGTTTGTCAAAGGGGAGCACACACAGAACGTGCCGCTGTCCGTCACTTTGGCCACAAGCCCTGCCCAGTTCCCTAGCTCCGACTGCTCGGACAAGATCGCCTGCTATGGCTTCGGGAGCTGCCCACACTTCCTTGCCACGGCAACCAAGAGGGGGAAGATTTGCATCTGGGATGTTTCCAAGCTCATGAAGGTAGACTGGCTCGCTCAAAGAGGGCCTCAAAATTTTTGGGGGTCTTAATTTTTTATTTTTTTCTGCTATAGCATATCTGCTTCATCCGATCAGCTTATTAACACAGTTTCTGAGTTGAGCGTGTTGTGTTTACAGCAGAGAAAATACTAGGCGTTACGGACTCTACCGGGGCTAGTAGACAGCGATACTTCGGGTCAAGGATTGTCCAGCATGGCCTACATGCTTGTTCTCATATCCTACGTGAATTTTCAGATCTCACGCCTTTATGTTGTTAGCATATGGGAATGACTTAAACGTAACTGAAAGCATTTCTTTACAGGGTAAAACATTTCGGACAACTTGGACATAGAAAAGTCATTTTTAATAGCTCATTGTTTTAATAGCTAAATGCTACAGGGTGATTCACTCGAAAGAGGCCCCCAATATTCTGTTGTAACTCCAGTCAGGATGAAACAATCTGAACCAAAAAAATACTCTACATACCTTGACGTGTGTGTAATCGATTGCATTACATGCGATACTGGAAGTGATCTCCGCTTTCGGCCAGACACATCAAGGGGTACGGGGGTATGCACCCGGAAGTTGCAAACGGAGGTTAAACATGGCGACGGCTGTCTGGTGCCTACCTCATCGCTCAGACGCAGGGACATCCTGGCTTGTTTGAAGCTCCATATACTGAGGAGCTCATTGCACGTTGTTTCGTTCAGATTGCTTCATTCTAGCAAGAGTTATTACAGAATATTCAGGGCCTCTTTCGAGTGAATCTCCCTGTATTATATCAAATATATAAAAATCCCAACATGGGAAGGACCATATGTCAGAACCGACTGAAACAGCAACCAATCGTGCTTCACTTGATGTGCACTACATCGTTCTATGTTCCTACATCTCCACTGTTGCGTCTGCAGGTGCATTTAAAGTTCGAGGTGAACCCGTACGACCCCGCCATCTTGAGGCAGCTGATCCTGTCGGGGAGCGAACAGCAGAGTCTCACAGGCTCAGAGTCCCGCAGACCCACTCTGGCCTGGCTAGAGGACACGTCCAGCTGCTCTGATATACCTAAACTAGAGGGGGACAGGTGACATGGATTATTTACCTCTTATCGTTGTGGTGTACTGTGATTTGAAAGTGCGTGTACTCTGTATGTGTGTGTAAACCAATGTGCTTCTTTGTCAGATGTGAAGAGGGCAGGTACTGTACACACAGATTGCTTTTCACTTTTAGGCAAGTGTTTCACTTAAAAATGTATGTTTATCTTGTGCATACTCAGCTGATGCAATATTTCAACTTTTTTAATCAGTGATGATCAGTTGGAGGACTCGGACAGTGAGGAGCATTCTAGATCGGAGTCTGTCACGGGTATGGAAAATTGTGTCTGTCTACATTTATTATGTAATTGATAGAGCATTGATTAAATCTGGCAGAGGGGAAAAGAGTATTGTGTCCGATTGTGTATAGTTGTGCTCTTGCGTGCGTATGTTCATGTGTGTATATGTGTGTTTTCAGGGCCGCTGAGTCAGAAAGAGAGCATGGAGGTCAGCGTGGGGGTGACGGCCTTGAGCGTGCTTCAGCAGCCTGAGAAGTTGCAGTGGGAGGTGGTGGCCAGCGTACTGGAGGACACAGTAAAAGACCTGGAGGAGCTGGGGGCCAACCCGCCCCACTCTCTCGGGCCCCCTAAACCTGAAAAGGCCAAGGATAAGCCAGTCGAGCACCACAACATTCCCTTCCCTTGCCTGCTGGCTGGAGGCTTACTAAGCTACCGCTCGGCAGCCAGCTCCCCGCTGGCCCCACCGCATTCCCGTCGCCCCATGGACAGCCCCCTAAGGACTTCTGCCCCTGAGGGCTTTGTGCCCGACCAGGGTCTTATGGAAATTGAGACGTGCAATCCGCCCTCTGAGCTGGGCTCGCCCGGCCCTCCCCCAGGCGCCCCCGTGCGCAGGACTATGCCTGTTCTGCTGCTTTACAGCATCAAGGAGGCGGACGAGAAGTCGTCTGGCAAAGTTTTTGCCCAGATGAACAACCTAATGAACAAAGGGTTGCACGAGGAGGGCTTTACTGTGCCGCAAATCATTGAGATGGAGTTTGACACGCACGAGCAGCTCCTGCTTCAGGACCCCCCCATTACATACATCCAGCAATTTGCTGACGCAGCTGCCGGCCTCGGCTCACTGGATGGCGAGAAGTGGAGCTCGCTGGGAGCAGTGCCGCGACCTGGTGCCCTGGTGCAGTGTCTGCGCCTCCCTAAAGCTCTGGAGGAGGAGAACCTGTATGTGGACTCGATCACGCCCTGCAGCGACGGCGTGCACCTGCTGGTGGGGCTGCAGCCCTGCTCCGTTGAGTCACTGAGTGCCATCAACCAGGTGGAAGCGCTGAACACGCTCAACCGCCTCCACTCGGCGCTCTGCAGCCGTCGCAAGGGTCAGACACTGGCCAACGGGCACCAGAGTCATGCAGGTTCTTCGCCCCCCCAGACGCCTCTCATCCTGCCCCCAACCGACCAGCAGGAGCAGCCCCACACCTCCAGGCCATTTGGGGGCAGCGGTGGGGGTGGCTACCTAGCTCTGTACAAGCTGAACTACTCCACTCGCATTGTGACGTTGGTGGAGGAGCCTGTGAAAGTGCAGCAGATCCGGGACCCACGGGATGCAGTCACATCGCTGCTCCTGCTCCCGCCGGACGTTCTGGATGGGAGGGAGGACGACGGTGAGGAGACGTCTGAAGAGTCCACGCCGTCTGGGATGAAAAATGGTGCTGGGCCGGGACCCTCGGCCACCGTGGCTGGCCCCAGCACTGCCGTGGGCTCCGGGAAGGAAAAGAGGGGCGAGGTAGCTGGACTAGGCCACCTGGTGGTCACCACGCAGGCGGGTTATGTCATGATCTTGGACCTGTCCACTCTGGAGGTGCTGGCCAAAGTGGAGCCACCCAAAAAAGAGGGGACAGAAGAGGTAGACCCCTTCGTCTCTGTAACCTACTGCTCTGGCACCGACCGCCTGTGTGCCTGCACTAGAGGTAGGAACTCGGTATTCTCTGTTTAATACAGTCCTGTTCCTGGACATCTTGTGTAGAACTAACTCTGATCTGATGCAGCTGGTTTGGTTTTAAAGCTTATGGTCCATGCATGTATGCATAGCTATTTCAGGTGTTTTAGATTTGTTTGCTGTTAGGTTTGTTCAAAGGTGCTGCAGCGGCAGTTGCTCAGCGGACTGCTTGGCAGGCACAGTCGCTATTGAAGCGTTGGAGGCCAATTGTAGCACCATAAAAAGGGACGTGCCAGCTTGGCTGGCGAAGTTTTCTTGATCTTATTTTGTTGGCTCTTGCCTGGTGCTGAGTGCTGAGTACTCCTCACTATAAGGCCTGGCTGAAAGACTAACGTTTGATGTTCAAAGTAGCTACACTCATCAAGCACTTTATTAGGAACACATCCTTGTTTCTACACTCGTTGTCCATTTTATCAGCTCCACTTACTATATAGGTGCACTTTGTAGTTCTACAGTTACAGACTGTAGTCCATCTGTTTCTCTGATACTTTGTTAGCCCCCTTTTACCCTGTTCTTCAGTGGTCAGGACCCCCATGGACCCTCACAGAGCAGGTACTATTTGGGTGGTGGATCATTCTCAGCACTGCAGTAACACTGACGTGGTGGTGGCGTGTTGATGCGTGTCGCGCTGGTCTGAGTGGATCAGACACAGCAGTGCTGCTGGAGTTTTTAAACACTGTGTCCACTCACTGTCCACTCTATTAGACACTCCCACTTTCTTGGTCCACCCCTTAAATGTAAAGCCATGAGATGACGGCTCATCTGTTGCTGCACAGCTGACACTGGTCACTCAGACCAGCACAACACACACTAACACATCACCACCACGTCAGTGTTACTGCAGTACTGAGAATGATCCACCACCCAAATAGTACCTGCTCTGTGAGGGTCCATGGGGGTCCTGACCACTGAAGAACAGGGTAAAAGGGGGCTAACAAAGTATGCAGAGAAACAGATGGATTTTTTTTTTTTCCTCCATTTCGTAGGGTAAGATTTCAACCACTACCCCTTGTAACTCTGTTCCAAGGGGTTAGGGTGACACTCGAAAACAAGGGGTAGGGGTAAAACGAAGAAATGGGATCGGGCCTAAGAATGGGCCTGGCTGAATCAGTGGAAGATGACGTTTTCGGTGTGAGCGAAGTGTTCGTGTTACTCACTGCGTAACACGTCGTATCGCTGCATAGCTTTGCTGCTATAAGATCTTAACGTGTGCACAGGCACAGCAGTAGTATCCTGTGCTTTTCACTGCCTTTTCTGGCTGACGGCGCAAACAAAACAGGACTAAAGACCAAGGAGCCCAGTAGGTGAATGACACCGTAATATTCAGTATGGAGTGCATCTGTCTGGAAAATGGCAAATACCATTCAGGCTCCATAACAGTGGGAAGAAAAAGCAACTGGAAAGATTTACCTCAGCCACTGAGTCTGTAAAGGCATTTTACCGTGTCAGTGTTGCACATTAAATAAGGAGAACCTGTAACATCAGCCGACTGAAAACATGCAGTCAGTGTTGGCCTGCTGAGTTTGGTAGGACTGCTTTTGTAAGAGTGGTTCTTTTCATCTAATCTTCAATTTTGGTACTAGATATGATCTTATTGGAACTGATGACGATCATCGGTTTGAAACGGATTACACTCTGAAGAAGTCCTTACAGTTTGTCCCTCATATATGCCCCTGTTGCTAGCAGTGATGGCTGTTAGATCCGCAGTGATGATTAATTTTTATGGCCGATTTAAAATTCTACAACCAAATTTAACGATAAACTTTTTCTGCTAGTTTTTATTAGCGTTCAAATACAGCGGGAGCGCACGTGTGCATCACGTTATTTATGTCGTAAAATTGCAAAACAGATGGGCCAAAATCAAATGAATAAATTGGCCAATTTGCTTGTTTGGAATAAAAATCTGCTGATTCTGATGGTTGAGTTGTGCAGCCCTGTTAGCTGTAGCTAAAATGGATATTAAATAGGATGAGTTTGAAGTTATCCTTTCAAAAGTGTGTTGAATTAATTCGATTGACTCCGTGAGAGAAATCAACTTGAGTACAGTTGCTGATTTCTAAATGGGATGTTCTTGCACTCCAGCCTTTTGGACATACCCTTTGTGACACTACTGTCTGTAATGAATTCAAAAACAAGACTGAGTAAAAAAATAACATTAAATATAATTTAATTCGATAACAATAGAATTTTTTTTTTTAAGTGTCCATTGGAGTGGACGGTCGGTCTTAAAGTTAATGGTTTGATGATGTTTGCGATAGGATGTTCCCTAGTAGACAGCACAGGAGTATAAGGAGTACGATGCCACTGGATATCTTTTGTCTTTGTCAGGTTAGCATAACGATCATCTTCACAAAATAAGACAATTTCTTCTCATTTTCCTGCCTTGATCATCATCATTCACTGTCTCGACAACAACTTCTTGCTCCATCAGTGGTTCCTCCTCATCCCTGACATCTCCTGCAATCAATAACAAAAAGCAGCTATAAATCTGTTTATTTATTTCTTATGGATTATTTTAAGAACAGACTTTACCGTAATACATTTTTACAGTAGTTACACTCACCTCCTCTTGAGGGTCTTCCACTGTCTACATCTTCATTCTCATCATCACTAGACAAGCTTTCAATTTCTGAGATGTTTCAGTCGTGCATCAAGGCCCAGTCCCATTTCTTCTTTTTACCCCTACCCCTTGTTTTCGAGTGTCACCCTAACCCCTTGGAACTGAGTTACAGTGGGTAGTGGTTGAAATCATGCCCTATGAAATGGGACAAACCTCAAATAAACCATTACTTCATTAACAGCTACTAGCGCTGCTCTGTAGGCGACCCGGCCCGTCTTCAGTGATAGCAGAGGAGGGTAAAGTTCGGCTCCTCACTGCTGGGCTTTAGTTACATTTAGGGCATCATATGCCTTCAAAGAGGGGGGCAATTATTTATTATCACCCCTAATTCTTCAGTGATACGAAGCTGAGGTCAGATATTCACCAGCTTCTTGTTTGAATTTTCCCATTCCACCTTAAATAGAGCAGCAGTTACATTCTGGCGCTTCAGGCATCAGAACTGCTGGACTATTTAAGGTGGAACGGGAAAGTTAGCTAGCTAGCTACTGAGACGTTAGCATGCTATTAGTGCTTTTTTATGCTTGTTATAAAGAAAACGACCATAATACACTGAAACGACATTAAACTAAGATAAAACAGTGATTATCGTAATTTTTAACAGAGAAAATTCTCACATTTGTGGGTTTTATGGTCTCTTCTTCAGCCATCTTGCCGGCTTTTCTTTTTTTCTCATAACTCTCTGTTTGGAGTCTCTGAAAAACCTCTGTTTGGAGGGTCATGTAGCCCCAACACTTCACCCTCCCCCTCTATCTCAACAAGAATCGGGACACCCTACCCCTAGACGTGAACACGCAAAACAGAGAGCTAAGGGCTGAGTGGTAGGGCGAGGGGTGAAGTGGGATTAGGCCAACTATTAATCACATGCTGATTGTGCAGGAGTAGTGGCTGCAGATGGTTCTTTATTTTAATGAAAGTTTTGTTAATTACGGTAGTCCATCCTCTTGTTTTTCCTACTGTATTTTGCTCTCTAGGTTTATTATTTCTCATAGTAAAGCTAAATCAGGCTACAGAAACAGCATGTGTGAAACGTGGAGGGATGGTCTCACGTCTAGTTGGAATTTCCAGCAATATAGTGATACATAGCATATCTCCAAATCCATAAATCACAGTGGCCATCCCAGTCCACCTGACATCAACTCTACTGAGTATCTGTGTAGTGTGACCAGTCAAATCCACGGTGTAGGATATGGTGGAACAATCTCTAGTGTGTTCTCCCACCTCAACTAGCATCATCAGAAGACTCAGTGGTCAAGGTATATTGCCAAGAAGGTGTTTCAGGGGTGCCAGGGTGTCAGGATTCTGGAGGACATGCTGTTTAAACTGTATGTCTTGCTACACAATTAACTTGAGAATCGCTTTGAAATGTTTGATATTGGATACTGTGAAATTTTATATTTATATTTATAGCCCTTGACCAGCTTCCAATACTCAATCAGCCTTCTAATTAGTTTGTGCCTCGTCACCAAAAAGAGTGAAGATGAATAATGAATCTTGGTTCAAACACCGATCAGGCATATCATTATGACCACCTGCTTGCTTCAGTTACAGACTGTAGTCCATCTGTTTCTCTGCATACTTTGTTAGCCCCCTTTACCCTGTTCTTCAGTGGTCAGGACCTCCATGGACCCTCACAGAGCAGGTACTATTTGGGTGGTGGATCATTCTCAGCACTGCAGTAACACTGATGTGGTGGTGGTGTGTTAGTGTGTGTTGTGCTGGTACGAGTAGATCAGACACAGCAGTGCTGCTGGAGTTTTTAAACACCTCAGTGTCGCTGCTGGACTGAGAATAGTCCACCAAACAAAAATATCCAGCCAACAGCGTCCTGTGGGCAGCGTCCTGTGACCACTGATGAAGGACTAGAGGATGACCAACACAAACTGTGCAGCAGCAGATGAGCTATCGTCTCTGACTTTACATCTACAAGGTGGACTGACAAGGTAGGGATGTCTAATAGAGTGGACAGTGAGTGGACACAGCGTTTAAAAACTCCAGCAGCACTGCTGTGTCTGATCCACTTATACCAGCACAACACACACTAACACATAACCACCACGTCAGTGTTACTGCAGTGCTGAGAATGATCCACCACCCAAATAGTACCTGCTCTGTGAGGGTCCATGGGGGTCCTGACCACTGAAGAACAGGGTAAAAGGGGGCTAACAAAGTATCAGAGAAACAGATGGACTACAGTCTGTAACTGTAGAACTACAAAGTGCACCTATATAGTAAGTGGAGCTGATTAAATGGACAGTGAGCGTAGAAACAAGGAGGTGGTCATAATGTTATGCCTGATCAGTGTATTCAGAAAATGTCAGGTGATCTGCTTGGATGCTGATCATAGGGGCCTGAATAAGCACTGCTTCATGATGTTTTAAGGGGTGCAGGTTATCGTACTGTCCTAAATCTTAGGCTAGTCTAACTTTCTTTCTGTTTTTTTTAGGTGGAGAGCTTCATTTCCTTCAAATTGGAGGTGTGTGTGACGATATAGATGATGCCGACATTTTTGTCGACGGCCCCATTTCTAAAGGGGTCGAGCAGCTACTGGAGGGAGCAAAACCCTCGTCCAACCCCTCGAGTCCTGGGATCACAGGTCTGTTACCATTCTGTCATAAATCTGTCATAGTTTTCACATGAACTAGTCTGGTGTTTTAGTAGTGTCAGTTGTCGTATGGTAGCGTTTTATTGTTTGAGCTTAGTTATTACTGTTCATAAGTCGATGTTACTGTTGTGAAAAGTGGTCATATGTTGTGAACTGTTATAAAAGGCTAAAGACTAAATTGGTGTTGAAAGCAAGCGTGCAGTCCGTATCACGTGGAAAAGAAAAATGTCTACTTTAATGCTATTGAATATACATACATACATACATACATCATCTAAACCGCTTATCCTTCTGGGTCGCGGTGGGGTGCTGGAGCCTATCCCAGCTGTCATTGGGCAGAAGGCAGGATACACCCTGGACAGGTCGCCAGTCCATCGCAGGGCAGACAGACAGACATACACAATCACACACTCACTCACACCTAGGGGCAATTCAGCATGTCCAATCAGCCTGACTGCATGTCTTTGGACTGTGGGAGGAAACCCACGCAGACACGGGGAGAACAGGCAAACATGCACACAGAAATGACCCTGGTCACCCGGCCGGGAATCGAACCCAGGCCATTTTTGCTGTGAGGCGACAGCGCTACCCACTGCGCCACCGTGCCGCCTGGTTTATCATAGAGAAATAATAAACAGACTTTCTTTACAGTGGTGGTGATAGGAACCAGGGGTCACCATGTCTACAACACAGTCATTTTATTTATTTATTTTATCACATTGAACATGCAGTTTGAAAAGGAATATGCTTAAAGCTGTCCAGTCTTCAAAATTAAATGGTTCCAGCTGCAACAAACTTTGTGTTTGCCTACACTGGAACTGATGCTAAAGAAATGTAAACAATTGAATGAATGAAAATGAATGAAATGAACCTTTTAGCCGTCTGTGTCTGAACACATCGGAATCAGACCTCCGCATTTAACCCATCCGTGCAGTGAAACGCCACATACACGCTAGCGAACACACACACACTAGGGGGCAGTGAGCACACTTGCCTGGAGTGGTGGGCAGCCCGATCCACGGCGCCCGGGGAGCAGTTGGGGGTTGGGTGTCTTGCTCAAGGGCACTTCAGTCACATACTGTCGGCTGAGGGGATCGAACCGGCGCCCTTCCGGTCACGAGGCTGGTTCCCTAACCTCCAGCCCAAGACTGCCCCCCCAGTCTGCTTACCGCAGATGTGGTCAGTCAGCCAAGACTGGTGTCCATATTTAGCTCCTTTAGTTTTAAACTGGAGCAAAATATGGATGCCAAACATGTCTTGACTGATCAGCTACATCTGGATAAGTGGACTGTTGTGTACATTAGGGGTGACACGATTATTCGACTTGGTCGACAAAACTCGACGACCAAATTAGTTGGCAAATAGTTTAGTAGTTGATTAGTTGGTGACGTCATTGCGCGTCTTTTTAGCGCTGACTAGGAATGTCGTGACATTGCCGCTCACTGAAGAGCTGACCAAAGCGCGATGTCAGCCTCAAGAACATAATTCTAAAAAGTCTGGGAGCTAAACTCAGGAAAAAAGGTCAGTTGTCCTGTTTGTAAAGCCGACCTCAGCTGGCACGGGAGCTCATCCTCCATGCTGGAGCATCTGAGAAGGAAACTCGTCACCTCACTGGGTGAAGAAGGTTCAGCTCGGTTAGATACGCCGCGTCCCAAACCGCATACTAGCACACTAAATAGTGTGTAAAACTAGCGCATTTACCATTATAAGTGCACTCATTAGTGTAGTGTGTGAAGCACAGAAGTGTGTGGTTTGGGACGCGGCGATAGCTGTGCTAACGAGCTGGTTAGCTAATGTTAATGTTGAATTCCGTCCTACTTTATGTTCTGAGCTGAGCTGTAACGTTTTCTGTTTCGAAGTGCTGCTCTCTGGTATCGTTAATGGAGTTGGAGCAGAGAAGCAAGTAACTATTATTCACAGCGACCCTGTCCACTTTCCAGATAACGTTTACAGTTTTAAACACCTCATGGTCGTCTTAACATCGAGGCCACAGGGGCGTTCAAATTGAGCGAGCACAGAGAACGTTTGCAAACAGTTTTCTGTTCTCCATGGATGTTTGACACCACTTGCAAAGTTTCGGTTTCATGTTACACAAAATCGTTCAAATTTAACTGTTCATAGAGAACGTTTGCCACAAACGTTCACCACTTTCCCATCCGCTCCATCGGAGCGCATCGTCTCCGCAGCGGGGTGTGAATATCCGCTCTCAGAGGAGATCAGGCCTCTCACAAAAGCAGAGATGCAGACTTTTCAATAAAGACTGTGCGTGTAGAATTTCGTTGCATCAGAGTGTCGACAGACACTTTAATGAACTTTCCTGCTAATACAAAAGAGGAATAAAACTCGAAGTCAAAATTTAAGAAAGGATGTGCAAAATAGCAATAAAATTTAACGGAGCAGCGATTTTTATTGAATGATATTCATCTTTATTGTTAGTTAGCAAATGCATAAAACTACCTCAAGCATTATTTAAAAGCTAATAGCTACTTAAGAGTTATTTGGTAATGTAGTGATTCGATTATTCGTTTAGTGATCGATAGATTATTCGACTCTCGAGTCGTTCATTGCAGCCCTAGTGTACGTTGTGCTTTTGTAATACTGAAATGAATCACATCACAAAGTGACTCCTCCTCTCCGTGTTTGTATGTGGTTGTTAAAAAGGCTCTCTGTCTGTAGGAGTTGACCTCCTGGTGGACCAACCGTTGACCGTGGAGACACTTTCTTCTCTGGTGGAGCTGACTCGCTTTGAGACGCTGACTCCTCGCTTCTCAGCCACAGTGCCCCCTTGCTGGGGGGAGGTGCAGCAGGAGCAGCAGCAGCGACGTCACCCACAGCACCTACACCAGCAACACCACGGAGATGCCGCACAGCACACGCGCACCTGGAAACTACAGAGCGACAGGTAGACGCAATCACTGAACGTTCCTGTCAAATTAGATCATCTTTGTAATTCTGCCTTATTTTGCCTCATTGAAACATGTTTACAAAGTAATGGTTTGGTGACAAATCACGTTTGTACAGTTTTCCCCTTGCCACTGTTCAGCCAAGACATGTTTGGTGTTTTGTTTTTGGAGATATGAGGCTAATGAAGCTAATAGCCACCAGTTAGTGTTATTGAAACTGCAAGGTAGAATTACCTCATCTGCCTCAAACTGCTTTACGTTCATTATTCTCAGATCTACGGTGACTAGAAGTCTCCACAGAATTCAGGTTTCGCAATGACTGCAACTAGAGCTGCACGATAAATCGTATTATCATTATTGGGAGATGAGTTTCCGCCGTAAACACATTGTTAGACAGAACAGATCAAATTACCTCAAATACAGCGGCAAAGAGATGTGATTACATAACCGGCACAAACCGTTACAAGCCTGCTTCTCCGCACTGGGACGGAACCTGCTCTCCCACGCGGGAGATGAGCAACTTAACCGTCGGTTAGTCGGCCAAACGGCCAGAGTGTGCAGCGTGCATTTTCGAGAAAATTCAATTACATTTGTTGAAGCTGTGAAATCAGTTATAAAATCTACATCCCTCTGAATTTCTTGTTCAAATTTTGATAAATAAATCTTGTATTGTTCAACATGAAGCCTATTTAATTTCATTTGCCAGGACATGTAGTTACTCAGATATTCACATCTCAAATGATGTCAATTTTTTGGGACACCCTGTGTGTATATATATATATATATATATATATATATATATATATATTTGGTTATGTAGCCTTTATAGTAAAAGCTGTTACGGTAATGCTGACCGTTTCTCAGCCCTTCATGCAAAAAAAATGTGCTTGAAGTTCTGATGTAAGTAGATTTTATAAAGTTCATAAATATAATATAAATTTTGTATTTTGCTATTTGTTTACAGAGGGGTTTAATAAGAGGTTAGTCAGATTTGTTCACACATCCCCCAAAAATGCTTCTTATAATGATCCGGCAGCTTTATCGAACATGGCAGTTTGCGTCAATATCGTGGAGCCATAACTGCTGTTTTTACCTGTTTAGTGATTTTGAGCTTTTGTTAATTTTTGTACGCATCAGTATATCAGACTGTGTCAGACAAATACAAGTCTATTTAAAATGTGAGAAAATCTGATTTTAAAGCCAAATCCTTGCTTTAAAAGAATTGTTGATTGTGAAGTTGCCAGCGCACGTAAGTGAGTGTTTAGCGTGATCCTGCTAACTGCCTAATTTCGTGCCCTATTAGATTCCATTCACTGATAGCGCTGTTGGTATTTTAGGCCAATCTGTTGTTTAAATCCCTCATTTCTCTCTCTTTTTCAGCACCAGCTGGGATGAACACGTGTTTGAACTGGTCCTGCCCAAAGCCTGCATGGTGGGACACGTGGACTTCAAGTTTGTGCTGAATGCCAGTATTACTAACATTCCCCAGATCCAGGTCACCCTGTTGAAGAACAAGGCCCCTGGGCTTGGCAAGGTCAATGGTGAGTTAGGGCTGCACAGTTGACCCTGTGTCAAAGGAGCATTATGCAAGAATAGCAGCAGAGCAATAAATTGTGTGCAGAGATTTAATAGGTTACTAACCAACTTGCCGTAAGAAGAGTATGGAGGTAAATTATGTTTGCAAACATGCGTTTGCAGGTTGTACTTCTCCCTACGCTATTACAACTGTGATTTCACAATTTTTTTCCAAATGGTTTGTTTTATTCTCCACAGAGTCAGCTGTGGACCGGCAGATAGTCTTCCCTCTGTCACATGTCTTGCAAGCTAATGGCGAGAGGAACGGTCAGCCACTTTTACACGATTTCACAGAGGACATCCAGTTTATGGATATCGAGGAGACGTCAGGTAATGAGATGGCATAAAGGGAGAGTCTCGATTACAATTAATGAACAATTTTTTTTTTTTTTTGCCCTCATAGTTCACTGACAAGGTTTGTACTGTAAATATGCTCTGCTTATCTTCATGTAAATCGTCTCAACAGCCAGATCGGAATTCACGTGGCTTTTATCGTCAAACCAGCTCGACATTCGTCTTAATTTCACGCTGCTGAGACTTAAAACATTCGGGGCGATATTTCTGTACAAAAATTAGAAGAGGCTCATCCAAGAGATTTAGAAAGAAATGGCCGAATGCGACTGCAGGAGAACGAGGCTGCAGCGTCAAAGAACAGTTAAAAGGCTGAAAGCAAAGTTTACAGAATCCGAGGAAACAAACCAAAGAAGTGACTGAATACGGAGCTCTTTTTATGGCAAATTCAGACACATTCTGGGTGATGAGCCCAGCTGTCAGTGAGTGAAGCTTCATGATGGCGCCTGTGATGCTGGTGAAGATGAAGCTGATCCTCCGGGAGCGACTGGCGTTCACTGGCAGTCATGATTGTTTACCTCTGGATGAGCCGCGTGAAGCAGCGTGACGCTCTGTTCTTTTGTGCATGTGGGTCAGTTTAGGAGCTGATCTGTTCAGACTGATGTCTCATACAGATCACATTTAAAGATAATGTGAACAGCCAAACAAAAAAAAATCAGATTTGGTGAGAAAATCAGATTTAGGCCACTTTTACCTGCTGTGTGAACACAGCCTTAGCGTCCATGTCGCAGAGTGGACCTGTCGGAGTCATGTGACCACACGTGCAGTTGTAAGCCTTTAAGGGGACACTACAAAGACACACAGAGTGGGAAAACGATCAACCAACATGGGCAAGATTACATCGGTCAGAGGATCTGAATGTCGGTGTTGATTACTTTTCGCCCAGCCCTAGCCTGTTGACACCTTGCATCAACATGCCTTTTTGGTGATTGGATCACATTTAGATTTCACTTGACCGCATGAAGACCCCTTGGACACATTGCGTTCGATTACGATCAGTTGACTCAAACCCCTTTTTAATGTGGTCAGAGATGGATGTTGACCACGTTGGAAATTAGTCTGCTGAGTGCTGACCAGCGAGTGAGAGAAGAAAATTTGAAATGAAAGATTGAGGATATTTGAGACCATGAGCCTTCTTGCGCCCTTGGACAATGAAAGTGTCCAAGCCAAGCTGGTCAAAATGTATTGCAATGGTGGGAAAAAGTAAACAAAAGTAAAGCGGAAACCGTTTATGTGCTGATGTGCTCTTTACGTGGGAAAAGTAAAATTGGCTCTCGCCTGGTCACACTGGGGGCACATTGGTCCAGCCAAATTGGGCATGAAACACATGTTAATGTAAAGCAGAGGTGTCAGACTCAACCACTAAAAGGGCCGTATTAAAAAATTATTCAGTAACTGCATGAAATAAATGTCATTTTTATTTATTTTATTTTTTTTGTAAAAGTTCCCCTCAAATTAACAGAACGTGTGTTTTATGATCACACATATTGCTATATGCTTACAATTTACTGCTAAAAGCCAAAAATCGTAGACGTTCTTTGTATTATTTTATAAAAATCATTTTTACAGAGCAGATCACTGAAGAGACGCCATCTGTTTATAGTTTATAGCCCAGATTTGTGGAAAAATGTGTCGACTTTCAGTAGAAAAAGAAACTGAGAGTTCAACTTCTTTTATTATAAGGGTTTAAAATCACATCACCCATCTAGAAAGAAGACAGTTACAGCTCTCATACGACCCCCACCTTTAGAATGTAGCTTATGAAATATGAAAGTTATGAAGAATATGACGAAGTGCGTTTTGGAACCACCGGTGGTCTCAAGGAGTTAAAGAGGTTAAAATAATTCTGCGGGCCGAACACGACTGTGTCACCGGCCTGACTTGGCCCGCGGGCCTTGTGTTTGACACATGGGGATGTGAAGTGTCAACAGCCTCGGAGAAACACAGAATAACCGACATTTGCATTTTTTCCAGTCTCTTCATGTTGTAGTGGGTCACAATAGTAATAGTAAATGGAAAGAAACATTGACATTTATGGGCATGTGCCTTTGGCATTGTGAAATAATGGTGACCCCTTTTCTTCCTCTCATGCTGCAGGATCCAGGCTGTGCGCTTTCCTGGAGGACCATAAGGAAGACATCCTGTGCGGACCTGTGTGGTTGGCCAGCGGCCTGGACCTCTCGGGTCATGCCGGCATGCTGAGCCTCACAAGTCCCAAACTCGTTAAAGGTACAGCGTGTTGTAACTGAAGTTTCTGTCAGAAGCTGTAAAGATTATTTCACAGCCGGCTTTGAGGGGGCCGTCGTAATCCTCTGTGTTTTTAGTGGTGTTTGCTGCTCTTGGGAGTGTTACTAACAGACACTGCTAACACTAAAAGCAGTAGTGCTTTATGACTTTACGCAGTACATAATGTTTGGCCGTGTTTTAGTAAAGGGGTGTCTAATCTATCCGCAGAGAGCCGATGTGGCTGCAGGTTTTCATGCCAAACAAGCTGAAGCGCACCTGATTCTACTTGTTTAATCAGTCGGTCTTAGTCTTCCCACATTTCATCAGACGACCTTCTGCTCTGTTGGAGTGAAAACCTGCAGCCACGCTGACCCTTTTAGTGCGTTTCACTTTTCAGTTTTTCAGTTGTATTTTGTACTTTGGTGCTTTTGTTTGATTTTTTTTTTCTTTTTTGTTTCAAAAAGAGTGTCGTTGACATGCTAGAGGGGAATTTTTGCTTCAATCGTCTTGCCGAGAGTGGATCTCCTGTTTTTAAGCGATATAGAACTTGTAACGGAGAAGTTCTTGGATGTTGTATCCCCTCCTGATACACAAGATGAGCGATGATTAAAAATCATCTTATGCTCATCAAAGAAACCGTGAAATAGTACCATGCAGTAGCTTTCAATAGCCATGTTTACATGCATTTTAATAATCTATTAATAATCCGACTAATAGCTCAATCGGAATAGAATTCGTCCGTGTGTACACTTCATTCGGAATGGTCTAGTCCGATTGAGGCCATTTGGGATACAATTTCTACCCGATTGATCGAGGTGGGTAATCCTGTAAATAATCTGTTAAATAGAAGAATAATATCTGTGTAAACGCCTGTATCTGATTACATTCCCTATCGGAAAGTTTAAGTCCGTTCTGATCATGTTCGTCGCGTCATAGTGAAAGTTCATAACGTTCAACGTGGCGGAGCAGAAACTGGTCTGCAGAGGAGACGAAGTTTCTGCTCTGATCTTTAAAAGACGGCGGTGGGACGGACGTCCAGCTTATGTGTCTCAGAATGCGACGTCTTCCTCTCGGCCTTCTTTAATAAGGACATGTGAAGGACGTTTTCCTGAGTCTGACATCATTTTAAAGCGATTAAAAACACAAGCGCTGCTCACTGCTGCTCATCTCACTCTGACTGGACTCACATGATGCTCGTTGTCATGGTAATATTTGCTCTAAGTGGTTCTCCACGTATGAGCGCCATTTTGGATCGGATTACTTGTAGAGAGCATGTAAATGAAGATTTTCATCGGATTGTTGAACACAGTGAGCAAAAACACCTCAGTCTTAATCTATAATTGGAATGTATTTAATCGGATCGGCAAAAATCTTTGCATGTAAACACAGCCAGTGTCTGCTGGCTGGCGCTGAAAAGAGAAGGAAACAAATATCGTTTTTAACCCCTTTTCAAAGTTGCAGTTTCTGCCTGGTGTGGATGTCCCTCAGTTTTTGCATTATGCATTATTTTTTAAATTTGCTGGATTATATTTAGATGGAAACGTATGATTTACAAAACGAGAAGCCAGCTGTAGATGTGTGAGCAAGTCGATACATTAGAAGTGTTTTTGTTTACTGTTGTTGTTATAGTTGTACAGGACTGTTTGATATTAAGAAAGCTGTCCATTTTCATCTCTGTATGACCGTCTTTGTGGTGAGGCGAGTTGTTTTTACAGCAGGTGGTTCTCACCACTCCTTTTTCACCTCGTATTGCTCACTAGCAGCTCAGTACAGACTAACAGTGACCTAGTTGATCTGATGACCTGAGTTACGGAGAAAAATATCTTATTTAATCAGATTAATTCAAAATATTTCCTTTTTCCAATTTTGATGCGTCTCTAATAATTTTAATTGTGGTGTGCTCCTTGTCTGGTGGTTAAAGCTTGAACCAGTCTTTTTAGAACAATGTAAATGTTTGAGGAAGACATCAGTGATTAGATGAATATTATATTTTGCTGGCTGTATTGCTCAGTAGTTGAAACAGTAGTTCCCTAAAGTTTAGCTCGAAGCCTTTTCCAAAAAAGGCATATGAGATCAGTAGAGACTGATTTTTCTGCAGGCGAAGGTATTTTGCAGGTCAGTGTTATGAGGCCAATGAATTATGACCAGAGAATTCATCAAAAGTAGGGTTGTCTTTTAATGTAGGCACCAGTTAACTGATTTAACAGTGATATGGACAGATTTGCCTGGTGGCGCTCGTAAAGCACACGGTTTGCTCCTTGATCAGAATGTTTTTGAGAATCTCTAAATCAGCTGTTACCAGGAATTTCACCCTGTAAAAGGAGACAGAATAAGACTTTCTGCCTTCTGCAAACAGGGAAGTTGTATTGCATGAATTGAATGTGTTATTTTTGCTGTTCTTCTGGATGTGATGTCATTAAACGGAAATTATCATGCAAGCAGTGTGTCAGTCAACAATAAAGATTACCTAAAGCTGAAATAAGTAATAGGCTCAGTTCAGTAAGTTCAGTAAGAATCACTTCTCTAGATGTTCATGGTTCTCTCTTTCCTTCTCTCTCTACGTCTGAAGGCATGGCAGGGGGAAAGTACCGCTCGTTCCTGGTCCACATAAAGGCAGTGTGTGAGAAGGGACCGGAGGAGAGTCCACGGCGCATTGTACGGATGACCCCCGCCAAGCCCCAGTGCAGCAATAAAGCACACTCCTTATCCTCCCTGCTTCAAAAAGCCCAGGCCACAAAGGTATACACCCTGCTAAAAGGAGCATTTTTCTCTTATCTGCTATTACATCACATATGAATGTGTTTACACAAGGGTTTGTGCCACTGCAGGATGACGATTGTGTAAAGTGAAACTCGTTTGAACACGCCAGCTCTCATTTACAGTAGCCTGACGTCATTGCTTGTAATCTGTGTGGTTCGGAGAGCTAATGAACACTGCCACCTAGTGGCTGTGTCTTAGGACTGCCACTGCTATGACTAGAAGTGGTGCTCAGTTTAGATTACTTTTCTCTTTGAAGCTTTGTGCTTTCCAGGAGAAGGCCTCCACATCCAAATCAGATCCTCAGGCAGCTCCTAAAAAGCCTGATAACCTGCGGGGCTGCGACCTGCTCCTGGAGGTGTCCATCACAATCAGAAGGTTTAAGAAGACGTCTGTACCCAAAGAAAGGTGGGTCACCTCTGCTTTATCTATGTAGCGCTCATCGCCCGCTGACATCACTTCTCCGAAGCCCATTTCACACCAGTCCCGCACGCAATACGCTCCTGTATTCGTCAGGGTAGCCTTTCACACCGGCTGAAAATACGCTTTGGGTCTATTTCCAGCAGTTTCTATGCAGAAACAGTAGAGAAATGCAGTGTCTATGCTGTAATATACACGGATCAGGCTTGTTTCTACGCTCACTGTCTGTGATGTTGCGAGAACCTACTTGTTTACATATCCCCCTGTTTAGCCTTCAGCACTTTAGCCCTGCCCATTCAAACTGACGTTATAAGGAGTGTTTCAGCCCTGAGTGCTTTTTTGTAAGCCACACATAGCAGGACAGCCAGAACAGAACTCTGTCTTTTGACTTTTGTTGTCTTAAAGGAATTAAAAGTTTAATTCTAAGGGATAATGAGAGGTTGGAAAAAAATAAAAAATAAATGATGACTATTTCTTGGTACATAAAACCTTGCAAAATATTACAAGCGTAAAAATAAAAAGAAAAATAGGCCCTTTAAGTATTAGTTTGACACTTTGTTGTTTAATCTGTAGATTTTTTTTTTTCTGTAGCCTTTTTACTCTTTTGACCGAAAACGGAAATTTCTCTGCGTCCCTACAGTGAACGTCTTTGATTAACCTCAGATTCTACAAATCTGTGCAAACCTCAGAAATTGTGACTTTTTGCCAAAGTATTATTTTAGATGAGAATTGTTTATAGATTCATGCCCAACACAGTTAGTGCTCATCATTGTGAGCTATTTGTAAAGACTTTATATTTATTTGTAAAGACTTTTGAAAGACCACCCATCATCACCCAGATTGTTATATCTAACCTGTAAAATGTGCAGTTACTTTTTATTTAACATAAAGATTTACACATCAACAAAACATGCAGCGATTCAGCATTGGTGTTGTGAACTAAACCATAAGAAACAGAATGAGAAAGCAGTGTAACATCACTATTACACTCAGTGAACCTGTAATATTAAAACAGCCAGTTTACATTTTTAACTTAATGATTGTTGTTTCAAAGGTGAGCAGATTTGCCTTTATTTATAGAGCTTTTACAGATTCTACAAATCTGTGAAAACCTCAGAAATTGTGAATTTTTGCCAAAGTAATGTTTTAGATTAGATTCTATCTTTAGATTAGATAGAATTGTTTGTAGATTCATGCCCAGCACAGTTAGTGCTCATCATTATGCGCTATTTACTTTTTCACATTTTCAAGATCTCCTGTACACCAAATGTGTGTTTTACTGTTTATTGTTTGTTTGTATCTCCATCCAGAGTGCAGCGCTGCGCGATGCTGCAGTTCCCTGAGCTGCACGAGAAGCTGCTGGGGGCGCTGTGTAAGCGTGGTGAGGAGGATTCGCCCTCTGAGCACTCGCAGAGCCTCATTCTGGACATTCTCTGCTGGCTGGCTGGGGTCTACTCCAATGGCCCCTGCAGGTACCGCACCACTGATTGCCTTAGACTGGGACAAAGCACCTTGCTATGTAGTGCTGTGGCCTTTTAAAGCTAAAAAATACATTTATTCATTTATATTGGCTCAGATGGACTGTAAAACATTTCGTGTTAACTCGCATCTGTTTCTTGTCACTACAGCCTCAGAGAGGGAAAGGAGGGGCTTCAGACCAAAACAAGGAAGCGCCTGACTGACATCATCCGGGTGTGCTTCTTCCAGGCGGGCCGTAGCATCGCCCACAAATGTGCCCGCTTTCTTGCACTTTGTATTAGGTCAGTTGATCATTAAATATTAGGAAAAAAACATCAAGTCAGTGCCTCCAACTCCAGCCTGTGTTATTTTGACATTCATGAACATTTTCTCTTTTTATTTCAGCAGTAATGGTAAAGGAGACCCAAATCAGCAGGGTTTTGGCCAGGCCCTGTTGAAGGCCCTGCTGGATAATATGCCTTACTTGCCTGCTGCAGCGACAGGAGGTAATTGTGTATCCTGCTGCAAATGCATGTACCTTTTTAACGCCTTTACCGTTTCCACACTGTTGAGATGCTGGTGAAGCTGATCATGTGGCAGTGCAGTACTGCTAGGTATTTGATATTGTAGTTAAACCAAGCTTATATATTTTGGCCTCAGGTTCAGTTTTCTGGTACTTTGTGCTGTTAAACTACGTGAAAGATGAAGATCTGGCCGGCTGCAGCACCGCCTGCGCCTCTCTGCTCACAGCTGTATCCCGGCAACTTCAGGACCGCCTCACTCCACTGGAGGCCTTGCTACAGACCAGGTGACTGAGTTATATTACAGTTTTCTACATAGTGCAAATTTATTATTATTACCATAGTTAAAGCTCTATTCCAGGGGTCTTTAATTAAAATTCAGGTCCAGTTAGAGAAAATTTCCTCAAGCAAAGGTCCAGAACATCATGATGTCTAACTTGCATTATGATTCAGAGCCGTATACTGTTTACTGGAGTAGCCTAGTAGGTATATCAACATCAAATGTAGTCAGCAACTGAATGGCAAATCAAATATAGTACAGTTCAGTCATATTTCAACAACATTTATTGTCAGTTTTCTGTTTTTAGATCACGCCATGTGAAATAACTTGCGCCGTCCCTCCCCTGTGTGTGCGTCACTCACTCAAGGCTCAGTGCTCATCGTAGTGCACAGATCTGATTGGCTGAGTAGCGTCACGTGTCATATTTACAACTGATGTGATTGGTCTGTGAGTCTCCCGGCCGCTAAAGCTACCATAATGACTAAAAATATAACGGCGATTAAAACAGGACCACCCCGTCGAAATTAAATAATTCTCCATAGTTTATCGGTTATAGGTCCAGGTCCAAATAGGACAGCGTATGGGTCCAGACTCTGACCGCGGTCCGCCTATTAGTGACCTCAGCTCTATCCAAATCAGATTTACTTGTTGGCTTGAAACTATGCACTACAGGTCTAAATGAGATATAACACTTGTCCGATGCTGGGTGTCAGTACGGGGCTGATATCAGCAGAAAATTTAGGATCGGATATTGGAGGGGAAACAAGAATGGAATGGATACATCCCTCTAATAAATCCTGAAATAGCCCTCTAGTAAATCCTGAAATAGCCCTCTAGTAAATCCTGAAATAGCACACGTTCACGTTGTGGGATGTGATGTTAGCTGTGTGTTTCTTCTTGTCCTAACTGCTTTAAAGGGCTTACATCGTAATTTATTATTATTATTTTTTACAGCTAATTATTTCCTCTGAGGTTCACTTAGAATGTATGTTTTTATGTAACGAAAATAAGCATGATTATCTTTTTACTTTATCCCTTAGAATTAAACATTGTTTTTGTTACTGTGCGTTTAGGACTGATTCAGCCTAGGCTGAATCACTCTATTTATTTACACTCATTCAAAACGGTAAAAATAGTTCATTTTAAAGCTTAATAGTTTTTAAATCCAACATATTGTATTATTATTTTCCGATTCTCTTATATTTTGTATGTACAAGCACAGCTGAACTGTTTGCTGTACCAATTCATTGTATCTGAGAATCTGAGTGTGAGAGAATGTGTTATGTTTAACTGTCGGTGTCGTCTCTGTTCAGATACGGTCTGTACGGCTCTCCCTTCGACCCAGTTCTCTTTGATCTGGAGGTGAGCGGGTCTTCCTGTAAGAACGCCTACAGCAGCAGCATCGGTGTTCAGTCAGACGAGATAGACCTGTCTGACATTCTCTCAGGTCTGTGCACATATGTTCATAAAACCCCTGAAAAACACTAGTTATTGACTCTCTTATTGATATATAAATTATATATACTAATAGTTATAATCTGTTTCTGTAAGTAGCGGTATTTACTATAACATTTAACATAGTATTAATGTCTGTTCTTCTTATCTCTCCCTGCTGAAGGTAATGGTAAGGTCAGTGGCTGTGGGGCTGCTGAGGGTAGCTTCACGGCTCTGACCGGTCTACTGGAGGTCGAGCCTCTGCACTTTACTTGCGTCTCCACTAGTGACGGCACTAGAGTGGAGAGGGACGATGCAAGTATGTTCACCGGTACATATCTCCCTTTACTACTCCTATTACTACTTCCACTGCTGCAGTTCATGTTCTGTTCTTCTCTTTCTGAAGGCTCCTCCTGTTTGCCTGCTGTTGACAGGCTAGTTCTTCTACAGCTCTTGTTTCGTACTATTATATCAGGCTGTCATTAAAGAAATACTTCGCCAAAAATGCTAGCAGAGCTAACAGTGAGTAAAGGCCACTGGGGAACAGTTTGCATGGTTGCTCCATCAGGTGCTATCGATATAGAAACCCTGAATTCAGTGTCAGTAACCAAAAGGTTGCTTTTTTCCAGTTTGCTTTTGCTTTGCATCAATTTTTCACTCTATTTTTAGATTTACATACACAGCCTAGTAAAGCGAACACGAAAAAAAAATGTAAATAAAAAAATCTTCTAGTTTTTTGGATAAAGAAATTTAACATTTTCAATTTTAGAAGCTTTCAAAGTATTTTTCATGCCTTCAGTTGGGGGACAATTGGCCGAAAAGCCCATTAAGTATCCTCAAAAGAGGAATGCTTTTGGCAAGGTAAGGCATTTGGTCATAACAGATAGATGAGACTTTGACCGTTTAACCTTTGCCATGTTTCACAGTGAGCACGTTTGGCGTGACCCCCACGGTGGCTGGGCTGTCAGCGGGGACCGTGGGCGAAGCTTCTACAGCTCTGAGCTCAGCCGCTCAGGTGGCCCTGCAGTCGCTCTCCCACGCCATGGTTTCCGCAGAGCAGCAGCTGCAGGTGCTGCAGGAGAAACAGCAGCAGCTGCTCAAACTGCAGCAGCAGGTCAGACTCATTCAATGCGTACTATTGAAAGTGCTTTGATAAAGAACTGTTTTTATGCTGATTACTGTTTGTGTGTTGTGGGACAGAAGGCCAAACTGGAGGCTAAGCTTCACCAGACCACCTCAGCGGCAGCGCAGGCTGCGTCTGGGGTGGGGCCCATGCACAACTCCGTGCCTTCCAACCCCTCAGGCGCCCCGGGCTTCTTCATCCACCCGTCTGACGTCATCCCTCCGACACCCAAAACCACACCGCTCTTCATGACGCCCCCGCTCACGCCACCCAACGAGGCCGTGTCGGCTGCTATTGGCGTGGAGCTCGCACAACTCTTTCCTGGCTCCATCATCGACCCACCGCCTGTCAATCTTTCTGCACAGAACAAGAACGCACACAAAGCCAAGCCGGTTAGTTCTTTCTGCTAGGTTTTATGCTGTCTAGACGGCTGCTTTTATATCTCAAGGACCAAAATGAAGTGGAATAACATTTTTTTGTGTAGTAAATCGCATACAAGTTTGCAGAAAACCGAACAGGAAAAGGAATAGTATGGCGAAAAGTCATGTTTACAAAGTTTCCCCCCTTATCCCAAACATACCTGATTAGATAAGACATGTTCGGTGATGTGTACACAAGACCTGTACACATCTTGCTTCTGTAGTTCTGCACTGGAGCTGTAAGGCTGGTGTGGCTATGAAGTATTGGAAAATCTTTTTGTGTGAACAAAATTTGTTACTTCTGTAATGTTTATTACAAAATAAAAGTGCGCCAAGGGCACCAAACAGCCCTCAATGATTAATTATATTTAGGGTAAAGGGGGGGGGGTATGTAAACTACGTTTTTTACACTGTAATGGCTGATCGTTCATGTAGAAAAGGAATGGTTTGGTGAGAAATCAAATACACACACAATTCCAAATCTTACTCCTTTAGTTTAAAACTGGAGCTACGAAGCTCATATTGCAAGCAAACACTAGGAGGTCTATAGTCACCCAAATCTGTTCTTTAAATACATCCCCAGAGCCTCTCTGAACCCAAACGCATCCAAAACAAAACTTCTCTGTGTAGCTGAACGCTTTGGTCAGCCAATTTGGACAAAAAGGTGTGTTAAATTTCAGCTGCCAGTTGTGCGCATGCACATCACACAGGCGTATGGACGCTACAGACTGTTCCATTTCCGTTGTTCACTCTTATAATTAACTGTAAATGTTTTTCTAATTGAACCTATATATTTAAAAATAGACACAGCTTAAATTGCTAGTCTAACCTAGTGTACGTATGCATATGTGACGTGTGTGTGTGAAAGCTAAGGGGAGCCGGATTCTGCGGTAGAGGCTGCGGTTGACCCCACTTCGTTGCTTAAAAAGTGTTACCCCCAGTGTTCGGCCACGCTATAAAGTTTTATGCATTTTTATAGCGCTCAGCAAGTCATGCTGTACTCTGAACCACATCACCAAGTCTTAGTGACCTTGATGTAGACCTTGGTGTGGTTTGAGCAGGTATTTAAAACAAAAATTTTGGGTGTATTGGCTTATAGTGTTAGGTAGCAAGAATAGTTTCATAGCTCCAATTTTAAACAAAAGATTTGGTTTCCGCTCTCATCATAGCACTTAGACAGCTCGCATCTGTGTCCTTAATTATCTGCTCCTATCCTCTGGCCATGCATCTGGCTTACTTCTTCTTGATCTTACTGCAGCCTTTCATACGGTTTAGCATAATATACTCATTTCATGACTTTGATGTATTGGCACAAATCAGTTACTGCTCTAGTTACTCAGGGAGTTCCCCAAGGCTCTGTTCTTGGGCCCCTGTTATTTATTATCTATATACTGCCTCTTTGGAAGAATTATTCGTTCACACAGATCTACTTTAGCCTCAAAGTTAATGCATTGGTTGAACTCAAATATTCTTAATCTTAATTCTTAATGTACTAATAAAAAGTGAATTTTTGATTGTTGGTACCCAATCAGCCGTCCTTGCCTATTCAGATTATAGAAGATTCTTGTTGTTGATGATATTCCTGTGAGCCCATTGTCTATTGTGCGAAACCTCTGTGTCCTGTTTGACCCGTGTCTCTCCTTTGTTCCACGTATTAAATCTCTGACTAAGTCTGCATCTTCACAATATTGCTAGACTGCACCCTGTGCTTACCTTTAAAGATGCTGAGATTCTTGGTGCTTGCTTTCATTACATCTAAGTTAGACTATTACAATACTCTGTTCTATGGTTTACTGTCTAAAACTCTTAGTTCTGTTCAGTACATCCAGAATTCTGCAGCCAGAGTCTTAGGCCACGTTCACACAGCAGGTAAAAGTGGTAAAAATCTGATTTTCTCACCAAATCAGATTTTTTTTTTTTTTGTTCGGCTGTTCTTTTAAATGTGATCTGTATGTGACATCAGTCTGGACAGATCAGCTCCTAAACTGACCCCAATGTGAAAAAGAACAATGCATCACATGGCTCATCCAGAGGCTTCATCTTCACCAGCATCACAGGAGCCATCATGAAGCTTCGCTGACTGACAGCTGGGCTCATCACCCAGAATGAGTTTGATATCACCGTAAAAAGGGCGCGGTCACTTCTTTGGTTCGTGTCCTCGGATTCTTTAAACTTCGCTTTCAGACTTTTAACTGTTCTCTGACGCTGCAGCCTCGTTCTCCGGCCGCGTTTGGACATTTATTTCAAAATCTCTTTGAACACAGAGGGTTTTGGATGAGTCTCAGTTTTTAGGTCTCAGTAGCGTGAAATGATGACGAACGTGGAGTTGGATTGACGTGAAAGCCGCATGAATTCCGATCTCGCTGTTCAGACTGAGTCGCGTTGCCGCAGATCAGATTCGTATCGAATTTCAGTACCACATATGAAAGCGTCTCAAATCGGAATTGAAAATGTCATATTCAGTGTCTTTTTGCTGTTCACACTGACACACAGACACACATCTGTGTCACGTGAAGAAAAGATCAGATTTGGGCCACTTTTACCTGCTGTGTAAACGTAGCCTATGTTTGCCTCTACTTTCTGCATGTTTAATGCTACGCCAAGGGGTCTCTTCCACAATTTTCTCTTTTGTTTGTTAATACTGCAAAATGCATCAGGATTGCTACACCTCATCTTCTCTCTTTAATAGACGTAGACTCAGCCGACAAACTTGGCGACACAGAGTAACACAGTCTAGTGGGTAATGTAACTGAAGCTGAAGCTGGGTAAAGTAATGACGTTTGACTTGTGTTGCTGTTTTCCTGATACTTGAACACACATGCTTTGAACATGAGGACACTTTGTTGTGGAGTTGTATTAATAGTTGTTTTTTTGTTTCGTCTTTGTAGTTGATCATCTGAGCTGTCGCTGAGTTTATTGTATGGGTTTCACGCTGCAAATTGAGCCTAGTCTTTAATATATAGTACTGTGTCAGGGCTTCTCCATTCACTGGTTTTTAGCCTACAGTAGGTGTGTCACATTCCATCGCTGAGGAATGAAACTAAACTGGAAAGTTTAGCGCTTTCTTTTATTTCCCTCACCAGTCAACCTATTAACCAATCAGTAAAGCCTTAAAAAGTTGAATCATGTGTTTTAGAGCACTACACTAGGCTTAAGTTGTGCTTGAAATCCTTCATGATGTGTCCATTGTGGGTGAACATGTTGTAATTTGTGATGATTTATTGTTTTTTGTGGCAGAACCCCATGGGCAGTGGCCTGGCACTGGCCATCTCTCAAGCCTCACACTTCCTCCAGCCTCCTCCTCACCAGTCCATCATCATAGAGCGCATGCACTCTGGTCTGTACTCTACTGTTACCTCATGTGCTAAAACACTGTTATCCAGTGTTAATTCTGGTTGCTGTGATCTATTAAAATGCTCCCAAACTCAGAACTTCTATGCATTACGGTCTCTTCTTCTGTAGGTGCACGGCGGTTTGTGACGCTGGACTTTGGGCGGCCCGTGCTGCTGACAGACGCACTGATCCCCACCTGTGCTGACCTGGCCTCACTCTCCATCGACATCTGGACGCTGGGCGAGGAAGTGGATGGCCGTAGGCTGGTGGTAGCAACAGACATCAGCACACACTCCCTCATCCTGCACGACCTGCTGCCCCCTCCTGTCTGCAGGTTCATGAAGGTCAGTGTCCCCCTGGTGGCTGTTTTGAGGGGTGCACATACAAATGTATCTCTGTCTCGGTGTGTTGAGGGACTTGCAGGTCTGTATGGAGTGTAAAGATAAATGATGTTGGAGTCAGCAGCTAATGTAACTTGCTGTCATGAGTTTTTATTAGTTGAGAATCACTCTGCTTGACGTTAAATGCTGTTCAGAACCCAGTCAAAGACTTTTACAGGTACAAGTTTGCCTTCACCTAAATGTAATCAGTCGAGACATTAGCTTCTTTAGTTTTGCACTTCAGTAACGGAAACTTATATCCCACAAATGAGTGTTGTCCAAACCACATGCTTTCCTTAAACAGCTTTGTGTTGTTAAATACACCGATCAGGCATAACATTATGACCACCTCCTTGTTTCTACACTCACTGTCCATTTTATCAGCTCCACTTACTATATAGGTGCACTTTGTAGTTCTACAGTTACAGACTGTAGTCCATCTGTTTCTCTGATACTTTGTTAGCCCCCTTTCACCCTGTTCTTCAGTGGTCAGGACCCCCATGGACCCTCACAGAGCAGGTACTATTTGGGTGGTGGATCATTCTCAGCACTGCAGTAACACTGACGTGGTGGTGGTGTGTTAGTGTGTGTTGCGCTGGTCTGAGTGGATCAGACACAGCAGTGCTGCTGGAGTTTTTAAACACCTCAGTGTCACTGCTGGACTGAGAATAGTCCAGCAACCAAAAATATCCAGCCAACAGCGTCCTGTGGGCAGCGTCCTGTGACCACTGATGAAGGACTAGAGGATGACCAACACAAACTGTGCAGCAGCAGATGAGCTATCGTCTCTGACTTTACATCTACAAGGTGGACTGACAAGGTAGGAGTGTATAATAGAGTGGACAGTGAGTGGACACAGTGTTTAAAAACTCCAGCAGCACTGTTGTGTCTGATCCACTCATATCAGCGCAACACACACTAACACATAACCACCACGTCAGTGTTACTGCAGTGCTGAGAATGATCCACCACCCAAATAGTACCTGCTCTGTGAGGGTCCATGGGGGTCCTGACCACTGAAGAACAGGGTGAAAGGGGGCTAACAAAGTATCAGAGAAACAGATGGACTACAGTCTGTAACTGTAGAACTACAAAGTGCACCTATATAGTAAGTGGAGCTGATAAAATGGACAGTGAGGGTAGAAACAAGGAGGTGGTCAGAATGTTACGCCTCATCGGTGTAACTTCAAATAGACCTGCCCATCGGCTGTTATCTACCAAAAAAGGCAGAATTTAAGATTAAATAGCATGTATGCAAGTATGAGCTAATGTGGGCAGTTTGTACAGTATTAATTAGTGCAGTATATGCTTATCTTGGCTCACTGACTGCATTTCAGATGAGTAATATTGTGTAAATTAGATTTTTCATCAAACTATTCCTCTAAATATAATTTGATCATGCTCACAAGGTTATAAGGAAGTTAGATACAATGTGACAGCTTCTTTGAATATGTGTGTATGTATAGAATCTGTTTGTTGTTGTTGCTTCCTTACCAGCTCTGATGTCTCCTCCAATGCTTTCCTCCACAGATCACTGTGATCGGCCGCTATGGCAGCACCAACGCCCGTGCCAAGATCCCATTGGGCTTCTACTACGGCCACACCTACATCCTGCCGTGGGAGAGTGAGCTGAAGCTGATGCACGACCCATTGAGGGGCGAGAGTGAGGCGGCCAGCCAGCCAGACCTGGATCAGCACCTTACAATGATGGTGGCCCTTCAGGAAGACATTCAGTGCAGGTCAGGCTCTAATTATTATTAATGTTTTGCCTGCCATTTGTTCATAGCTCAGGTCATTAGTGCCCCGACACTTATTGTGTGAAACTGTCAAATGAGAATAGCAAAATAATGAGAGGTATTTTGTTCAATTTTGATACATTTTGTGTTCCTTGTGGTTGTAACTACATATGTACCAACATTGTATGGCACTAGGCTGTAACAACCACTTAAGCTTATACATTTGCTGTACATGTATTTACATGGGATTAGCCTTTTTTGGATGCAAAGCACCTCTTGAACCTGGCTTCACATTTAGCAGGCTGATGACTGTCCACAAGGGGGCGATATTAGTCACACTGCCTAAATACTGCCCTAACCGTATTTCTTTTCCCTGCTCGCTCTCTAATCAGATACAACCTGGCGTGCCACCGACTGGAGACTCTCCTGCAAAACATTGACCTCCCACCTTTGAACAGCGCCAACAACGCACAGTACTTCCTGCGGAAGCCTGATAAGGCGGTAGAGGAGGACTCGCGAGTGTTCTCCGCCTATCAGGACTGCATCCAGCTGCAGCTGCAGCTGAACCTGGCGCACCATGCGGTTCAGAGGCTGCGGGTGTCTCTTGGAGCCGCTCGCGCTCGTTTGCCCGAGGCCTACGAGTCGCAGCAGCTGGTGCACAACTCCTCCACTGAGCAGCTCCGCACCATCATCCGTTACCTGTTAGACACACTGCTCAGCCTGCTACACGCCAACAACGGTCAGTTTCTCACTGCTGCTTCCTGACCTGATCTTGTGCCTTCTTGCACATTATGTTGCTTAGGATTTTTGTGTCCCTCTTACTTCTGCTTTTGCGTATGTTCTGTTTGTTCTCTCTCTGCCTCAGGTCACTGTGTTCCGGCAGTGTTGCGGAGCACGTTCCATGCTCAGGCGTGTGAGGAGCTCTTCAAGCAGCTGTGTATCAGCGGGACACCCAAAATCCGGCTGCATGCTGGCCTGCTGCTGGTGCAGCTGTGTGGGGCGGAGCGCTGGTGGGGCCAGTTCCTCTCAAATGTTCTGCAGGAGCTCTACAACTCTGAGCAACTGCTCATCTTCCCCCAGGACAGGTACCACTAACGTCATTCTAGATACATCATGATTAGCTCTTTAATTTTACAGTAATCGCTGCCATGGTTGATATTGTTAATAGAAACTAATACTATGGCAGAAAAGTAGCAGTGCTTGGTTTTTCTTTTAAAAATAAAATTGTCACTTTTTTAAAAACTTGAGCTACTGCAACAAGAATTATAACAAAATAGTATTATGGTATTTTCAGGGGGGAAAAAACTAAAGCTATGAATTCCTTCTTAAAAGGAAATATTGCTGATTTTTCAAAATTTCTGCATAATTAAAAGTGGTTTGATATGAAATACTCCATTCTAGGGAAACTTGGAGTCAGAATTGCTCACAGTGGTGATGATAGGAACCAGACGTCTGACGCGTTTAATTCCTGTAACAACTCCCTCACAAATTCATTACTTAAAATGGATACGAATACATTGCCTGATATGAGACAATGTTTTACAACAGTTTTGAGATAAAACTTTGGCCTAATGTGAATTTTTTTTAACCCGTGCAGGTGGAAGGGAAATTTGCTGGGCAAAGTGGTTCCCAAAGAACTATATTTTTCTGATTTAATACTGTTTTGCCATTATCAGGCGTCTTGTATAGTAGATAAAATGTCCATATTTGTGTAATCCATGCTTCCTGTCACCACCATTGTAAAGAAATCTGTCTGAAGTCTGTATGTTTCTCTGTAGTGAACCATTTGCATCAGAACACTGACTTTTTTACATCTCAGTGATTGAACTATGAAGTCATTTAGAAAAATCAGTGGAATTCCCTTTTAAAGTTAACAGAGTACAAAACTGCATTAACCCTATTTGTCTTTGGAACTTGAGGTTAAAAATAAAAACTGAACTCTCTTTTCTTTTAAACTGCTGTTTAATTGTCCCAGTTAATGCCTTCCTTTGTCTCTCTCCTCCTACAGGGTGTTCATGCTGCTGTCCTGTATAGGCCAAAGATCTCTAAGTAACAGTGGAGTCCTAGAGGGACTACTGAACCTGCTGGACTCGCTGCTGTCTCCTCTGCAACAGCCCTCAGCTTCACAGCACCGCAGGGCTGAAGGTAGGGACTGTTTATGTCTCTCCATATTAATTCTAGGGTCGATGTGGTTGATTTTCATCAACACCGTCATAATCGCCTAAAGCATGTCAAAACTTTTGCTTTACTAAAGCAGCAGTGTGTGTTAGTCAGACTAAGAGGTGTGTGTGTGTATGGCAGGGGTGTTGGACATTCCCATGATCAGCTGGGTGGTCATGCTGGTGTCACGGTTGTTGGACTATGTGGCCAGTGTGGAGGACGAAGCCACATCAGCTAAGAAGAACCTGGGGGGCAAAGACAGAGAAAGAACTTTTACAGGTGAGACTTTGAGCACGTTAAATTGACTCCAGGGTCAGTAGTAACCTTTTCCGTGACCTCTGTATGCCTGCATGAATATTACTGTGATGTTGTGGGTACCAGCCCTGTGACCGGAAGGTCTGTGGTTCGATCTCCCTGAGCAGACAGGACGTGACTGAAGTGTCCTTGAGCAAGACACCTAACCCCCAACTGCTCCCTGGGTGCTGCGGATGGGGCTGCCCACCGCTCCGGGCAAGTGGGCTCACTGCCCCCTAGTGTGTGTGTTCACCAGTGTGAAATTTCGCCGTTGTGGGAGTAATAAGGGTCACTTAATGTAATTTCAGTGTTCTCTTAACTGCTTGAACCCATTTGAATTTCATTTTGAACTTGTCTGAGTTGTACAGCTTTACAGAACTCAAGGCGATATGCAGTGTCATAAGTTGTCGTTTCAGCAAGAAGATAATTTCCTTATTTATAAACTGAGTCTGTGTTTATTACAGGGAACCAGTGGAGTTTCATCAACAATAGTCTTCAGTCGCAGAACCCGAGCAGATCAACCAAAGGCAACAGCAGTTTAGATCGCCTGTACTCGCGCAAGATCCGCAAGCAGCTGGTGCATCACAAACAGGTACACGTGGCCTAAACAGCCTAATGCTAACCATACACTAGAAGACTAAAGTCTGACAGCCTCTCACATCTAAAGTGTCAGAGTTTTTAGTCACAGACTGTGATTTTGCAAAGACTGGGGGTTCTTGCAGGGTCACTATTTGCAAGCCTGCAACTAGTTTTGAGTTTATTTCCCATCATGCACTTGGTGGAAATTTACAAGCAGATAAACCCTTTCCTTCCACTCTGTAGTGGTACAGATGGGAAAATACGTTGGCTGGACATGTAAAGATATTGGGCTCAGCCCAGTTCACTGTAGAACTGTATATTCTGGCAGATCATCACCCAGAATTGTATTAATTAACCTGTAAAATGTGCAGCTACTTTTTTATTTAACATAAAGAATTACACATCAACAAAACATGCAGCGATTCAGCATTGTTGATTAGGTGTTGTGAACCAAACCATAAGAAATTAAATAAGAAACCAGTGTAACAGGAAGCGAAAAAAACCCATTGATGATTATTTAGTAATGCCGTTCTTAAAGTCTTCTGCACATTTCCTCACATCACTGGCTGTGTTTACATGCAGAGATTTTTGCCAATCTGATTGAGTACAATCCGATTACAGATTCAGACTGAAGTGTTTATATGCACTCTTTTCAACAATTTGATGGAAAATCTTCGTTTACATGCTCACTACAAGTAATCCGATGCAAAATGACGCGCATGCGTGGAGTAGCGCTTAGAGTAAACGTTACCATGACAGCGAACATCACGTGAGGTCCAGTCTGCGTGAGATGAGTTTCCAGTTGGCGCACTCGTGTTTTAATTGCTTTAAAATACCAATCGGTCATTGCTTGAATGCCACAGAGTATTGATGCTGACCATGTGCATCTCTTTATGGCCACAATTTACCTTCTTCTAATGGCTACTTCCAGCATGATAATGCACCATGTAACACAGCAAAAGTTGCCTTAAACTGGTTTCATGAACATGGCAATGAGGTTTTTCAGTGGCCTTCCCAGTCACTGGGTCTGAATCCAGTAGGACACCTATGGGATGTGGTGGAATGGGAGATGTACAGCATTAAAAGTGCTCTCCATAATGCAATCATGTCAACAATCTCACAGGAACGTTTCTGACATCTTGTGGAATCCATGCTATGAAGAATTGAGTTTGGAGAGGAAAGAGAGGACCTACCCAGTATTAGTGTGATGTTCCTAATAAAGTGCTCTGTGTTTGTGTGTTAATTGCTTTAAAATGAGGTCAGACTCAGGAAAACGTGCTTCACATGTCCTTATTAAAGAAGGCCGAGAGGAAGACGTCGTGTTCTGAGACACATAAGCTGGTCGTCCGTCCCACCGCCGTCTTTTAAAGCTCAGAGCATAAACTTCGTCTCCTCTGCAGACCAGTTTCTGCTCCGCCATGTTGAACGGTATAAACTTTCGCCATGACGCGACGAACATGCGCAGAACATACTTACACGTTCCGATTGGAATGTAAACGGATTCAGGCGTTTACATGGTTATTATTCTTCTATTTAACGGATTATTTACAGGATTACCCACCTCGATCAGTCGGATAGAAATTGTATTCCGAATGGCCTCAATCGGACTAGTCTATTCTGATTGAGGTGTTTACATGGACGTATTCTATTCCGATTGAGCTATTAGTCGGATTATTAACGGATTATCAGGCTGCATGTAAACGTGGCTACTGTTAGTGACGGTGAACCTGAAATATTAAAACAGCCAGTTTACATTATATTACATTACATTGTATGATTGCTGCTTGAAACGGGGGCAGATTTGCCTTTTTTTTTAATTAATTTTTTTTTTTAAACAGATTTCAGGATCTCACGCGTGCATTTTCTCCCTTGCGCTCGCTCTCTCTCTCTCGCGCGCCCCTGTCACGTCACTAATTGCGCGAGCCAAGACTTAAAACTTACGGTAATATTAAACACGGTTGATTTTGCCGTAGCGTCAAGATGAGAAAAAGACTGCGATGCAACTCTAGCAAGACTCTCATGATTTCATTCTGACACAACTAGAGAGAATGTGGTGTTGTAGCTGGGACAGGTTTATATGTTGTTGGAGTTCAAGTCCATTAGGTTATCAGATTATGGTGCAAACTGTAGAATTTGTTATTTGGTTAGATTGAAGTTGTTGGTAGTGCATGGAATTCCAAGCAGAAAGCTTCTATGTTGATTGTTCACTTTTCACTGCAGCAGCTGAATTTGCTGAAAGCCAAACAGAAAGCCTTGGTGGAGCAGATCGAGAAAGAGAAGATCCAGAGCAACAAAGGCTCCTCGTACAAGCTACTGGTTGAACAGGCCAAACTCAAACAAGCCACATCTAAGGTAAGCCTCCAGCAGCTTTGTTTCATTTATTGATTAGAGGATTCATTTCTTTTGTAGCAGCAGCTTCAGGGAATGGTCTCATCAGCCATCAGAATGGGGGAAAATTGTGATCTCAGTAATTTTGACTGTGGCATGGTTGTTGGTGCCAGACGAGCCGGGTTGAGTCTGTAATCGCTGAGATTTTTACACACAGCAGTCTTTAGTTCTAAAGAAGAAACATCCATTAAGCAACAGTTCTGCAGATGGAAGTACCTTGTTGAAGAGAGAGGTCAGCAGAGAGCCAGACTGGTTCGAGCTGACTATGGCAACTTGGATAACCACTCTGTACAACTGTGGTGAGCAGAAAAGCATCTCAGAATGCACATCATGTCGAACCTTGAGGCGGATGGGCTACAACAGCAGAGGGCCACATCCGGTTCCATTCCTGTCAGCCTAGAACAGAAAGCTGAGGCTGCGGTGGGCACAGGCTCACCAAAACAGGACAGTTGAGCATGTTAATGAAAAACATGTTCATGAAAAATGTAGCCTGGACTGATGAATCTCGGTTTCTGAGGCACACAAATAGTAGGCTCAGAATTTGGTGCCATCACCGTGAATCCGTGGACCTAACCTGCCTTGTGTGCACAGTCCAGGCTGGTGGAGGTGGTGTGATGCATGGGGAGCGTTTTCTCGTTAATACCAATCGGTCATTGCTTGAATGCCACAGAGTATTGATGCTGACCATGTGCATCTCTTTATGGCCACAATTTACCGTCTTCTAATGGCTACTTCCAGCATGATAATGCACCATGTAACACAGCAAAAGTTGCCTTAAACTGGTTTCATGAACATGGCAATGAGGTTTTTCAGTGGCCTTCCCAGTCACTGGGTCTGAATCCAGTAGGACACCTATGGGATGTGGTGGAATGGGAGATGTACAGCATTAAAAAGTGCTCTCCATAATGCAATCATGTCAACAATCTCACAGGAACGTTTCTGACACCTTGTGGAATCCATGCTATGAAGAATTGAGTTTGGAGAGGAAAGAGAGGACCTACCCAGTATTAGCGTGATGTTCCTAATAAAGTGCTCTGTGTTTGTGTGTGTGTGTGTGTGTGTGTGTGTGTGTGTGTTTGTGTGTGTGTATAAAACTATACCCAACCAGTGCTACTTCAGGACTAGCTTGTGTGTCCTGGTATAGAAAATGAGATTAACCCCATTGGTTGAATTTCACCTTCCTTGCAGCACTTTAAGGATCTGATCCGGCTGCGACGGACAGCCGAGTGGCCTCGCTCCTCCCTGGACTCGGAGGCGTCTGTAGCGAAGGAGACACCTGAGGTGGAGCTGCTGCCGTTCACGCTAGCTCACGAGCGCTGCATCTGTGTGGTCCAGAAACTTGCCCTCTTTCTCCTCTCCATGGACTTCACCTGCCATGCTGACCTGCTCCTGTTTGTCTGCAAGGTACACGTCTGCTGCACCATACAGGGACAGTTTAGTCAAAAAATACTAATATGGCTGCTAATGGAAAGTAATGTTCTAAGCAATTTTATAGCAATTTTACAGCTTCACACTCACAGATATACATACCCAGATGCCACATTGTCTGTTGTTCTCCATCTGAGGCGATACGTCTGCGCGTCCGCCATGTTGGAGCGGTCAAAATCCTCTTGTGAACAAATTCGCTTGTACTGAGAGGAGATGAGTCTCAGGATTAAGTTGGCTCTCGGTAGCTTTTATTTCTTTAATAATTGATGGTGCTAGTTATCCGTCCAGACCAGCGGGAAAGTGTTCAGTCTGCACCTGACGTGAGTTTAGCTCTCCGGTAGAAACACAATCTCACACACATCAGCTAATCTATCAATGTGTGAATCACTTCTAATCTTTCTACACAGAAGGACGAAGCTAAAGTCGGCTTCCTGTTCGCCAGCTTCTTGTTCGAGTCTTCCCGTTCCACCTTAAACGGTGCAGCAGTCACTTTCTGGTGCCTGAAGCAGCACCATTTAAACTGGAATGGGAAAATTTGAAGAAGAAGCTGGCAAATAAGAACCTAACTTCAGGTTTGTGTAATAATGGTGCTAATCTATTATGAATATCTACATGGATTAAGGAGTGTCAGGACTATTAAATGAAATAAGCTTAAAATAAAACCAGAGGAAAAACAATCACATCAACAGGTTCTCTGTGCCTCACCAACCACACGGCCATATCTACACATAAACATCACACAAACATGAGTGTGGATCGCTGCGTTCCCTCCATTATATAATCCTGTCCTGCTTTCTGAGAGCAATATTGTTGAAATAGTGTAATTTTGGACAGTATCTTTCTTAAACTGCCGCTCTGTAATGGTACTGAATGCAGTCCAGCAGCGATGTTGACCGCCCCAAAATGGCGGCGCCGTTGACGTGCCTGTCTGGACCCAACAGGCCATCTGGGAATGTATATCTATGTTTACACTAAAATATGATTAACTAGCATTTAAATAAGAATGACGTTAGTCCCACTAAAAAGGATGCTGTATTGTTATTGTATCATTAATGTAACATATAAGGGGAAAAAACCTTGGAAAACCCTTAGCTGTTGACAAAAGCCCTGTGAGACGTGTCCCTACCAAGCTAACTGGATAGCTCTGTGTGGTGCTAAAACTTGTATGAATTGAGCACAGCCTCGAGAGTCAGGTATCTGTCTCAGTCAGCCAGCACCTTGCACCTAGAAGCAGGGCCCAGAAAGAAGGTGCTGTTGAATGAGCTCTACCAGTAACGTTAATTCTTATCTTTCCATCAGGTGTTGGCAAGGATAGCGAACGCTACCCGCCCTACGATCCACCTGTGCGAGGTGGTGTCCGAGCAGCAGCTGGAGAGGCTTCTGCTACTGCTGGTGGGGACGGACTTCAACCGTGGCGACATCAGCTGGGGAGGGGCTTGGGCCCAGTACTCTCTCACCTGCATGCTCCAAGACATCCTCGCAGGTACTGTAATGTGTGTTAGTGTGTAAGAGAGGCATTAACTCTAATTTCATTATATCCTCTTGATAAAATACTGTGTTTATTGTTGACTTGCTCTGTAAGATTCTGGCACCAGGCTGGTGTGTTAGGTCACCAGGGTCAGGGCCGGGCATCCTTCTTGTACTCTCCATCTCCTTTTTGTGGCGATGCAGGTGGTTGTTCGATTGTGAAACCTTTTTTTCATGGATTTAAAGCGAAGTGTTAGCAGTATTAAATTGCATTATGTATTATACACCCATCAGGCATAACATGATGACCTTTGTTTCTACACTCATTGTCCATTTTATCAGCTCCACTTACTATATAGGTGCACTTTGTAGTTCTACAGTTACAGACTGTAGTCCATCTGTTTCTCTCTGTGTCCACTCACTGTCCACTCTATTAGACACTCCTACCTTGTCAGTCCACCTTGTAGATGTAAAGTCAGAGACGATAGCTCATCTCTGCTGCACAGTTTGTGTTGGTCATCCTCTAGTCCTTCATCAGTGGTCACAGGACGCTGTTGGCTGGACATTTTTGGTTGGTGGACTATTCTCAGTCCAGCAGTGACACTAAGGTGTTTAAAACCAGCACAACACACACTAACACCACCACCACGTCAGTGTTGCTGCAGTGCTGAGAATGATCCACCACCCAAATAGTACCTGCTCGGTGAGGGTCCATGGGGGTCCTGGCCACTGAAGAACAGGGTAAAAGGGGGCTAACAAAGTATGCAGAGAAACAGATGGACTACAGTCTGTAACTGTAGAACTACAAAGTGCACCTATATAGTAAGTGGAGCTGATAAAATGGACAATGAGCGTAGAAACAAGGAGGTGGTCATAATGTTTCTGCCTGATCTGTGTATATTATTGTATCTTTATTTAGGTTTGTTCCCATTAGTGGACATGTTTTGTTGTGTGTGTGTTTTATGAAAGTAAATTAACATGTTCAAACGACTGTATATTACTAAGCTGTTTGGTAGCTCCTTAATTTTTTTGGTCTGTTTTATTTGAATTCCTTCCTGCTTGTAAATCCAGGTTTAGTAACTATGGCTGAAAATTTGCCAGTTGACTTGTTTACCTTTGGGTTGACGAATACTTCTCTCTTGTTGCTGTTAGGGGAGCTGTTGTCTCCAGTATGTTTGGACGGGATGGAGGAGGGTGCGGTCGGCGACGAGGCCGGGGCTTCCTCCTCCTCGGCCGGGGTGGACTCTGACGATTCCCTGCCCCAGCCCACGCCCCTGAACCTGGTTGAGACCATCGATGAGCCCCTGGGCCCTGATCTCATCGCAGGTACTCCCGGGACCTCCTCCGCTTTCCAAAGTGCGTTGGTAACCCCGCCTGAAACCACCCATTTCTCTGCCTCACACATACACACACACACAAAAGGAACTTTTTACAGGATATTTCTTTTATGTTCTACTTATGCAACTTGTTTTTTTTTTCTCCCCTCTCTTATAGAGCTGCATGTACTTTTTTGAGTGGCATTGTTTATGTTGATTGGTTGTTTGCCTTAGTGAGCCTTAGCCTTTTTGAATAGGATGAATGTACCAAGATACAGTGGGAGAGGGATTGGAACAGTGCAGATGACTTACCCTTTAGAATTGTGTTGCTCTTACATAATTTGAATATTTTATGTGAACGTGCTCGTAAACAGTCCACTGTTTGGATCCCCCCTCCCTCTGGAAGTATGTTGTGGCCTTAAAATTGCCCAGTAACTTGCTAAAGAAGCCTGTTGTGTTGTTGCTTTTCTTAGTGTGCTTGCTTGGCAATATTAAAGCTCTTTTCGTTGCCCAAAGGTGCTCCACCACTATCATCTTTGGAAAAAGATAAAGACATAGACTTTGACTTGCTACAGGACCTGATGGATGTTGATATTGATCCTTTAGATATTGATTTGGAAAAAGATCCACTCGCCGCCAAAGTTTTTAAGGTATGGTGTGCATGACTACTCGCTCTTCCTCTCTCACTGCCTTGCCTTTTGTCTTGTCTCTCTGCCTTTTCTGTTTTTTAACTCCTCCCTCTGTTTGTTTCTTCTTTTTTCCCCCCCAGTCATCCCCCCAGTCACCCCCCCCCTGTCTTTTTTATTGAAAATATCCACTGAACAGTCCTATCCCCAGCCTTCCTCAGCTGCCAGTAGATTCTGAGTAATATACTTGAGTCATGCTTTAGCAGCTTTGATCAGCCAGTGTGAGAGGCGGTCAGACTGAGTTTTGAATTCTAGCTGTTTGAGGGATCCCCTCTGTGTGACTAACACGGTGTCTGTCTCTGCCCTTATTTAAACTATTTTATTTGGCTTTTCTGAGATAAACTTCTGAAAAGTTTTTTTTTGTTTGTTTGTTTCTTTGGGTGTTGTCTGTTTTGTCTTCTTCCCTCTTGCAGCCTATCAGCAATACCTGGTATGATTACTGGGGTGCTGACTACGGCACGTACAGTTACAACCCCTACATAGGGGGAGCAGGCATACCTGTGTCCAAACCTCCAGCTGCAGCAGAGAAGCCTGGTTCTCAAAACCTGTCAGTTTCAGTCTCCCAAGGTATGAAACGAGAGAGAGATACGTTCAGCCTTTCATAACCGAGTTTACTGATGAAAATGTGGTTAATTCTGTGGGAAGACGAGGAGGGGTAGCTTTTGGTTTCCTACTTAAAGGGGAACTCCATCGATTTCGCAAAATGATTTAATCATTTAGTGGTTTAGATGTAAACAAAATCATTCAGAGTGATTTGGTGTGAAATGAAAAGTCAAAGGTGTTCACCATTGTAGCACTGGGAACCAGACGTCTGTATGTCTACACTACAAATATCACCATTTTCTCTGCCATTCAAAATGACTAGTGAACTTAAGTGTGTCCTGTAAGTTTTTATATGTCACGCTGATGATGGTAAAATACTGAGAAATTGAAAAAATCAGTTTTTTTGGGTACTTTTTTTTTCTTACAACGCCCTGTGTGCCTTTTGGAGAACGATCTGACTGCAGAGCCACAGATTTACGTTTCACTACAGTAGAAGCTGGAATGTAGGTATGAAACGTTTGTGAGTAAGTTAGCCACCGTGCAGATATCACTGTTAGCCGTTAGCTTAGAACAGACTGTCTAACGTGGCCACGCAAAAAAAAACAAAACCAAAATCTCGCTATCCTACCTCATAAACTAGTAAGCGGAGTAGCAAGTAGTTTGTTGTTGAGACCAGTACTTTCCATTCGCCCTGGGATGCTCTGCGCCGGCAGGTTCACTCTCTCTCCCTTTTGGCTCTCTCTTCTTTAATCCGCTGTGTTTTCTGGTTCAAATTGATATGGATCTGCAACATTTTGAAAAAACAGACTTCCTCGAAGTCCTCCACATACTCTGCCATCTTCCAAAATAGGTAAGAAAACAATAAAAATAAACTGTAAACAAAAGCTGCTGTCGGCGTTAGCCGTGCTGAACAGCTGTAGCTACAGGCGAGTAACAACAGAAGCGCTTTACATTGATCTCAGTTGAGATGTGGTTTTAAAAGAAACACAGAACTAATCCTGGAGTAAAACTTTATACTAAAAATACATTTTAGGCCAAAACTTTACAACAAAACAGCCACAAATGGCTTTTAGAGCCATTAAACGCGTCGGACGTCTGGTTCCTGTTACTATAATGGGGAACAATTTTGACTCAGTAAATTTCTCTGGAAAAGCGCATTTCGCACCGAACCACTCTGAGTGATTTTGTTCACATGTAAACCTTTGAATGATTAAGTAAGTTTGCAAAGTTGGTGGACTTCCCCTTTAATCATAGATTTTCACAGCTTCTGATTGGATTTTTCTTTGTGGAGCTATCAGAGTCTTTTTAAGAGAGAAATGAAGTTATCCTTTCTGCTCAGCTCTGGATGCTCGTCTAGAGGTGGGGTTGGAGCAGCAGGCCGAGCTCATGCTGAAGATGATGGCCACACTGGAGGCTGATGCGATTCTACAGGCCCTTACTTCCAATTTACCTGCAGGTATGTCCACTCAAACACAAACACACACGCATTTCGCTGGGGTGGTGGTGGGGGAGGCGGTCTGTATTGCAGAAATATGATATTTGAAAATGTTTTACTGATATGTATTGCAGTATTTTGTTTTCCTGGACAGACACAGTGCAGCAGTAAAAGAGCACACCTTAAAGAATAAACAGTAAAATTATTTTTTTTATTATAATTAAGTATTATTTTACTGCATTTTAAGGATGTAAGTACTGTTGACAGTCAGCGTTTAATCACAAACCCACATGGCTAAAATCATGAACGCCACCCATCAAAATATCAGGTAGTTCTGGTTCTGAAATCTGATTGGCTGAGGTGCATTCTAATCCACTGTAAAATATTTTAGCACACACTTAAGCGTCACACTTATAAACAGTTCTGTTGTGGTGCCCTGTGATATTAGGTGTTCCAAGTAAGGACTGAGAAGTGTAGTACTGATATACAGGCCATGCATAAGCGTGCACATGAAGTAACGGCCTGAAACAGTATTAAACAAATCCTACAAAAGATCCTGGTTTTGTTTAAACCGAAGGGCAGACGACAATAATATGTTTGATTTTATGACCAAAAAGTAAATGACTTTAACTACAGGGTGTCCCAAATTGACATGATTTGAGATGTGAGTATCTGAGTAGCTACATGTCCTCGCGAACGAAATTAAATAGGCTTTGTGTTGAACAAGATTTATTTATCAAAATTTGAACAAGAAATTCAGAGGGGATGTAGATTTTATAACTGATTTCACAGCTTCAACAAATGTAATATCTTCCGATACTGGTGGTCCTCCAGACCCCTTTGCACTGCACAGACAGCCTTCCTCTTTGAGTTTTTTGTGCCGTGTCCAAATCTGCTTTCCAGTTGGTGCATTTTTATTGAATTTTCTCTAAAATGCTGCTGCACACTCTCGTTTGACTGTGTTCGAGCATGTTCTAACACACAAATGCCTTTTCATTTCTAGTGAACGCCATTCTTCAAAAAATCGGTTAGTTTCTACACATTTTGAGATCATTTGAGGGAGTATTGGCTGTTATTAGACTATGCAATAATGTGAATTTTTTTGGGACACCCTGTAAATGACTGAATGAAGCTGAGTAAATGCCATTACTGGGTCTAGAACCCTATTTTTAGCTTCTCACATCATTTTCATTAGGACTATCTAGCGGAACGAACTTATAAACATTCCTCAACTGTAGGTTAACCCACCTTTTCAAAATGTTTTTTGGAAATTGTTGTAAAAAACGAAATCGGTGTTAGAAGTGATCAGGATATAATTGGTCAAATAATCGTTCATTTGTAGGTTAATCGGTTTATCATTTACATCCATGCTGCGTTTACATCAGAACAGAAATTTACCATTTGCTGGATCAGTGTTCTGTATGCACTGACAGTATGCTTATAGAAGCTTATTGTGAAGTTTATTTATCATGAAAAGTGTTGTCTTATTGTCTTAACACCCATCCCAGCACTCTTCTAACTACAGTCTCATTCAAACAAAACTGAGCATTGCCCTCCTCAGTGTGACAGAAGGCATTGTCGCCCTCCTCAAAGGCAGTTTGGAATGTTTTTTACAAAAAGCGAAGTTCACTTGGAAAGTTATGTTCTTTCCCCTCATTTCTCACCCTCTCACGCTTCTTTGGCTCCTTTCAGTTCCTCAGGCCACTAACGGAACGGATGACTCTCTCCTGCGGGGCCTCCACAGCTCTCCCCCTGGCAGCGCTCTGATGGTCCAGCCCTCTTCCATCCCCATGCTGAGTGCCTGCTTCAACAAGCTCTTCTCCATGCTGCAGGTGCACCATGTGCAGGTACGCATGCCTGAAAGCATACAGCTCTGCTTTCATCAACTGAAATCAAACAGCAGTGACGTCACAGCTCCTCTCTACATTTACCTTCTCTACATTTACCTGCTCGTAAATGATTAAAACGCACTTGACACGTAGTAGATTGATCGTTGTGTTTAACGATCCTCCTCATACATTTGCTTTTGGTTTTTATCCTTAGTGTAGAGCTGGGCGATATGGCCAAAAATCTTATCACGATAAAAACTCATATCAGTCGATATCGATACATATCGCGATAAATGTCAAATCATTATTTCTTTCGAGTTTGAAGGCTGATTTTTGGTTAATTGCTGTTTTAAACTATCCTTATGGTCAGAACACGACAAACACTCACCAAACAGTAGAACATTTCACAAATCTGTCTTGGGAGAGTGGGAGAGAGTGTCTGGTCAGCTGTGTTTACCAGCTGGAAAAGCACGGCTATTTTAGCTGTCTGGTGACGAGCGCTGAACTGTTTAGTTTCTCAACAACGTCAGCTTAATACGAACAGCAAACATTCTCTGGCTCGGTAGGTCAGTGATGATCACACCGCCTTACTGCCATCACTCCTACCACATCCATGTCAGAGCTTATCACAGTATTCAGACACCAGCTAGCAGACGACTGGACTTCTCTATGCTATCGTAGCAGTTTGAGGGGTGAACGGCAATAAAATCTGACGCTCTCTGTGTAAAAGCTTTAACTGCAGTGTGAATCTCTCACACCAGACAAACAGAGTCCTCCTTTTAGGTATGTTTGAACTGAAATCAGTGCTTTTTTGTTGTGTTTGATCTACAGTAACATCAATACTCTGTGCTGTGTGAGTGACAGAGTGCTACTTCAAGTTCCCCAGCTGCTAAAAACAGCTAGCCTAGGAAGATAGCGTTCTCTCACTCTCCACTGCCTCACAGCTTCCTCAGTTTACTTTCGTTTAAATCAGGGCTGTAACGAATATGAACTCACTTCTTTCTCTCTCTGTTGCTGCTTGTGAATGCACTAATACTAAAATATGACTGAGCGCTGTAACAGTGCTGTAGTTGAGAGGAGCAGACGTGATTTAACACCGCTAAAGCTGGTTAGGATGTACGGAAAGAGGTGAGTTCACTGTAGGACAGTACAGTTACACCACTTATCGTCACTCACACTCGGTCACAGGAGAACAGGTCGCCAGTCGGGATCAGGGAATATATAACTACATTTCAGACGTTGCTAAAGAATATTTGGCGACTCATTTCACTCCTTGACCAACCCTGTCGCTAGAACGTGGAAGTGTGAGCATGGTGTATTATATCGAAAATTTAGCGAACATCTCTTATAGTTCTGTTGAGGACGGTTATATCGCAATAATTATCGTTATCGTTTTATCGCCCAGCCCTACCTTAGTGATTTACCCAAATGCAATGACAGCCCTATAAATCACTGTACACTTAGTTCTTCGCAGTATTCACTGCAGAATATGTACAGCTGTTTCACTTGCTTGCTTCCACTTCCAGTTTGTGGCACATAAATACTACGTATGTATAGCTTGGTATATTGTAGCTTTCCACTATTTACATGTAAAATACTGCTTCCCTCTTTTTACGTGTAGCTTGAGTCTCTGCTGCAGCTGTGGCTGACTCTCAGTCTGAACTCCTCTTCCGGCGGCTCTGAGGAGAGCGGCTCCGACATCTTTCTCTTCAATGCCAGCAGAGTGCCCACAATCCCTCTCAACCAAGGTCAGCAGTCACCTCACTGATCTGCCGAATGTTGTTGAATGTTGTGCTGGAATGTGCGGTAATTGGTTCTGTTTGTGTGCTGCTACATTACACATTGTGAAGATATTGTCTCTGCAACTAGCATCTGTTTAGATGTTTGTTTCATAAACATCTCAGTCATCGTATTAATGTTACGATTGTATTAATCATTGATTAATTGTTGCCTGCTGTGCTTGTTGTTATACTGCAGTATAGTTTCCTATATGCTTCACTTTAGCGGAACAAAGACGATTATTTTGCAGGCCTACTCACCACCTGAACTTTTTTGTTTGTGTGCACACTTCAGCCTCCATCAGTAGTTTTCTGTCCGTGCTGGCCTGGTATCCCAACACCTCTCTGCGTACATGGTGCCTGGTACTACACAGCCTCACTCTCATGACCAACATGCCTGCTAGTGGTGAGTATCTATGGAGATCCCCAGCTTGGTCAGCAGCCTTGCCTTAGGCCAGGTGTCGGCAGCCCTAATGTTAAGAAGAGCCATTTTGTCCTTTCAACAAAAATCAAACCACCTTGGAAGCAACATTTTATGTCTATTTTACCATCTTGGCTGTAAATATGTCTCAGTATGTGCTGATGTCCTAGTATAGGCTAAAAAGTGTAATATAAATGGAAACACAGACTTACTTTCCTCTGCTTTAAGCTTTAGCTCAGCTATAGATGCGTTTCTCACATCTCCAGCAGGAAGCTTTTCCTCAAAAGTAGAAAGTTTCTTGTAAAATGTCTCTTTTTACGAGGCTGAAGTCGCTTCTCATTCGCCAGCCTCTTGCTTATCTTAATCTTTCTTTGAAAATGTTTGCTAAACAATGTCTGAGGCAGTAACCATTTCATCTAATAACTTAGTGAGGCAGTTTTTAGAGGCTTTAGGCATCTGCTTCCTATCACCACTGCTGTAAACAGTTCTGACTCTTAAGTTTGTCTAGAATGGCACGTTTTACATCACACCACTCTGAAACACCTCAAAACTCAGTGCTGTGTGTGTCTGAAGTAACGAAAGCTGGAGTTTCAGACAGTGGATTGACATGCGTGACTCTCATGAATATGAAATGGAAAGAAAAACTAATAGATTGTGCTCATCAGTTTCATGGCCATTATAAATATTCATTGATAAATCTGTACGCAGTCCCGAGCTGTTAAGTTACTCTTTAAACTTTAGCTAAAGAAAATGCTTCATTATCCTAAGAGACTAATTGTGTGCATGATTGTTTCCCAGCCTCCAACAGTGGGATGGGTGTGCACGAGAGTACAGCTCAGCAGATGGTGTCTGACCCCACACTCGTGCACGTCCTGGTGCGATTCCTGTCCGGTAGCAGCCCTCACGGAACCAGTCAGCACAGCTCGCAGGTATGGGGCCGTGCTTAACGCTGAATGTCAGAAAACATATTTTCTTTGGAGGCTTTGATAGATATTTTTTTATTTTCTCACCACCCTTGCAGGTCGGTCCAACTGCAACACAAGCTATGCAAGAATTCCTTACCAGACTGCAGGTGCACCTGTCCTCCACATGTCCTCAGATGTTCAGCGAGTTTCTGCTCAAACTTGTCCATATCCTCTCCACGGAGCGGTACGTAATCTCCTTTTTTTGTATTTACACAAAAAATCTTTCCTGTCGGTAATTTATGGAAATACACACCGATCAGGCATAACATTATGACCACCTCCTTGTTTCTACGCTCATTGTCCATTTTATCAGCTCCACTTACTATATAGGTGCACTTTGTAGTTCTACAGTTACAGACTGTAGTCCATCTGTTTCTCTGCATACTTTGTCATGTCAGTGTTATTGCAGTGCTGAGAATGATCCACCACCCAAATAGTACCTGCTCTGTGAGGGTCCATGGTGGTCCTGACCACTGAAGAACAGGGTAAAAGGGGGCTAACAAAGTATCAGAGAAACAGATGGACTACAGTCTGTAACTGTAGAACTACAAAGTGCACCTATATAGTAAGTGGAGCTGATAAAATGGACAATGAGTGTAGAAACAAGGACATAATGGTCATAATGTTACGCCTGATCAGTGTATGTTTAATTTTAATCGCATTAGACTAGTAGTTGGTAAAAGATGTCTTGAGAGGGTTCTCTCTAACTTGTCCCTTCCCACTTTTCTGCAGAGGGCCCTTCCACTCTGGCCAGGGCCCATTAGATGCTCAGGTGAAGCTTCTTGAGTTCACTTTGGAGCAGAACTTTGAGGTGGTCTCGGTGACGACGATCACAGCGGTCATAGAGTCCATTACCTTCCTGGTGCACCACTACATTACATGCTCGGATAAGGTGGTGTCGCGGAGCGGCTCAGACAGTTCTGTGGGCGCTCGCGCCTGCTTTGGAGGCCTCTTCGCTAACATCATCCGGCCTGGTGACGCAAAAGCCGTGTGCGGTGAGACCACCAGAGACCAGCTAATGTTTGACCTCCTGAAGCTGGTCAACGCCCTTGTCATGCTGCCACTCTCGGGCGACCGGGAGTACAGCGGGCGGCTGCCACCGGTCGGCACTGGTGCCTCCGACAGTGTGTCTGACGAGGAGAAAGTGTGTGGTAGCAAAGAAGGGGGAGCTTCAGGAACAGCACCACATCAGGGCCCAGCGATGGGTGTGGCGGACCTAGTGCTGGCCAATCAACAGATCATGAGTCAGATCCTTTCCGCTCTGGGGCAGTGCAATAGCAGCGCCATGGCCATGATTATTGGTACGTATGTACACTATCCACACAAACAATATGATTAACCTAATGACAGTTATGAGATTAATTGATTAAGATAATTTACTCAGTGAGAAGGTTCTTCTGTAATTATTTGTTTTACATGCCTATTTTGCAGGTTTAATTAAATTGCTCTCATGTTCTTTCTGGTTATCAGGTGCTAGTGGGCTTCATCTGACCAAGCATGAGAACTTCCATGGTGGTTTGGACGCCATCTCTGTCGGCGACGGCCTCTTCACTATCCTGACCACGCTGAGTAAGAGAGCCACCTCCGTGCAGGTGATGCTGCAGCCCATCCTCACCTACATGGCCTGTGGCTACATGGGCCGTCAGGTAAGATACAGCACATGCCTCATTCTTCAGACCTCACAAACATAGTAAGGAAGTGATGTAGTGAAGTGCTCAGAGATTGACTTCAGTTTAGTTTTGTACCTTCGAAGGTGAAAGGAGAAATTATTTTGATGTGACTTTAGTGCTGTTATCTTCGAAAAGTCTGAGGGTTCCCATTTCGTTAACCTGTCGAATACTTCAGGTGTGGACCTGTGGGAAGATTAACCCTCTACTGCACACGTTATGAAAGCAATTAAAAAAAAGATTTTCAGTTCACTTTTCTTGAATAAAATGATTCTTGCTTTATTTTTTCGGACCCGATTATCACATTAAAAAATATCAAAATAAATAAATAAATATAAAGATGTGTGCAGAGGTCCTTTTGAAGTATGTTGCCTTGAGGCAACATTGTGCGACAATAAGAAGAAATGATGTAGAGCTATGTTCCCTGAAGTGGTGAGACCTGGCTTGTAACTGGCTAAATCCATTCCACGGTTGCACAATGTTGCTTCTAGGCAACAAACACATTTATGCAAATTCTCATAACAAAAAAATTGATACTGAACGTTAAGAGGTTTAAATTGCCCAATAAGAGAGAGTACGACTAAGCACATTTTACTGTTTATTGTTAACCCTTTTGTTGTCTTTAAATATGTGTAACGTTATTGTAAAGTGAGGAAAATGAGTTTGTTGCCCTGAGGCAACATTGTGCAATAGAAGGTTAAGTCCTGCAGCCAGGACTTCGCTAAATTTAGAGCTGGCGCTATGCATTAGGTCCAATAGTGGCATATAACCCACTGATCAGTTCTGTTGTGTTAGATGATGAAGAACCCTGTGCAGAATTGGGAAAGGTGTTAAGAGAATGTTTTTGCAAAGCAATGATCTCTTGAGTTGGGTGTTATGATGAGAAGGTGTAGCATTAAAGGATTAAAGGATCTTATCGTTTTATGCAGGGCTCTCTATCCACTTGCCAGCTTTCTGAGCCACTCCTCTGGTTTATCCTGAGAGTGCTGGACACCAGTGAGGCCCTTAAAGCCTTCCATGACATGGGTATGGACACACACACAAACTTGAACAATATCAGTGATTTTATTACATTTCTTTCTTAAGAAAAACATGGTTTTATTCAGTTGTGTGAGAGCGATAAACAGAACATTACTGAAACGAGTCTGTGCTGTTTTCCCCTAAGCTGTCTGACTTTGGTATGTGTGTGGTGCAGGTGGTGTGCAGCTAATCTGTAACAACATGGTCACAAGCACGAGAGCCATAGTGAACACAGCCCGCAGCATGGTGTCCACCATCATGAAGTTCCTGGATTCTGGGCCGGGCAAAGCAGCCGATGGGAGCCTCAAAGCCCGAGTGCTCGCCTCAGAGCCTGACAACGCTGAGGGCCTGCACAACTTCGCCCCTCTCGGTATGGGGTCTGTGGGAGTGTCTAATTCAGGGGTCTCTGGAGGCGCATAGCACAGCGCTGTCTGGTGATTTCCCTGCTGAAATGCACATAATTCATCTCAGCAGGTTTAGTAGGTGTGTTTGATCAGGCAGATGACAAGACTGTGCTGCTCTAAGGCCCTATAGGACCAGAACTCAACCTTGATCGAAGTGCTAGTTGTGCTAGGTTGGGGTTGTCTTCTGAGGTATATGTTGTTTGGAATGAGTTCAGGTGAGAAGAGCAAAAGAGAAGAGCAAAAAGTACTATTCTGAATTTCCACTGCGTAGTTCTGAGACTCTTTTGCTAACATTGCTGTCAGTGCATGCCTGTGAGGTGCTTTCTGGGTTAAGCTGTGCTTTTTGTCCATTGGCAGGCACCATCACTTCCAGCAGCCCCACAGCTCAGCCAGCCGAGGTGCTTCTGCAGGCAACTCCTCCTCACCGGCGTGCAAGATCCGCTGCCTGGTCTTACATCTTCCTCCCGGAGGAGGCCTGGTGTGACCTCACAATCCACCTCCCTGCTGCAGTGCTACTCAAAGAGCTCCACATCCAGCCCCATCTGGCCTCCCTCGCCAGTGAGTCACTCGCACATCACGCAGCTCAAAACCAGAACTATGCTCAGACCTTACAACATACCCAAATGAGTCATTAGATGCCATTATACGTAAACCCTACACCAGAATCTGACATTAGTGTCCATTATGTTCTCAAAATGTCTCCCCCTCTCTCTCCATACCTCCAGCGTGTCCCTCCTCCGTGTCAGTGGAGATCAGTGCGGATGGTGTGAACATGCTTCCCCTCTCCACGCCAGTCGTAACCAGCGGTCTGACCTACATCAAAATCCAGCTAGTGAAGGCAGAGGTGGCCTCAGCTGTGTGCTTGCGGCTTCACCGGCCTCGGGACGCCAGCACTCTCGGCCTGTCTCAGATCAAGCTGCTCGGCCTCACCGCCTTCGGCAACACATCCTCAGCCACTGTAAACAACCCCTTCTTGCCCTCCGAGGACCAGGTCTCCAAAACCAGGTACTCCAGCCAGGGATGCCCTCCTGACTTATCATGATCATTGTGAGAAGATAGGGTCTTCAGAAAGATGCAGCTAAAAGTTCTGCAAAAAGTCACAATTTTCCGCTTATACCAAATATAGTTGATCACTCAAGGCTTGGTTTCTTCTTCAGTTTTGCACTACAGCTACAAGACAAAACTATAGAAACACTCTTTAGATACCAAACTTGATCTAGTACGATTGAGGTAAGCAGAAATCTCCTTAGAATAATAGTGCTGACATAGAATCATTCCAGAATACATTTCCCTGTTTATTTGGAATATTGAATAAATTTAATTGGCTTAACCATCCCTTTAAATGCATACCTCGACTCACTAGTGACCTGTAGCCTCACTTCTCCTCTGTACCTCGCCCACTTTTAACAAAGTGACAGATTATAAAAATATAACATTTATTTAATTTCATTTTGTTTTCATTAACATACTGTTACAGTTACTATTACGGCAGTTTGTAGAATTTTTTCAGATTCACTAAGTTTATACCTAAACGAACATGTGCTGTGAAAGTAAGAAATCATGTAGATCTTAAGTCAGTCAAGATGGTTTCATGGAAAAAGAAATGATTAATACCTTTGACCTAGAAATCCGCACTGGGTTTGTGATGCAATATCCACCTCCGTTTTCCTCCTTTCCACCCTCACTCTCAGTATCGGCTGGCTGCGGCTGCTGCACCATTGTCTGACGCACGTGTCCGATTTGGAGGCAATGATGGCGAGTGCGGCAGCGCCCACAGCCAACCTGCTGCAGACCTGTGCCGCCCTGCTCATGTCACCCTATTGCGGCATGCACTCGCCCAACATCGAAGCAGTACTCGTGAAGATCGGCCTGCAGTCCACCCGCATCGGCCTCAAACTGATCGACATCCTGCTCCGCAACTGCGCCGCCTCTGGAACGGACCTTGCCAGTAAGTTGTGGTTGGTTGCTTGTTTGTTTGCTCACAGAGGTTGTAGAGTGAGGCTGAACATCCTGGTAACATATTTTAATGGTTTAACGTTCAGTAAATGCTAAATATCTATTAAATTCCTTTCAGCTTTGCTCAAGCCTTAAACACTAACCCTAATCGTAACACTGTGATCGTCCACCAAGTAATTTCATTTGAACATTTGTAGATTAAGATTAAGTGACCCTTATTAGTGCCCACAACGGGGAAATTTCACCTCCATAATCTAACCCATCCGTGCAAACACCACATACACACTAGTGAAGACACACCAGGGGGCAGTGAGCACACTGCGCGGTGGGCAGCCCTATCCACAGCACCCGGGGAGCAGTTGGGGGTTAGGTGCACCTCAGTCATGTACTGTTGGCTCAGGTGATCGAAGCTTCCAGCCCACGACTGCCCCTATAAACTATGGATGCTTATATAAGCTATGAGCATTAATGAATATAAAGTGTGATCAACATCCTCAACAAATTTCTGAAACACAGTCTCTTAAAACGTATATAATCTCATTGTCTTCTATGTAATTATTAGATAAAACAGAGGGAAACATTTTTGTAGCACATACGGTACAGAAAAGGGCTCGCTGGTGATCTTCAAGGTCGAATTAAGTTTATTTAATGTATGTATTAATATATGAAGTATGCTAGAAATCTTATGGCGGGATCTTCTTTCAGACCTGCTTGAGCACGTAGTGATGAATTTGTATCTCATTTTGTATCTGACATATGGCTGGTATGCTGCGTTGCAGATCTGAACAGTCCGCTGCTCTTTGGGAGACTGAACGGTCTTTCATCTGACTCCACCATAGACATCCTCTACCAGCTGGGCACCACACAGGATCCTGGCACAAAGGATAGGTAAAGGACAGCAACGTGCAGTCACTGAGTCCAGATTCATGCTCTATCTTAATGAAGGGCTGGGCAGTACAGCCAAAAATCTTAGCACTGTGTATTGTATCGATATAAAATTGTTTTATTTCAGTAATTAGCCCTATTTTATTGATCGTATGTGCTGTATGTAGGCAAGGTCAGCAGTATTGTGAGCAGGATGTGATAACTGTCTATGGTTACTCTGATACTGTTAAATTAACCCTCCATTAACGGGAATGCGTGTGTGGTTTGTCCTCTCCAGGATCCAGGCCCTGCTGCAGTGGGTACATGACTCGTCACGGGTGGCAGCCCTGAAGCAGAGCTCTCCGGCGGGCTTCATGGGGCCGGGAGCATCGCCCTCGCGTGAATACGGCCTCCTCATGCCCTCTCCTTCACACCTCCACTGTGTGGCTGCTATCTTGTGGCACAGCTATGAGCTCCCTGTAGAATATGACCTTCCTGCACTGCTCAGCCGTGAGCTTTTTGAGTGAGTGAACATCCACACACCATATGCCCCCCCCCCAAAAAAAAATACTCACACTTGCTCACAACACTGTCTGCTGACTAGGCAGTACTTAAAAAATTTTACACGCTTACAAGTCTTCCCAAAGCTTCCTTGCGTATCCATGCTTCATAAACTTTTTTTGAACTTTGTCCTGTTTGCTCTCCAAAATTTGACAGCAAATATTCTTCTCTAAATTTAGCTGTTTTGGATTCGTTTGAGGGTGTTTTCTCCTTCTTTAGTAGTGTGAGAGGCTGAAAGCGTGTGTTTACTTGTGCTTCTTTCTGCCTTTTTCTTTTCTTTCATTTTTAATGAGTTTTGCAGAAAAGGGAACAAAGTATAAAGTCCCAGGCTAAGCTTGTTTGCAGAATAAAGAAAATAAAAAGGCCTCTTTACAAACTGAAAACTTGAATAATGATGTATCATCAGTTCGTTTAGAACATTGTCGTCCTATGGAGGTATTTTACAAAGCAGGATTTCTTAAAGTTGTGTATCTTGTGCCAAAAGTCAAGGTTGTCCAGCAGGTGAGCTGCGGGGTAGTCTTATTGGCTTATGTTGACCGGGAAACTGTTATCTGTGAAAATCCATGTTTGAAATGCCTGTGGATTTGCACCTTTTTTAATTGAACACATCTGTCTCAGAGCTGCTATTGGACTTCATTGTCTGGCACAGATACTTGACCTCAACTGTCGGGGACGTCAGATCTGCAGTATGGTTCGATGCCCTGTTTTAGTCAGTTTAATTTGAGCTAAATTAGTTTTAACTGGGGAAGCACTATTATTTAAGTGTTTTCGATGATGTCTGCAAATTTAATCCTTATGAATTATTGTCTGTAGTCTGACAACAATAATTTCAGAGTAAATGAATTTCTGAGAGCGGGTGACTTCAGAGCTCCCTCACTAGTAGTAGCCCAGTTCAAACTGGCCTCATGATATTGCAGTGATGTTATTGAACGCTGCTTGATGCGTAACACTGACTTGAACATCCAAGGCAGTCTTTGTCAATTTTGGGGAAATAGGTACTTTATCCCAAAGTCAATTCTGTGGAACCCACATATTTTTGTGGAAACAGCTTGCAGTTCAGCAGGAGTGACTTCAGGAAGTACTGCAATTATACAGTAGTAATCATTTAGTCACATGCCTTATAAGTTATAAACCCTCCTGTAGTGAACGAATCCAGCTTGAATAGTGCCTAAGTTGTTTCTCGCTCATCCCTCTCTGCAGGTTGCTCTACAACTGGTCCATGTCGTTGCCATGCAACATGGTCCTGAAGAAGGCTGTGGACAGCCTCCTGTGCTCCATATGCCACATCCACCCAACCTATTTCTCCCTACTGATGTCCTGGATGGGCTTGGCGGCACCTCCTGCGGCCCAGGCCCAGGCACAAGCGCAGCGTCGCTTGGCCATGACTGACGATGGAAAGAAGCAGCGAGAGCTGAGCGGTGCCGCCGCCTCCTCCTCACTAACGGACGACTCCAAGCACGCCCGCTCGCCCGCCTCACCCGCCTCGCTGTCCGAGTGCCAGCTGGCTACACTGGCTGCAGCCTCTCAATCTCCCGGGGCCATCCAGCAGCTGCTGGACTCGGGACTGCCTGCCCTGTTGGTGCGCAGCCTGGCCGGCCTGTGCTGCAGCCTCCTAGCCAGCGCTGACCTGCCACTTCCTGCTGGCCAGCAAGATCGACGCCATGCCCAACACAATCACCCCTCATCCTCTGGTTCATCATCATCCTCAAGCCGGCTGCAGCTGTCCCCGGACCTAGCTGCGCCAGTCTTGCGCTTCCTCACAGAAGTATGCTGTTTTTTATTGTATGTGTGCACTAAATGTCCAAAAGTGTCCAAACACCCCTTCTAAGTAGTGAATTCAGCAACTTGCAGGAAAAGAAGAAAAGCATTACCAGTAGATTGTGACACTGTGGAGCAGCCACATCTTAAAGCACCAATTATAAGAAGGGTATGAAGCCCCCCAACATTGGGCTGTGCAGTAGAACTGTGTTCTCTGAAGTGATGAAGCTCCTTTCAGTAACACTGGAAAGAGTTGGAGTGGCATTTGTGATGCAGAACTAATCATCCAGCATCAGTACCTGAAGCAAGCAATGTGGCTGAATGCAGTCAGATCCTCACAGCAATGTTTCAACATCTAACATAAGGCCTTCCCAGAACAGCAGAGGCTGTTACTGCAGTAGAGGGGGCACAAACTCCCTATTAATACCATTGAAGAAGAAACAGAAGAAGCGTTTATGAAGCGTTTATGAAGTGTTTAGAAACTTTTGGCCGTGTTGTGTTTATTATGTCATGCTGCCTTTTTATGATATCAGGACCACAGTGTAGATAAGCTTGTGCTTTATTTGTCTGATGTATTTTCATCCATTCAGGTGGGCAACAGCCATGCTATGAAGGACTGGCTTGGAGGACCAGAGGTCAACCCACTCTGGACATCGCTCCTTTTCCTCTTGTGCCACTCCAGCGCTAGTGGAGCGGCTAACAGTGGACACAGAGCCTCGCCTGGGACCTCTGAGGCTGGTCCTGCGCCCCAGCCTTCTGGATCAAGGTATACGCTGGCGTCGACAGGGCGGAGCAACGGCCTCACCACCCAGCAAAGGACTGCCATAGAGAACGCCACTGTAGCCTTCTTCCTGCAGTGCATCTCCTGCCATCCCAATAACCAGAGACTCATGGCACAGGTGGGTGTGTTAAATATGATATTTATAATACTTTGAAAGGGGTAAAGATGACATTGAGCAAAATCTTTCAGTAGTGTTGTTCTGTAGATGTCATGAAATTTACATTTGTATGATATAATGTAGCATCGAGGCCCAGGAGTGGTGATTATATAGACTGCAATACTTCTAGAAAGTCCCACCTTTCTTAGTTATGTTGCTACAACCATCAGACCTTCAGTACAGGCTGACTGGTAGCATCTGTAGCACTTTTGCTAACAGAGTAAAAAGTTCTGAAGTTTTTTAGAAGCACACAGAGGAGTAAATCTGGAACTTTGGTAACACTTTATTTGGATAGTCGACTTTAGATGCTCTGTAGATACTTAATTTACTGTCAAGTTACGTTCAGCTAAATATCTACTACTTTGACCAGTATTTTCTACTCCAAACCTGCTCTAATCCTAACTTTAACCTCAACCCAAAACCTAAACCCAACCCTCACCCTGGTCCCAGCCCTAACCCTGGGCCAAATCCTAACCCTAATCCTACCACTGGGATCCCACCACAGATAGTTTAACAACTTGAACATCTTTGGATGATACAAAGGCGACTATAGTAGACTATCCAAATAAAGTGAGACCAAAACTTTTTTAAATTAAAAAATTAGTTTTACAAGATGATCATTTACAAGATACATGCTTGAGAACTGGCAAAGTATGTCTAGGGCAATTTAAGGCAAACAAAAAATAGATTCTAAAAGGAAACATTAGGAAACATTAATAATGCAATACAAATAATGTCTGCAAGTGCATTGATATTTATCTTTGCACACAATGTTTTAATCACAGTGAATGAGTGCTGTGCCGTCCTGTTAAGTCCTGTTTACTCTCTAAGCAAGCTGTTAGGAAAAGATAGATGTCTACCATATTTCTGCGTGTTAATGGTTTTGTCCTCTTTGCAGATTAATCAGGTCCGCCACACAATCCTATCTGGCCCGCAGAAGCATTTTAATTCTCTATTAATATTAGCCTGTTTCACAATGTGCTGCACTACAGCCCCCAGCATGCACCACAATGTCATGTGCTCCGACTTTCCTACCCCAAAAACAGTCTATGGGACAATTCAAGTCAATTCTACTCAGTTCTGTGCAAATCCACACCAGTCATATCATCAAAATGCATTTCAGCTGCAGTTCAACCAACATAGACTCTTAACGTCAGCTCAGTTTCCTAGTTTAATGCTTGTGACTAATTTACTGCCGCTGCAGTTCTCACTGCAGGCTGTTTTGTTTTGAGAAGTTCTGTCCCAAGTTTTTTTCCCTTCGTTTGGTGGAGGAAGGAATGTTTGGAGATAACTGTGATTGGCAGAGAAGTGTGCCAATCATAATTTAGCAGACAGTCAATTGTGCTGGCTTTGTTTTTGACAGGTTCTGTGTGAGCTGTTCCAGTCTGCTCCACAGCGGGGGAATGTTCCAGTGTCAGGGAATATCTCCGGCTTCATCCGTCGACTCTTCCTGCAGCTCATGCTGGAGGACGAGAAGGTTACAGTCTTCCTACAGTCCCCCTGCCCGGTGGGTGTACGCACGCACACACACGCGCACACACACACACACACACACACACACACACACACACACACACACACACACACTCACACAAGGAGTGTGTGTGTGTGTGTGTGTGTGTGGTTTTAAGTTTCAAGTTTATTTGTCATTTGCACAACACGTCAGGACATTTATGCATTGAAATGCTTGTGGTGAGGCTCAGCTAATCACTCTACAGATAGTAAACACAGTAAAAATAAAAATACAAAGAAAATACTGAAACTGATATTTTAAATTTACACAAAATATACAAAAAAAAACCCTTTCAGATATGTACAAATATATTTATATTAAACAAGGGATAATCTGTGAAGAATATATACATTTTAAAGTGACTTAAGTGTCTTAGTGTCATTTAAAGTGACTTGGTGTTATTGTCCATAGCAGTAATATGATTAATAATAATAATAATAATAATAATAATACTGACAAAGTGACCGAGTGAAAAGGTGAAAAGGTAGTCTTAGCAAGAAGCACAAATACTTCATTCATATTTAATACCAAACATAAGTAGCTGTTTTTTTTAATGTAGTATAGATATATGATAATATGCTACTTATATTTAGTACAGATATAAAATTGTTTTGTTGTATGCCAAAAAAAAATGTAGGTGTAAATTATGAAATTTGTCATGGGGGGCCCAGATCACTACATATGACTAAGTTAAGAATGGGTAAAATAATATTACTCACAGTTGATGTAGAACTTGATACAATTCAAAGCTTATTTTAATCATATTCCATATAATTTTTTTTGCTTTGCTTTTATTATATCTTTTTTATTATTATTTGAGGAGGTGCAAATGTGTTTTCTGTTCTTAATACCCCAGGTGTTCACTAGGGGGCAACAGATACTTATTACCACAAGCCCCTAATTGGACCTCACTGGATTCTAACTGGCTTAAAGCTGGATGGCTCCCTTTTATAAGTTGGTCTAAGCTGGGAATGAAATCCGCTTCCGAGTTTCATCTCTCACTAAACCTCGTCATGCAGCCTTAAAGGAATCCCTCACCTGAAAATGCTAATGTTGCTAATAGTGAGTGATTGCTAAAGGGCCCAGTACACACAATGAGATTATGCTAACTGCTTCCCAGCAGCTTGTTAGCCACGGTGGCGTGTTTGAATTGGATTCCTTTAAAAGAAACACTGTAGAACAGTGTCCTGCTCAGCCCACGCACCCAATTCTGGCTCCCGTCCACCTGCCAGATTGCTGCTGTCCAGACGTCTTTATTTTTACCCCTTTTTTTCAGCCTGCGGTGTGTAATTGGGCAGGTCATTACTGTAGTAAATTACAGCAAGGACAGCTCCTCCTAAGCCGCTTGCATTTTAGTACAGGTTAATCATCTGGCAGAGCAGTGGAGATGGAGGAGAGCTTAAAAGTTAATGTTTACGCATTAGATAGTGTCGGACAGTCTTGCCATCCAGTGTGTCCTCCCAAAGGCACGCCGTTCTTGAAGACTAACGTCTTTATTAAGGGGTTTTGTACACCTTTAGAAACACTTTGATGCCTGGGTTTCATACAAAGACGAAAGATTTAATCTTATTTATGTATTGGGACATTCTCGTTGTAAATCACATAAAAGTTGACCCATTTTGAGCCCCTGTACATATTTCTTTTTCTCCTTTTGTACTGGCTGCAATGGTGATGTAACAAAATGATCATAAATCTAGTCTTGTTCTTAACCACTTATAAGGGGAAAGAAATGTTTTACTGCCCTAGAAGCCTGCCTGAAGGAAAAACTTAACAGAGTAGCCTGGCAAACAATCAGACTTGCACAGTTTTCCCGTTACCCCGCATGTTGTCGATCAGCCAAAACATGTTTGGAGTCAGAGTTGCAAAGTTTTGCATTGGAGCTATGAGGCCAGTGTGGCTGACAGGTCATTGAAGCTTATACTATGAATGTTCACTATGATGATATTCATTGCAGTGGTAAATTGTCATATTACGTCACAGTGTGCTTTTCTGAGAATGTCGCTAGGATGTCATTGTAGTCATCGTTTTTCAAACTCAGTGTAGCCAGTAGCCACATTTACATAATAATCTGTTAATAATCAGACTAATAGCTCAATCGGAATAGAATACGTCCATGTAAACACCTCAGTCGGAATAGTCTAGTCCCGTTGAGGCCATTCAGAATACAATTTCTATCCGATTGATCGAGGTGGGTAATCCTGTAAATAATCCGTTAAGTAGAAGAATAATATCCGTGTAAACGCCTGTATCTGATTACATTCCCTATCGGAAAGTTTAAGTCCGTTCTGATCATGTTCGTCGCGTCATAGTGAAAGTTCATAACGTTCAACATGGCGGAGCAGAAACTGGTCTGCAGAGGAGACGAAGTTTCTGCTCTGATCTTTAAAAGACGGCGGTGGGACGGACGTCCAGCTTATGTGTCTCGGAACACGACGTCTTCCTCTCGGCCTTCTTTAATAAGGACATGTGAAGGACGTTTTCCCTGAGTCTGACATCATTTTAAAGTCATTAAAACCAAAAGCGCACCAGCTGAACGCACGGCTGGTTGTCTCACACTGACGGGACTCAGTGATGCTCGTTGTCATGGTAGTGTCTACACGTTACACGTTGTCATAGTAATGTCTATATGTTCCACGTCATTTTGATCTTGTACTGTGCATGTAAATGGAGATTTCCATCAGATTATTGAGTAGAGTACATATAAACACCTCAGTCTTCATCTATAACTCGGAATGTGCTCAGTCGGATTGGCAGAAATCTATGCGTGTGAAAACAGTCGCTGTTTGTTCTTTATTTGTCTGTTCCAGTCAGACTAAAGTAGAGTACATCGAAAAAAAGTAATGGCTGAAAAAATGAGTATACGAGTCCTAAATGTGTTCAGCAACGTATTCCATTACCAGCATAAAAAGGTTTCAAAGTGCATTCAGATTACATCTTCATAAGGCACACTGGAAAAACTCTAGTGCTGAAATTCTTCTTTTTTTCCTGCTTCAGTCCACTGCTGCTCCCACGTTCCCCCAAACAACAGTGGGCCCTTTTTGCTAAACACACTAAAGGAAGCCAGGTCAAGTCTATATGCGCAGATATTTACCATTTTGGGAGTTGTCACTAGCCTCCTACAGGAAACGCATTTACTATAGCCCACCAGCAGTACAGTAAAATCCTCTACAGAGCAGCAAAACATTTCCTCACATTTGGCTGAATGGATAACAGTCCTGGCCTGAACTGGCTTAATATTTTTAAACACAGGCGCCTTTAAAAAGTGACTCGAGGACGTTCCCTGTTTCAGTACGTTTCTGCAGTAAAGGCGTTCTCCCTCACTCTTGGTATTCTACCCTGACACCTTTCAGTCTGTCCCTTTTCTGCTGATTTGAGATTTTAAAATAGTTAATAAACCAGCATTGCTGGGGGGCAATCATGGGCTGGAAGTTGGCGAACCAGCCCTGAGACCAGTAGGTCGCTGGTTCGATCCCCTGAGCCAGCAGTGCGTGACTGAAGTGCCCTTGAGCAAGGCACCTAACCCCCAGCTGCTCCCCGGGCGCTGTGGATAGGGCTGTCCCACCTCTCCGGGCAAGTGTGCTCACTGCCCCCTAGTGTGTGTGTTCACTAATAAGGGCTAATAAGGGTCACTTAATTAATTAATTAATCAAGCAAGTATTTACTTTAATGATCATGTTTTATATATAGTAGATAATAAGTATTCTGCTAAAAATGTGTTTTAAATACTGCCTTTTCCATCTGGGCTGAATACACATTATTATTTTCTGTATTCCCAATACTTGTATTCCATATTATCCCAACCCTGATTGTGATGTTATGTTTTTGCCCTGTAGCCCATCAGTTAGCACTGTGCAAACTGCTTGATTTAAAAACTGGCACCAGTGGGGTGCAGCTGTCTGTGTTGGCGCTGTCACTGGGAGACTGAGATCCTCGATGATGCCGCAGCTATCCGTGTCCGGGAGTTCAAGCGAACATAATTGGCCTCGTTCTCTCCGGATGAGTAGGATGGCCCCTCATCACTCAGCACAGTGCTGGCCAGCGTGGACGTCTGTCGGCTGAACACAAATGGCAGTTAGTGCTTTCGTCCTAGCGCATGGAGCTGTCTTTTGAGCTGTCCAGTGAGCTGTTACCAGCGGTGGCTGGTTGGTGGTGTCATGTGATCGTGGGTGGAATTGCACCTGACTAAACTGGGGAGAAAATTGAGGATATATAACAACTTACTTATTAGCTGCATTAGCCTCGTTGCTCCAGTGCAAAATGTAAGAAGCAAACTTCAGAACCCAAACATGCCTCAGTTGATTGTACATTCAGAATAAGGGAAAAATTCTTCAAAATTTGTCCATTTTTTCTTCAAGACATGCTTTTAACCTCTTAATTTCCAGGGTATATTTTAGTTTGTCGATCTGAATTTACATCACCAAATCGTAAGGCAAATTATTCAGTAACTGCATAAAATAAATGTACATTTTTATTTAATTTTATTTATTCTTTTAGAAGTTCCCTTCAAATTAACAGAACGTGTGTTTTATGATACACATATTGCTATATGCTTACAATTTACTGCTGAAAGCCAAAAATCTGAGACGCTCTTTGTATTATTTTATAAAAATAGTTTTTACAGAGCAGATCACTGAAGAGACGCCGTCTGTTTATAGTTTATAGCCCAGATTTGTGGAAAAATGGGTCGACTTTCAGTAGAAAAAAAAATTGTGAGTTCAGCTTCTTTTATTATAAGGGTTTAAAATCACATCACCCATCTATTTGACTGGAAAGAAGACAGTTACAGCTCTCATACGACCCCCACCTTTAGAATGTAGCTTATGAAATATGAAAGTTATGAAGAATATGACACTGTTTTGGAACCACCGGTGGTCTCAAGGAGTTGAAGAGGTTAAGTTCGGAAGGTGTGTTGAATGAGAGGAGTGGGTAGAGAGTTGAGTAAACATTCAGAAAGGTACAGTTAGAGGTGGGCTGCAGCCTTGGAAGAGAGAAAGATTCCTCATGACAGCACGGAGCTGCGGTGGCATGGTGCACACTGACGCATGTTCAACGTGACGCCCGTCACCCGCCGGGCGTAGAATCCCGTCAGTCCGAGCCATGTGCTCATGCTACAGTCATGCCTAATGAAAGACAATGTCACCTCTTATGAACACACGGCAGGGCAGGAAGAGGAGAGGATGACTGGCGGTATCCGCTCAGTCTACGTGATTAAACAAGCTTGAGAAATCAAGTGGAGCCTGACAGGAGTGATTACACCGATTGAGCTAATATCCTAGGCTTGGCGAAGATAATTGGTTGACATGCCCGATAGGCCATAACGTGGAATTGATTCACGGAAGTTGAAAATGAATTGAGTGATGTGTCCTGATAATGTCCTGAATCTGTGCTCCTATTGGCAAGTATGTTACCTTTAATTCTGTGTCACGTTCTCTTTTGTTTGTGTCTCATTTTCTCATCCTCTGCTTTCTTTTTTAGCTGTATAAAGGGCGGATCAATGCCACCAGTCACGTGATCCAGCACCCCATGTATGGAGCCGGCCATAAGTTCCGCAAGCTTCATCTGCCCATTTCAACCACGCTGGCTGAAGTACTGGACCACGTCTCTGGTAAGAACACCCACTGACCGTGCGCGCACGCGCTCCGGCTAGCTCATTCGTTCTCTCACCCTCGCTCTCGCGCTCTCTCAGCCAGCACTTTATACTCCAAAGGTTTTTGAAACCCATTAGATACTTGTAGCCCGGTGTGACTGTCAAGGTCAAATGCACAGGCTTTTATTTGTGTGCGTGCGTGACTGCATAGTGTTGTCCGCTCGCCCTCTCTCTCTCTCTCTGTATGCTTGCGCAGAAGTGTATGTATGGCTGTGGGTGTGTGATGGATGACCGGTCCCCTGAGACCTTGAAGGTGACAGATACAGCCCGATAGCCATATCGGTTCAGGTGGCACCGTGAACACTGACTGAATGTAGCCTATTATAACCCATGGTCTCTTGTCCAGTCCTTTCACTGATGCTAATAAATAGCTCATTTATCTTTTCCCGAACCTTGTCTTATCTCCACTGATTAAGAAACATGAACTTCAAGAGGACCTGCTCATTTCTTAATTCATTATGCCACCGTGAGATTTAATCTTGGGCTATCCTTTTGAAATTCGCATTCTCTGATTGTCCAGTTCTTTCCTGACAAGTTCGGGCCGGAAGATTAATCGTATTTAAGTTGTGAAATCACAAGAGCTGCAAATTTATTTTTTTTTATCATTGTCTAAATATGTTAGAATAGATCAGAAAATTTGCCATTAAATATTTTCCCCAAATGTGTTAAGTTGCTTTTATTTGTATTGAAGTCACATACAATTATGACCACTTTTCAGAGGATTTATAACATTTTTAGAGTCCACATGCAGAAACAAGATGAAGCACATGAAGGAATTGGGAGTAGAAGAATTAAAAAAGCAAATCTGTTGCATGAAAATACAAAAATACGTATTGCATTAAAAGTGCATTGTAAAAAGTAAGGAAATCATGCATCTCTCTGTTTGCAGACACACCGAGCATCACGGCCAAACTGCTGAATGAGCAGAAAGAGGACAAAGAGAAGAAGAACCACGAGGAAAAGGAGAAGATGAAGGCCGACAACGGTTTCCAGGACAACTACAGCGTGGTGGTGGCCTCAGGTGCTCATTAAGATCAGTCTCCTTATTAGCTGCCTGTTTTTGATGTGCCTCTCTCTTCAGTCTTCAGTGTCAGTACAGGCCTTTTAGATCAGACAAGAATGCAGGGCTCATATTTTTATCTTCTGATCGGGTTTATATTCGCAGTCTTTATGAAAGTTGCTTGCTGTCTTTCTATGTGTGTTCTTAGTGTCGAATAAGGTCTAGTTTACAGTGTTTTTCTTACATGGCCAAATGTTTATATTTGGGTGCGTCAGGTCTGAAGTCACAGTCGAAACGAGCCTTGTCGACCCCTCCGCGGCCCCCGTCCCGGCGAGGCCGAGTGCTTAGCGATAAGCTGGCGTCCTCTTCAGGAGTCGATTCTTCTGCCAAAACCATCAGCGTGCCTGTCTTCCACCTTTACCACAAACTACTGCCAGGTATTCACGCATACATAATAGATTCGCTGCCATCAGCCTGCAAAGTTGACAGTGTTGAAAATAGATTTTTAAAAACACGATTACTTGAAAAAGTGCTCCTTTAAGTGTGTGCTCGTACTAACAGATTGCAATACACTAAAGGAGCCATAGGGGGCAGTGTAGCTTCTAAAGCAGTGAGAATGGTCTGGCTGCAGACATGCACTGCCAGCCTATTGTTGACGTCAGTGCCGCTCTGCCACGACAGTGTTTTTGTTGGTTTTATGAGGAAAAACAGTGAAAATGTGCTGCTGGGCAACAAGACTTACACTGAACTTGTCGCCTCTGCTGGAACAAAACTCGTATCTCCAGAATGGTAACTTTACAGGAGAAGGAAAAACCTTCTTTACTCTGAATGTAAGTCAGTGGAACCAGAGTATCGACCTTATTGAAACATCTCTCCCTAAATTTAGTGCAACAAAACAAAGACATGACATGAAAAAATGTGACACGATTCAAAATGAAAATATTAACAACCATAGGCGATACAAGATTAGCTAGCCCAGGTTCTCAGACCAGCTCACAGCTACCGAATTTTAAATCAGTACAGACTCAATTTAATATTACTACTTCCCCACAATAAACATGATTAAAGGGTTCTTTGCAACATGAACGGGTTCTTCAGACTGGTGAACAATAAGCTGTAAATGATTATGTATGGCATGTCAAGCTTGTAACAATAGAAGAACCCTTTTGGGTGCTATATAGAGCCCTTTTCACGAAGATTACATAGAGAACTGTCTGTAGCACGTTTTCGATCAATCTTAGTAACTTTGTGATGCCAAGAACCCTTCAATTAAGGGTTCTATGAGTGTTGATGGTTCTGTACAGAACAATTTTCTTTACTATAGAACTCTTGACGAACCATCTTTTCCAAGAGTGTAGTTTCAAAATGAGGCTGATGTTGCCTAACCTCCAGCTTCTTGTTTACATTTTCCCACTCCACCTTAAAAGGTACAGCCGTCGTTATTATAGCGCCTGAGTCACCAACATGAAATTGCTGCACCATTTAAGGTGGAACAGGAAAATTCAAACAAGAAGCTGGCAGATAGGAAGCTGACTTCAGCTTCGTAGCTTTAAAACTGGTAGAATTTTTTTGTAAAGAAACTACATAAACATGCTACAGTAGGACATTTCGACAAGGTAGCACAATTCGTCAGAACACCAGGAGGCTTCACTGAGGACGTAGGTGCAGCAGATGCTTTGCTAAAGGAAAAACGCTGCACTGTTTCAGATTTATAGATGAATTTGTTAATGTTTCATGACGTTGCTGGTGTTTGTTACCCCCTTTACACACAGCACAGTTTTACATGTACTGCATTTGTCTACGTTATCACAAAATTTAGTAAAGTGAGGCCACACTTTTGAGCGTCTTAACCTTTCAGCCATGACCAGAGAGCACAGAATGACGCTTGGCATTTGAAATGGTTAAGATGGTCAGAAACATGAGAAAACGTTCATCACACGGGGGAGAACGCCCCTCCTGCTGATCCAGTCTAGCACCAATAATTTGAAAATGAATGCTATGTAGAGTGAATCAGCATTACATAAATACAGATAGCTGCACCATTTGTCTGGGAGCTTATCGATGTTTGGATACTGACTAGTCAGGAACCAATACCAGTTTAACCCTTGTGTGGTGTTGATGCTTTTTGTTACTCAGTGGTCTGGTGGACCCACCGTGTTATAGATTTTAAAATCGATACAGCCGTAACAATTTATGTAAAACTACCAGATGTTTAAAATATCACAAGTGTGCAGCGTAGGGTTCTCCTTTAGCAGCTGTAGCCAGTCAGCAGCCTGTCCATGTTGTCCACACACACACACACTAACAGCAGGCCATGTAGGAGGAGAACAGAGTGAAGGACACAGCACCTCCACACTTTTACTCCCCGCAGGTTCACCCAACACCACAGGTGTAATATAAATGTGTGGGGGGGGTGAACAGAGTGAAGACACTGAAAATGGGTTATTTTCTGTGTTCTTCACAGGAAATGATCAAAGATCAAGAAATCTGGGGTTGAAATGACAAAAAATCACATTTTTCTTTTGTTAAGCATTGAAAATGGGTCCCACAGACCTGAACACCACACAAGGGTTAATATCTGTTCTCAGTACCCATCCTCAAGTGTACATCTCCAACTTTTCCAGCATACCGCGAACTGTTGTCAAACACCTTTGCTTATTAATGTGTCTGTCGTGAACTCTTCCCCTCTTTCTCACTTTCTCTCCCTTCCATACTGATCAAGTTGACTTTGGGCTAATGTGAGTCACTCCAGCATCTGTTCTGTTTTAAGGGTGAGGCCCAGAGTGTTTAAACCTCAGTCCGTTTGTCCTGTCCCCTGAATGACAATTCCAGAAATTAGTGCTTAAACTCTCATTAGTGAGACAAGCGACCCCTACGCCTCCCTGAGGCTCTACGCCTCTGGTCATTGCCCGATCAGAGGGTTTTAAGAACACTGGGGGGAAAATTACTGCACAGATGTCGGTCGTTTTGCAACGGAGCGAGTTTTTCATAAGAATAGAGTTAGATTTACTCGACAGATAGAAGTGTCTCCTCTAACACCTCTGCTGAGATTTGACCTTCTGACCCTCTCCTCTCTGCGCCCAGGTCAGCCATTGCCTGCGGAGATGACCTTGGCCCAGCTGCTGACCTTGCTGTATGAACGCAAGCTTCCTCAAGGCTACCGCTCCATTGACCTCACTGTCAAATTGGGATCAAAGGTCATCTCTGACTCAGGCCTCTCCAAGACCGACTCCTTCAAAAGGCTCCGTACAGAGAAAGGTATGGACTCATTTTTGCTGTTTCTCATGCAGACATTTAAGATTAATCCTCCTTTTTCAGCTCCTTTGCCTCGTTCAGACCGCCTCTCTCATATGCCTCCTTTTCTCTTCCTCGCGCTCCTTTTTCCATGTCAAGAGAAATTGCTTTTCCTCCTCAGTAGCCTTCCATTTATTCTCTAGACTGGTCTGGTGGTTAACAAGGATTGAGATTTGCACCATGAGCCACCTACACTACAGTGAAACACACACAGACACACATCATCGCTGTGTTTATATTGGTTTTGTCACAAACAAATTGCCATCTCTGCCCCCAAAAAACACACCTCTTTGTCCTGCCTGCTGTGATGGTTTATGTGCAATAGATGGCGGCTGTGTCATAACGCAGAATCGACTTCGCCTCCATTTAAAGCGGAAATGAGTGGTAGCTGTTTGCCGGCGTGTGCAAGTGTCTGATTCATTCTGTGCCCTGCTGAATGTGGACTAAACAGCAGGAATGGAGCTGTGCTGCTGTAATCACTGCTTTCCATCCCAAGCATCCAGCATAATGGAGCTATTTCAGACTTATTTCTCCTAAATCACCTCCAAACCTGGCCAGCGACAGAGAAAAGGGCATTTCTTAAAACCACTGATGCAGTGGCGGGATGTGTGTTACAGCCTCAAAGGTCTCGGCGTAAAAAGAGGCTGTATACAAAACCACCCACAACCCAGCTATCCGATCCGAAGAACCTGTATTATATCAGAACCTTTATACGAGTCCCATGGCCTTGTAGCGTTCCTGTGTTGTCAAAAGTCAAATCAGATTGGTCTGGTTTGCCAGAGCTGCTTTGTAGATGATATGTTTGTGTCCGTAGGGCTGAAGTGTGTAAAATTAGCCACCCCATACCAGCCTTGCCAGCGCTTCAACCCTAGGTTATAGGATCCAAATATAGGCTGCTTTGATTGAATTTGCCCTACCCTTGATTTGCCCCGTGTATGAGAGGGACACACACATGCAAACCAAGGTGAATATGCAAGACCAGCACAGTTTGTCCCACATCACCACTTTTATCACCACTACAGTCCCGCTTGCACTCCAAAGCCTCTCACATATGACCATGAACAATAACACGGTTGTTTTTCGGTACACAAAGCTGAAAGAAAAACTGAAAAACTCTGAAAAGTATCATAGAAATGGTCCACTTCAGTAGATGTTGGCCTCTGTTGTCACATGAGTTAATTTTTTGGGAACTGTACTTGGTCTTGTACTGGGTCTTAAACCTTGCTTGGATTTCGACTGTAGTTTTTGTTCATGCTTAACCACTTCTTGTTAAATAAAGTTACATTTCGAAGTAAAAGGAATATTTTCCCATACCTCCAAAGTTCAGTCCTAGAAGTTGGTTGCTTTTTGCTTCTCACGTTTCAAGTAATGCCAAACACATTTAGTGATGTTGAGATCTGAACTCTGGGGAGGCCAGTTTTTGTTCAGAGAGCACCAGCAGCTTTTTTTGTTTTTCTCTATTTTCTTTTCTCAGTAGCAGCGTCTTGACAGCTACACATCCTTTCAGACCCATAGCGCTGAGTCGTCTTCTCACAGTGGAAGGATGGACAGAAACACCTGTGGATGTTTTCAGATGTGAAAGAGCTTGATTTTCTCCTCTCTCTCAGAGATGAAAGCTTTAGGCAGTGTTTATATGATGGGAGCAGTTTAGGTGTCTACCAGGTCTTTCACAGATGTCGAGTCCCTTTTTGTCTAGATCTTTTAATCGTTAAAAGAACTCCTCCAGTTTTTAAAACTCTTTTTTTTTCCCCCCACTTATTTTCCTTTGACTGTCTCCTTCCTTGCATGTTCTCCCCCTGTCTGCGTGGGGTTCCTCCGGGTGCTCCGGTTTCCTTCCACAGTCCAAAGACATGCAGTCAGGCCAACTGGATACACTAAATTGTCCCTAGGTGTGAGTGTGTGTGTCCAGCTCCCCCTGCAGCCCAGAAGGATAAGCGGCTTAGAGTGTGTGTGGGTGTGTCTCCTTCCTTATGTCCTTATATCTCCTGCAGTTATACTTAGTATAACACTGTTGTCGGAAGAAAACCTCGTATCTCCAAAATGGTAACTTTACAGGAGAAGGAAAAACTTTCTTTACTTTTAATGTAAGTCAATGGAACCAGACTTTTTTCCAAATAATTTGGGGTCATTTCTTTTGGGCCATTCATCATGAAATATATACACAATATAAAGGGCAACAGGCATTTTCAAATTATGTCAAACTGAAAAATGACAAAAATGGAGATGCAAGGTTTTCCTCCGACAACACCGATACTTAAAAGCTGTTTTGCATGTTGACTGAATAAGCTAATAAGATTTTCAGCACAATTTTAATTTAATCTTGAGTAAATGTTTAACTGATCAAACTTACCTTGCTCTGTTCCATTGACCTACATGGATTTTTTTTCCCTCTGTCCCTCTCTTACTATCTTCCATTGTCTTTTGTTTTCCTTCTCTCTTGTCTTTTACTCTCTCTCGCTCCCTGCTTCCCTCCATCCCTCCTTTTCCCAGTTTGAACTGAATTTCTAATCCAAGCTCGATGCACAGAAACAAACCCGTGTGCGCTGCACAGTTATTGATGCAGTTCGCTCCTGCGGGCTTCCCCAGTCACCCCTCTACCGTCATTATCCTCACACACACAGCTGAGATCCTCCCCTTGGCTAAATGACTGCCCCAGCTGCCTCTCAGCCTGTCGGGGAACCCCTGAGAGTCCAGGTCCTCTCTGCAGGCTCCCGTCTTTCATCTCACGCCCCTCTGTTAAAGACGTGAAAAAGGCTCTCTAGCTCCTGGGTAATTCTCTCATGCGCCTGTGTGAGTTGTCCATCTTTCCGTGGAGGCTACAAGCTTCCCACTGCTGCTCTGCGTTGTTGTGTGTTAAGCCGCAGTGGAGTCTTTCACCACTGCTTACTCCACTGTGTTTTGCTGTCGTTTTGACCACTTCTTGCCTCAGCACAGCTGTCTAAAGGAAACTTATGTCGGTCTGCTTTTTCCACAGTGCTCTAGATGTACCATCGGCAACATTATCTTTCATTGTGATGATATAAAGATTGTAAAATAAAAATTGATTAGGCATGATTTGCTGATTCTGAATCCTCATCTGGTCTGCAGACACTGATTGTGGTCAGTGTAGACCGCGGCAGGACCAGCAGACGACCCCAAATACACTTCAAGCCTTTTTTGAAGACTGAACATTTTTGATTAGAGGCATCCAGATGGTCAGTTCCGTCTGAAGGAGAACCGCAGCCGCACCAACATCGCTGGAGTCCACAGCAAGACTTAAACAAGAAGTATTAACTTGCAGGTTTCCTGTTGAAGGTCTGCTGGCAGGCTGCTACCCACTATAATGTAATCTGATCTCCAGTCTCCTAGAACTTGGATGGCCTTTGGAAGGGAAACTGTAGATAATCTCTGTCTCAGCCTCAGTGGGGTGGACCTGCTCCTGTTCCACTACTTTTCCACAACTGGAACTACGCTACTGAATCTTTAGATACGATTATCTTCTACATTTTCCAGTTTCTACATTTATAAGTGGCTGTGTTTCCCTGGCATTTTCGCCTACAGATATGTACATGAAAACTATTGGCTGTCGATATCAGAATTCCCATATCGGTGCCTTCCTATAAATTACAGCATTCTTTTGTTTTTGCTGGTAGGAGCGGCAACTTCTGAGTGTTCAGACTACAATCTCTAGCTGTATTAGCCAGAATAGTTTGTTTTTGTTTTGTTTTTTTGTGCTTGACACCTTAAAATACCTGTACTTTATAGGAACAAGCTTGGAGGTTTATGAAAAAGTAGCTTATACTTTGTCTATTGCGAGAAAAGCTCTGTGTTTCTTGAGGCACACAGAGGAGTTTGAGCATCTGTAGCACCGCAGGTAACCCGGCAAAGCATCTGCACTGTCTTACTTAACAGTGACCTGTGTATGATGAGAAATGGATAGAGGCAGTGACCCATGCTGACTGTGTGTGAGAGAGAGAGAGAGAGAGAGAGAGAGAAACAAACAAACAAAAAACAAAAACATGTTATCCAGAAGGAATGCATTTGTCTTGCCTCCGCTGTCTGGCCAGGAGTTTCCTAAAAGCATTTCTTATGTGCATGTTTCTCTCTTTCTCTCTCTCTCTCTCGCTCTCTCTTTCTCTCTGTCTCTTTCTCTTTCACTCACTCACTCACTCAGTAGTTTGTTCTTTTAGTAGCCTGCTTCCCCTCCACTTTTTGCCACTGCTCTCCTTTCCCTTCACATACTTTTCCTGACATACTTTTAGCCACTGTCACACTAACACCTGCCTCACTTTGCTTTCCTCATCTGTTATAAAGTCGCACCCTTAAATCCTTTGGTGCTCGTGAATCTCTTACTTTTTGCTTTGGTAAAACTCCAGCCCCAAGTTAATTAAACCACATTGAGTTTGACTGCAGGGTTGAAAATATCTTGTCTTTATCTTAGAGCATAAAAGAAAAGCATATAATGTAAGGCAACTTGAACAGTGCTAGGGATGACAGTTTGATCCATTTTTGCCTTTCAAACATCCACATTTTTAGATGGATATTATTTGAATTTGCCTACGATATTGATATTATGGATACAATTTGAGGCATTTTTGCTATTCAAACACTTTACCTGACGTGAGAGGAAATCAACTACTTGTTCTCCAACGTTCCTATACCTTCCAATATCAGCTACTTGTGTCCTAAGGCCCGAAACATACCTCACGCAAGGACGCAGACGCTTAGAGCTACACAGGCGGGGTTTCATGCGTAGTTGCGTTCAAAAATGTGTCGCAACGCAAGCGCGAGCTGCATTCTGAGCGTTACAGCAGGGGGCACTAAAACAAGAGCCAAGCCTGACCAAGCGGTCTCGTACCGCCAGCATGTTTTCTCAGCTGCCGTAGCAGACGAGCAGTTCAGTCTCACACAAAGACGGCATTAATTATCGCATTTTCTTCCAAGTGAAGACGTAAAGCAGCTCACTCTCCTCTACTGTCCACGTTTAGCTGTTGAGGCTGTTGGAATAGCAGTAGATCCCTCTCTGATTTGTCCTCTATCGCCCCCTTCAGTACTGAGTGTTTTAACCTGCACAGCCACGTAAGAACGTGCGATGAGTTTGCACAGAAGGACCGAGCGTTCGCAGTGCGTTGGCTGAGCGCTGTCATTTGCGTTCGCATCCTTGCGTAAAGTATGTTTCGGGCCTAAGAATCACAAATGTGTTTAGCAACTACAAGATAATACACAATTATTTCTTTTCGTCCAAAATATACATGCATTGTTCACTTGCCTGATTGAGTAAACATATACTAACATAAGTTTGGATATTTGTGTATTGGTATGCCTATCCAGGAGGGAGCAGAGTGAATGCGTTATTGGGCATGCTCCAAAAAAGCCTGTAATGTCTGCTGGACGGAACTGTTTGCCTTTGTCTTCAGCCTCTCAGTACCACTAACTTTGATGCATCAGAGAGACTTGGCTAGAGAGCCAAGAGTGTTTAAGCATTCTGTTGGTGGCCTCTTTCTCTCTCTCTCTCTCTCTCTCTCCATCTCTATCTGCTGCCCTCTCTCTGGAAATCTAAATGAGACATGGTTGCTACTAACCTTATTATCCTTTTTTTGAGTTCTCAGAAGGAAAACGACAGCGTAATGAATCATTTGATCCAGTTTCACTCAGATAAGGACATGTAATGCTCAGTCCCAGACAACCCACTAGTCCTTGGTGTTATAGTATCATAGGCAGAACCATTTGAGTGGTCACTAAAGGCTGGCCGCTGTAATCGAAGCTCATGTTATCGTAGCATTTTCCGCTCCGTGCTCTTCCGCTGACTAGGAAGATGCCGACGGTGCTGAACAAATTTTTAATCTCGGTGTTTAATTCGTTAACATTTTTAACAAAGCATCACCGGTGGCTCCACTCAGTCTAATAGTTTTGCTGTCTCTCCTCTTCTCCTCTTCTCAGAATTAGACTTATGAATAACACATGAGCTGTTTTACTCTTCGACAGATCATTTATACTTGTTTCGTCTGGTTCTGCGGGAGCTGGTTTTGCTCTGCAGCACCCGACAGCTGTCCAGACTTTCTGGATTGTGCTTGTGTTGATGCTAATTCGTATTCCCTCTGTTCTTCTTTCTTGTGTTATTCGCTTCAGTTTAAGAGGAATTATTAGCATGTAGGGGTGGGGCTACTTGGGCTGCGTTCACATTACCAGGCTGAAGAGGCACAAATCCGTTCTTTTGGCCTAATGTGACTCAGATCTGATGTTTTCAGGGCTGTGTGGATGCAAATCTGATCTGTTCAAATCCGATCTCAGCCACTTTCATACGTGGTCCTAGACTGGATACGTATCCGATTCGTGGCCATGCGACCTTACTATGACGCTCAGATCAGAATTCATGTGCTATTTTCCACTGTGCGTGTGCCATCATTCAGCGTTACCATGGCAGCAGCGCCAAACAGAAGTTAAAGCCTGTAAACGGTGGAAAAGCAGCTCATCTCACCCTTTTCTCCGTCGTCTCGCTCTAATAATGAAGCTGAGAGCTGATCAGAGTTAATTATCTTCTCAGCGAAGCTCGTTCTGCTCGTTAGTTTGTGCTGATGATGAACGTGATTCATTTCACGTGACGTTACTGAGTAGGATGTGCTCATGAGGGTCATTTCAGGACGCCGGTTCACATAAATGACAGATTTAAATCACTTACCTAAACGAGTGTGAACCATCGTGTCAGAGAGATCGGATTTGAGCGAAAATTCGGATTTGAGCAAAGCATGTAACAATTACATCAAAGTCAAGTGTTACCAGTTAATTGTAGACACATTGCTTATTGTTTGGTTGAACATCTCTTTGCAGAGCACTGCGAAATGCTGAGCAGTTGTCCAGAGGATGAGCCCATGACCCCAGGCGAGGAGTGTTTGGATGCAGCCATAGATGAGTCCCTGCTGGAGACGAGCCCCATCCAGTCCCCCCTGCAGGTGTTCGCAGGAATGGGAGGCCTGGCCCTCATTGCAGAGAGGCTACCCATGCTCTACCCTGATGTCATCCAACAGGCGAGTGCTCCACATAACCACACACACATGCAGACATCATCGAACTACCTTTGATTCCACTGATAGTTAACTGATCTTCCTTGTATGTGGAAGTGAAGCCATCATATAACAGCTTTTCTAAGATGAAGACAGTCGTCAGTCAAACTTTTTTTCTTTTTTTCTGTATTAAAAATAGAAGTTTTAGGTACTTTTGGTAGAATGATTATGCTGTTCTGATCCTTAATCCAGTATTCGCGACAAATACAACCGCTACTTTTCTGACTTAACAGCATGAACCATGTGTTTTCATATGTAGCTGTAATATGCATTGCATACACTGATCAGGCGTAACATTGACCACCTCCTTGTTTCTGCGCTCACTGTCCATTTTATCAGCTCCACTTACTATATAGGTGCACTTTGTAGTTCTACAGTTACAGACTGTAGTCCATCTGTTTCTCTGATACTTTGTTAGCCCCCTTTTACCCTGTTCTTCAGTGGTCAGGACCCCCATGGACCCTCACAGAGCAGGTACTATTTGGGTGGTGGATCATTCTCAGCACTGCAGTGACACTGACGTGGTGGTAGTGTGTTAATGTGTGTTGCGCTAGTCTGAGTGGATCAGACACAGCAGTGCTGCTGGAGTTTTTAAACACCTCAGTGTCACTGCTGGACTGAGAATAGTCCACCAACCAAAAATATCCAGCCAACAGCGTCCTGTGGGCAGCGTCCTGTGACCACTGATGAAGGACTAGAGGATGACCAACACAAACTGTGCAGCAGCAGATGAGCTATCGTCTCTGACTTTACATCTACAAGGTGGACTGACAAGGTAGGAGTGTCTAATAGAGTGGACAGTGAGTGGACACAGTGTTTAAAAACAGCAGCAGCACTGCTGTGTCTGATCCACTTGTACCAGCACAACACACACTAACACCACCACCACGTCAGTGTTACTGCAGTGCTGAGAATGATCCACCATCCAAATAGTACCTGCTCTGTGAGGGTCCATGGGGGTCCTGACCTCTGAAGAACAGGGTAAAAGGGGGCTAACAAAGTATCAGAGAAACAGATGGACTACAGTCTGTAACTGTAGAACTACAAAGTGCACCTATATAGTAAGTGGAGCTGATAAAATGGACAATGAGCGTAGAAACAAGGAGGTGGTCATAATGTTATGCCTGATTGGTGTGTATAACTAGCATTTTTGTGTATTGAGACTTTTGCATTCTTCAAAGTACAGCATACTCAGATGCAAAGCTGAGCATTAGAAAATGCAGCTAAAAATGATCTGCATTGAATGATCTTGTAAAGGAGTTTGGATTTATCACCCAGCCCTGTCAATTCGTCATTAAAAATGCTGTGATGTGTATCCCACTTGCTATTTTCATAAACTCATAGCCGTCCCAAATTCATAAATGCTGATGAATGTTTACTCCCTCGTTCCTCTCTGCTTTTTTGTTCCTTTTCAAAGGCGATAGTGTTGCTCTTTGTGCCTTTGAGCTTGAACTAGTCAGCATTTTGTGCCTCTCTGTATACGCATGCATTCTTACATCTGCTGAACTTGTATCGTCCCATGCAGGTCAGTGCGCCCGTGGTGCCATCCACAACGCAGGAAAAGCCCAAGGACAGTGACCAGTTCGAATGGGTCACCATCGAGCAGTCAGGCGAGCTGGTGTACGAGGCGCCTGAGAACATTGCTGCAGAGCCTCCGCCAATCAAGTCTTCAGTGCAGACCACTTCGCCCATCCCCGCCCACTCGCTGGCCGCCTTCGGGCTTTTTCTGCGGTTGCCCGGCTACGCAGAGGTGCTCCTAAAGGAGCGCAAACACGCGCAGTGCCTGCTGCGCTTAGTGCTGGGTGTGACTGATGATGGCGAGGGAAGTAAGTGAACCCCAACTCCTTTTTTTGTGTGGGCAAAACATAGTCAGACTTCTTTAATGCTTAATTAGCTCAAGTCATAATTAAAGTAATCTCTCCAAGGAAGAAGCGCTTCTTAACATAGTTATTTCAGGTTAAACCAACTTATTATATAATGCCAACTTAATATGTCGCTGCTGTCGGAAGAAAACCTTGTATCTCCAAAATAGTAACTTTACAGGAAAAGGAAAAAACCTACTTTACTTTTAGTGTGAGTCAATGGAACCAGAGTTTTTTCAAAGTCATTTTGGGTCGTTTCTTTTGGTCCATTCATCATGAAATGTACACGCAATGTAAAGGACAACAGGTATTTTCAAATAATGTCAAAAACTGAAAAACGTCAAAAATGGAGATACAAGGTTTTCTTCCGACAACAGCGATATAATGGTTAAAAAAGTAGTTAAATATTTAATTTACACATTTTTCTTAAGTAGATGCGATTTTGACTTTTGACACTATCATAGATGCCTGAGCAGTGGAGCACATGCACCCCCACTTTTGTTAGACAGGGAGCAAACATGCATTTGCCCTCTCTCTTTCTTCTTAAGAAGAACTTTCTTCTTGAAATGCACTTACAGTTTTCACGAAGATTCTGACGTTCACCAGTGTTTTCTTATTTGAGATTTTTTCTTGGGTAAGAACAGAATCTACCAGACTAAAGAGCACAAAGGTGTAAACGGTTCTGCGGTTTAAGAACACATGAATCTGACGTAGACGTTTTCTTAGGGCCTTTCACAAGAACGAACTTACAAAGATATTGGTGAATGAGCCTCATTAATTTAGAAGTCCGTTCTCACCACAGGAGAAAAATATCATCTGTTTTTCCCCCCTGTCTGTTTATGGCAGTAATACGTCAAGTTTTTTTCAAGATTTTTATTGACTTTATTGAAATAATAGCTTGTTATCTCAAAATTATGACAGAGTGTATCCCGCAAAAAATCTGTGTATTTATGGGCGTTAAGTTCAACCCCGTGACTCACACATCAATAAATGGATAGACCGTATTAACTAGCACTTATTGCTTTTTGGAAGAGGAAGTCGGGGAGAAAATGTCCAGCAGATTTTTCATCGTTCTTGGCCCTTGTGAACATCAGCAGCGTCAGTAAATGCCTTGAACGCTCCAACTAAGTCGCATCATATTTCTACATTAAAGTAAACTACTCACCAAGCTACAGTGGTCAGGGAGCACTCATCATCTATTTCCAAGGTTTTTTAGTGAACCACGGTAATAATAATGGACAGGACAATGCATAAGTGAATTAATATTTATCTTCAAGCAGATTATTATTATTTTCTTTTATCTCAAATGTGAGCAAAACTGTCCTACCCTACAGCCGAAATTCACTCTCTGGTTCAATTTGACCCCCTGTTTTTCATTGGTTAATTCATGAAAAGTGACACATAACGAATAAAGCTTTTTCACTGAAGTAGAACATTCCAGAATACGCTATGGCATCTAAACACAGCCTGATTATGTCGAAATTATGTCTTATTTGTAACAGGACACTTCAGTGATGTTAAAAACAGTAAATGTTGCATCACTGCTATTTATCATTGCATAGCTATGTCATTAAGCACACTTGTGTACTATTGATAAAAAAAATAAAATAAAATACTCCTCCACTTCCACTCAGAATTAGGCCCCCATGCACTATATGACATTATCAATACTAATACACAAGTATGAACAGAATGTAGTCTTCAGTTTGCCTGTTAATACTATTTCTTACTTGGTGATATACTTTTGTTATAGTTAGTCATATTGCAAAATTTTATAAAGTAGCTCATTGTTATTTCCAAAGAACAGTTGTTTCCATTTGAAAAGCATTGCATTATGTTATAATACAATAATATATAATATAATATATATAATATTTTGTTATATAAAATGGCCAAAATAAGATTCATCAGAATCTATTTATCATTTTCAGTAATTTTCAGTAACTTTCAGTAGTTCAGTTAAATTTTTCATCCTTGGTCACCGATGCTCAACGAGAGCAACAGTGTCTGCAGGTTCTCACCAATGAGTGGGTATATCTTATACTGTATACAGTCACCGGGTCCAACTCCTCTGTGATTGTAGCCTCTCGCTCTCATTCATACAGCTGGATGGCCTGACGGGTCTAACTAGAATTGAACCCGTTATCAGCGTTCACTTCGACAGGACCGTAAATGAGATTTTCCTCTGAACTTTCACTTTAATTTGCCTTTGCAATGCATGCCGAAACACTATTTTGTGTAACACTGTTTCAGTTAGAGGGACACCTTACCTGAAGATACGAATGCACAGAAACTAATGGGAACCAGTTTTCATGATTCTATTTGCATAATGTGAGCAGGGCCCTCATTTACTTTCATTCATCAGAAGCAGCCCTTAGTGGCTGCACTGTTTATTATAGTGGGAGAGATGTGGGAGAATTCATTGTTACTATTTTCATCATATCCATTTCTTGGGGACTGGGAATCTGTTAGAAAGCAATGTTTTCGGCTGGTTGGTGGCGACCCCAGCGTCTTATTTGCACCGAGCTAAACATAATTCAGCACCTAAGGGAAGTTGAGCCCTGCTGACTTGGTGCTTTGCTTTGGTCTGGAGTTGTTGAAAAGTTGAAATCAGAGATGCTTGAATGAAAGGAGACCGGTATGTGTCGGAGGAGAGCCGACTGATGGGGACTGCGCTTTGTAGTCCATGATTTTTCTCAGCATGGTAATTCTCCTGTGGCTTAATCTCAGCCTTCTGGACAGCTCTCAGCACACTCTCTTGTTTTAGCCCCTGGGCTGGTGCAGTAGCAGCCCATGCTGACCCACCTGGCCTTCGCTAGCACAGTGTGTTTAAATACCGCCCCTAAAACGAGGATACATTCGGCTCACGATTTCACCTCTGGTGGGCAGCAGTCACAACTGGCCTAATTATTGATGGCACATTTGCCCAGTGGGTAACACTCCTCTCTCTCCTCTCTCTCTCTCTCTCTCTCTCTCTCTCTCTCTCTCTCTCTCTCTCTCTCTCTCTCTCTCCCCCCCTTGTTCTCATACACATACATACACACATATGCAAGCAAACAACAGGAGCCAAGCACCCTCTTAATCTTCTGCATTTCGCCTAGTCCTCATTGTCCCCTTATGCTCTCCACCGTGAACTATTGATTAGTTAAATGTGTTCTTGCCCAACTGATTGGCCTAATTGTGCATAGATGAGCTGAGCGCTTCCCGCTGTGTATTGCTGACACTTCTGGTTGCTGATAGTGTGGATGATTGATTGACATGTTTGTTGATTGGTTTACTCTGTAATTGACTGGTCGGGACTGGATAATAATGATTAATGATGATGAGTAGTGCCTCTTGCTGCATAGCTTGTTTGTAGTCGAGTAGACCCGTCTTTCGTATGTGGTTTCTGATGCTGTGACATACGATCATATGCAGTACTGTGCAAAATTCGGAGACCACCCTTAATTTAATTTCAGGTCAAAACGACCATTAAAGTTATACATTTTCTATTTTATTAAATTATTGTTATAAATTCTTATTATATAGAGAAAATGGGTAATAATCCACAGGTGTTTCTGTCTTTTCCTCCACTGCAAGAAGATAACTCAACACTTTGGGTCTGAAAGAACGTGTAGCTGTTAAGGTGACGTTACTGAGAAAAGGAAATGGACATGGAGTTTAGATGCTGCTTGGTGGGGTCGAACCTGATATTCCTGGTTAGCTAAATTAGCCTTTTAGCTCAAGTCTTAACCTTAGACACCAAATATATCTTGGCTAATTTAGTTTTCCTTTGAAGCATGAATGGGAATTCGTCAGAATACGTTTGCTTACAAGTACAGTCTGTTAAAACTGGGCCAACAGAATCCTAAATGCGCCTTTTTTACTCTCTCCCCTTCTTCTCAGGTCACATCCTGCAGTCTCCCTCGGCTAACGTCCTCCCGACGCTGCCGTTCCACGTGCTCCGTGCGCTCTTCAGTGCGACGCCCCTGACCACGGATGACGGCCTGCTGCTGCGACGCATGGCACTGGAGATCGGAGCCATCCACCTGATCCTGGCCTGCCTGTCGGCCCTGAGCCACCACGCCCCCCGCGTGCCAAGCAACAGTGCCAGCCAGAGCGAGGTACGGCCACGTCACTTTTCAGCATCACCTGCTCACTATAACGTTTACAGTTCGCAGGACACTACACTACCAACATATGCAAGTACAGAGGCTAGTGTAGTAATTAGCATTTACTACTAGCGGAACAGCTTGGGGAACAGTTGGGCTACAAGCATCTCAAGCTACTGTAGCTTTGTCCATCTCTAATTTCAACTGCTGCTGTGACCCTTAATCATGCCACATAAACCAGATTAACCATTTGTTGCAGTGATTTGACATTTAGCGTAATCTACTTTGCTGAGAAAAGCTACGGTAGCAGGTAACCTTCAGACCATATTGACCCCATCAAGAACTTCACCAGCTCCAGGACAAGCTGTGATGGTTCTTGCCAGTTATAGTTTTATATAAGTCTTATATTTTTATACGCAACTCCACATAGAGGGGCAGTGTAGAGCCTACGTCTTACATTTTGGCCAAAGTTTCTTGTCCTGCAACATGTTTGAAACTCAGCTGCAACAGCTGCATCTGAGCTTTGTTAAGCCGTTGCGTGGAACAGCCAGTGACTAAAATGCTCATCCCTATTAAACAACTGCATTCAGACTAGACAATAGGATAGTCTAATGCTTTGCGCTTCAGATGTGATCTGAGTTATAGATTACCAGGTTGCAAGGTTACAGTCTACGCCGGCTTTACACGGTGAAACTAGTTGCTTGAAATCTGCAAGAAACTGAATTCCTGTAAAGTGTCCTGCAACACGTTTGAAACTCTAGTGCAACAGTTGCATCTCAGCTTTGTTGAACGTTTCATGAAACAGCCAATCAAAACGCCAACAAAGTATCACATGAATATGTCAAATGACATTATTTCAAATCATTAATTTAATAGGATCGGTGAACAAGAAAATGAAACAGAAGATGGATTATTGCCACTAATTACATTGCAACTAACGCTCACACCTGCAGAGCTCAGAATTAAAGAAAATAAATGAAAATTTTATTTTAAAAATTAAAAGGGAACAAGTCCACTGTGTGAAAAAAACAACCACTTCCAACTGTGTGAAAAACCTTAACATAGTTGCAAAGTACTGTCTTCTTCCTTTCTGTGTTCTGTGTCGCTGTAATTGGGAACTGCCCCCTGCACGTAGAGGTCAGACTAGCCAACACCAGGGGAAGCCATTCTAGTATGCAAAGGAAAGCCATTTCCAACTGTGTCAAATCAGCCTTGACATTGACTGCTGAAAGGTTGCCAGACCCTCTCTTCTTCATCCCTCTGTTCCATATGGTGGGAATTGGCGGCGGTAGTGGGAAAGGACACTCTTGCGTTGGGTTTAATGGACTCGTTTTTATCTCCATTTGAGATGCTTCACTTTTATTAAGGGCCACGGCAGCCAGACGGCTCTACTCCGCCCGCTGAACGACACCTCTCACAGTGTGTGTGTGTTTGGGAGAGGGAGGAGTGTGTGTCTCCTCTGCCCCTGCCTCTGGTGGTGAACACGTTTGAATATACCGTCGCACAAGACCCCACGAAGTTCCCTGCTTTGCACCGGAGCTCACGGCTCTGTTTGTAGCCACGGTGATTCGCGTGGCCTCGGAAAATAAACAGAATGAAGGCGTCAGTGCCAAGCTCATAATAGAAAAAAATTGCTATCATCAGTCAGCAAAAGCTGGACCAAATGACCGCCCCAAAAATCAATATGCAGCAGTAGCAGCCCTCACAAGAAGAACTTATTGTTGTGGTTTTTTTGTTTTTTCAGTTCCAGTGCTAGTGAACTGTTATTAACCCTTAATTCTCCTGTTAAATCTCTGTATAATAAAATCTCCAACACTGGAGGTCTGCAAGAACACTGAATAACCTCATTTTCAGCTGAGATGTTTGGTTCTTTAGTTTCACAGTGGAGCTCCAGACTAATGTAGCTAACATGTAATGAAAGCTTTTATTCGCACGGTTAGAAAACAAAGCTAATTCCCACGTTTGCTTCGTCTTCCCCATCGCACAATCATACCAAGCTGGTAGGGTGACGGCTATCATGTCCTTCCTCAGTGAAGAGCGAAGCCTGCTGGGGTTTTCCCCCTTCAAACTGCCGTTAACGCAGCATCATTGAGTGCGTTTACATGCACTCAATTATCCGATAACTTCTGAAAATCAGATTACGTCTGTAATCCGATCAATACGTTTACATGCACTTGAGCAATCAGATAATGGGGAAACTCCAGGTCTACATGAGTCAGACGGTAATCAGATTTCTGCTTTGCAGCCAGCCAATAAACTCACAGAAGAAGACGTGATGTCAACAGAACATAAAAAATTTGGTTTCAGCGCCGCTCCGTGTTTTGCTGCGTCTCATGACATCCATCGTCTGATCTCACACATGCACGGACTGAGAAATCCGAAAGAAATCAGAGTAAGAGTTTAGATGCACTGAGAAATCTGATTGCTGAGCTAAAATCCAGCCTCTTTATCAGATTTCTAGATTGGAGTATGGTATTTACATGACCATTTGCATAACCAGATAACGGCAGAAATCTGATTATGATCGGATTGTTGAGTGCATGTATACACACTCATTGAATATACACACTCACACTTTGAGGAGAATGCTATCTGCTAATTCTGTTACATTAGCGAAAAGATGCTCGGCTAGCAACATGATATCATTTCTGTAATGGGAACAAATGGACCTTATCTGGGGCAGTAAACATTGTTTTAATGTTTACAGTGAGGCTAAAATACAGATTTTTTTTATACTTTTTCTTTTTTATACTAAGTCTCACCAGCCAGCTAACTACCTCAGCAGGTAACCTTAGAGCTCTGTATGATTTAAAAGATGTATGCCGTCATGAAGCCTGGGTATTGTCTATACCAGGGGTATTCAATTAAAATTCAGTAAGGTCCAGTTCAAGAAAATTTCCTCAAGCAAAGGTCCAGAACATCATAATGTCTAACTTGTATTATGATTCAGTGCCATATACTGTTTACTGAAGTAGCCTAGTAGGTATATCAACATCTTATACAGTCAACAACTGAATGGCAAATCAAATAAAGTACAATTCAGTCATATTTTTATAATTTTATAATAATTATAATTAAATAATTCTCCATAGTTTATCGGTTATAGGTCCAGGTCCGCATAGGACAGCGTCTGGGTCCGGGCTCGGACCGCGGCCCACCTATTAGTTGACCTCTGGTCTATACTTTTGTTAAAAAAAAATTAACCGAGCTCAGTCAGCCTGCTGGAGTGCTGTGTTTTCCATCCAATCAGACACTGAGCTGATAATCACCACTTTAAAGTCTGTGCAGTAACACTGCTGCCATGGGTTCACATCATCTAAACAGTCTGACAGAGTGGGGCTCTGACCCTGTAGGGTGGGTGTAAGGGCGTCTTGCTGGTTGTGAATTTACAGCACGTTGAGGACGCGTCTCAGGGCTGCCGGTTTGAGCGCCGGCCAGAGGCCTGTCACCGCCGTAATGGCCGTCCTTGGGCCGGCAGCGGGATATTACTGCAGCCCACTCCCTGCCAAAGAGGACCAGGGTCAAACACACACATACACACACACACACACACTTAGGCGCTTATTCTGATTCTCCCTCTCCTTGTTGCAGATTTTCTCTGCTGTGTTACTCATTCATTCTTTTTCGCATCACATCCTTTCCGTTGATGCTAGACCGGGTAGATGCAGTTTAACCCTTAGCAGTCGCAGATATCGCGGAGAACAACAAAAGCCTGCTGCAGTTCGCTAATCGTTTCTCATCTCCAGCTCATTGAAATGGCCAGAAGAATTGTCAGTTGCAGATTCTCAGCTTTGAGTTGGAACGCTGTGCAGAATGTGAATGAAAATAGGACGCAATGATATGAAAATCATGTAAACCATATTTTTAAAGGAAAATACTACCAAGACAACAAATGTTGAAACTGAGAAATTGTGTTGTTTTTTGAAAAATCAATGCCCATTTTGAATTGGATGTCATTTGATATGTTGTCTTTGTACTTTTTTAAGTGAAATATAGGGTTTAAATGATTTGCACATCATTGCATTTTGTTTTTATTTCCGTTTTGCACAGCGTCTCGACTTTTTTAGAAATGGGGTTGTATAATTTGAATTTGATTTCCATTTTTTGTGTGCAGTCTTGTTTTATAGGAAGAGAAAAAATTGTTCATGCTTGTGCCACGTTTTTGCTACTGTTGACAATTGGAACCAAATCAGATGTAGTTCATTGCGTTGCTCTGTAATTGAGTATTTAATTACATTTAATTATGTGATTCATTTCATTTCCTGTCAAAACGTCCATTAAATACAAGTTACGATTATTTATAAGGAGGTTAAATATAAAATAATCCACTTGCACATGGAAGGAGAAAGTCAAAGGAAAATAAATGGAAAAACAGGAGTGGCCAAAACGTTATTATAAAAATAAATTTTAAAGATTTATAGAAAATAGGACTTCTGACAACCATGCAAGACCTGGTTGATCACCGAAACTGTCCCTGTCAGACAAACAGTAGTTAAAGTCGTCATCTTGGAGAGACGATCGAGCTCCAGTCTTGTTTCACATCTGTAAATAAAGTGTTTTCTGTCCATCCTTCCAGAAGACTATGATTTTTAAAGGATGTGTAGCTGTGAAGAAGCTGCTGGTGTTCTCAGAACAATGGGCTGGTCAACTCAACTTCATTGAATGTGTTTGAAATTACTTGGATCCTGCAGAAAACACAAGACAACTTCTCAGACTGACCTTTGGATTAAAGACTGAGCTAAATACTGAAAAATACATATTGTACTAGTTATTCAGGTTTCTGTGTAACTTTCAATTAAATATTTTTCTGCTTTTTTCTGCCCACTAATGAATAACTTGTACTTATTGGCTGTTTTGACTCGAAAATGGCCAAAATGAATGGTGGTCCCTGACTTTTGCACAGTACTTAGAAAAACAATATCTCTGAACTCCTAAGTGTCAGTAGTCCTGCTGTCAGTCGCATGAGTAACGTTAGAGCGAGCTGAGAATTACAGGAGGCGAGAAGTCGTTTCGAATGGTAATTTATCTCCTCCTCCCACATCATACAACCATCCAAGCGTGACTCTGAACCCCTCAGGCAGGGCAAAGGATTTTCCATCCGCACATGTGGAACCAATAAGATTCCCCTCCCTGAAGATTCCGTGGCGAGAGCATGTCAGATCCAGACTTAATCGTGAAACCGTGACACTTGGAGTTGAGGCTGTGGTGAAACTAACCTCTTTAATAACACCAACTCGATTGGTTAATATACTGCCGTACTGACCAACACCATCATGCTGGACATGGAAGATTGAAGGTTCGATTCACAATACAGATAATAAAATCTCCCATTATTGCATTTTTAAACGGATCGTTCCAGTTTTAAAATCTGATTTGTATTTTTGTCCTCCAGTGTTCTCTCATTGCAATACTCAGCATGTAGGCTTAAGCCAATGGACAATAGTTTCATCACTTGCCTGTGGTTTCCATCTATTGCAATTGTCATTCAAGTTGGATGATCAAATGTGAAGTAAAACAAAATGTGAATGGGGGCATAGAAGATTGTGTTTGTTGTGTTTGCATCAGTTGTTAAAAAACAGAAAAAGACAACACATAGATATAGTTACAGTAGTCTTGAGGCCACTTTACACAGTTTATATATATATATATATATATATATATATATATATATATATATATATATATATATATATATGCAAACACAGCAAGTAGCGTGGGTCTATCCCCCAACTGTCCATCCACCAGGTTGCTACAATAGTAACGTCATTTGGGAATAGCTATGTATAACTGATGTCAGTTATATGTGTATATTCTCATCTCTCACCTCATTATAGCACTGCAATACATGAAAACAATTAAAAAAATCTACAGAAAAAGAAAATTATTTTGCGAGACGCCAGAGTTAGTCATATATGCACTGCTTAAAATTTCAACATAATCAACTTAAAGCACCTTCCCACCTCCCTGCCTTTAAAATCACTGTAACGTTCTCCTGATTTATCGCTTTATTCGCTGTTCTGAATCTAAAGATGTAACGGTCACCTAACACTACATGTGCCTACCTTTTGCTAAATATGTAGATGTTTATGTGAACTCCCTGAGCCTGGCCTCACTCGGCAAGCCCATCAGCAGTTGACTCTGTTTGGCAGAAGCATGGCTGCTTGACCTTACCGGCTCTTCAATGTTGCGCAGGCTTTGTGCGAACGTTCTCGGCCCGGCTTGCCGTCAGTCTTAAAAGCAGGCCGTAAGTAGCAGAAGCACGGCACGTCAAGACAGATGAGCGTCAAACGCTCCAGTGGAGAGCTGTGTGTGTGTGTGTGTGTGCACTTGCAAGCATTATAAGCCATAGTTAAGACATACTTTTTCTATCATGTGTTCAAACAGGCGTGAGTTCAGGTCTCAGAATGTCACACACATCATCTTAGAGACTAGTGTTTGCTTTTTCCGTTCTCTGTCATTGTGCTTGTCTCTATTCAGATCTTCACCAGCACAGCTTGTACTCACACTTGATCTTGTGCATTTTAAATGGCTTCACCTACAAGAGAAAGCTTAGCTCGAGCCATCATCGTCTCATTGAAGACGGTAGTGGTGCTCTTCCGGAATGAATGAGAGTCATTATGAAGGAAGATTATTTTTTTTTTCCTCTGAACAGTGGCTCTGAAAATGATTAAGTTCCAGTGATTCACTCTGCGGTGACATAAAGAGGTCAGGCCTGCCCTGTTATAAATCAGACAACGATGGGCAGGCGTGCGGCTTTTCTGGCTTTTCATTTAAAGACTAAAACACCACAGTGATGTTGAAGTGAAATACTTTAAGTAGGGATGTCGCGATCCGTGTTTTGGATCAGCGTTGAGTGTCTGTCAATATTGGTCTGATCTTGTGTTTTTACAGGTAGTACGGACAAATAATTAACATCAATATGAGCTACAGAAGAGATTAATACTACATTGAAATGACTTAATTTTTAGTGTGTGCATAGTGTGACACTGGGCAGATTTGTTTGTAGGCCTACTTTTTATTGTAGGTTTTATGTGTGTAGTAGTTGGTATGGTGTAGTGGAGCGCTGTAGACTGGGGTTCAGTTCCCCAACTGGATAAGCACCCTACACTATGCCAGTAAGAGCCCTTGGGCAAGACTTCTAACGTTACCCTTGCCTTCCTGTGTAAAATGATCAAACTTAGCTCTGACTAAGAGTGTCTGCCAAATGCCATAAATAAAGAAATTATTTAAATGAAAATGCTGCAGTAAAATCGCTTAGTTTTTGATATGTACACTCTGAATTGTATCCACTGAGTGAACAGCAAAGCACCTTAAGGATCTGGCTGGTAACTCACTCACTCATGTTGAGCAGGCAGATAATTCTCCACAAGGGGGCTCCATTAGCAGTCAAAAAACTTTGTTTTTGCATCAATTACTCAAGGATTCAGAATTTTTTCTTTTTCTAAATCTACAATAACAATTTCACAGTATATTGAAGATGCTATGAGTTGATATTTCTCCAGCATGCATGCTGTAACCTACTCCTTTCTCTCGGTTTCAAAAGCTGCAAAGCGCTGTTAAATGTCATGGTAACGTCCGTTATACCTTTATTTTAACCAATCCTGACTCAAGTGAAACACGGCGAAGAGTAATTTCTTTATCATTTCGTTTTGTGTCCGAAAATAGACTTTTTTTTTTAGCCTCTCACACATATTTTACACATTCATGTCACATTGCAGGTCATTTTAAGTTTATTTTCCACTTCATATATAAACATGCTTTTAACAGTTTCGTTAATTTCCAAAAACATGCTTTACTGCTGCAGGTTGTGGATCATATCTGCTGAGGGTATCTCTGCAAAAGTGACGTAAATAAGGCAGAAAAAGAAACAAAATTAGTGGTGGATCGGGATTTGTGTAGTCGAGGTATAGGGATCCATCAAAATATGCCTGAAACTGCTCTGATCGTGATCCACTGGATTGGATCAGAACATCGCTAATAAAAATTATTATAAAATAATAAATATATTCAAAATATCCAAATTTAAATGCAGGAAAAAGCAGTGCATGGCAAATCGCTAACTGTTATTGCTTAGTCAGCCACTCTGCTTATCTCAATAGAAAGACACTA